GTGGAGTAATTCGGAATATTTGGCCTCGGTAGCGTGGTTGGGTGGGCCACTAGCTTGTGCGGGCCACTAACTTGTGGATTACGTTAACTCCACCCTTGTGCTACCTAATATCAGCCACCCTTTTGGAACTGCCCTTCCTTCTTCTGGAATATGATGCAAGTCTTGTACGAGTTGCCGGCTGTAACCCCCTTACGGTGCTTTTTGCTGCCGTCTCCATCCACGCGGTCTGGAGCGGAGGCTATGTCTACCCGGAGAACTGGATCGATCCAGCGTACATGGCAAGCTGAGTATCATTCGCAGCGGCGAAATACGTGGATTGTCCTCGACCAATCGTTCGAAGGCGTGTAGGGCTGAAACTGAGGCTCTACAGTGTGCTTCGTCACCCCGCATCATTCATCCCTTGCGCAGGATGCATCTCCAGCGAACAACAAACGCCCCCTCGTGTTGGCTGACAAGACTCCCCAAGAAAGCGAAGCCATGGATAGCCAGGTAACACTCATATAGACATGCACTACACAGCGCTGGTTTCCACCAAACGAATTCTCCACCACTCGATCCAGTTGCAACCTCAGTCTTTGTGTACCCCCAGTGCCTTACAAACCATGACACCAGTAGCAACCTCTTTTATTGTGTCTCGGGAGCTCAATGAATCAGTCGCTATGAGCTTCGTTGTACCCAATGTCAAGGGGTCGCCTAGCGCTTGGAGCGACACTATTACCACCACAATCTTTGGGGTCGCAGCTCTAATCACGGCATCCATCAGCATATGGCAGGCCCATCGATACCTACACGGCGTAGCCCAGATGAAGCGTGAGCTACAATACAATTCGAAGTGTTTCCGATTATATTCTAATATCTTCTTAGAGGCGCAATCAAAGGAGCTAGAGAAAGCCACCCAAATGGATGACAATTCTTACCGTCAACCCGGCTTGTCTCGCTCCAAAACAATCGCATCGACAATCTCTGGCGAGACGGTCCGAACGACCCTCGACGAGTTTTATGGACTCGAAGCACAATCCCCGTCCCGAGGCCCGGTCGAATACGAAAGCCGAAAGTCTGAGAAAGGGAAAACCCCTGAATCGCCTATCGAAGAGCCGAGTAGTGCACGAGTCCGCCTTGGTCCGCTTCTTCAGCCTTTCTTCAATCACAACGGCTCTCCTAGTGGCCGACCAGACGATGTCGCCACAGTCTTAGCGAAGTTTTGCGAGCTGTTCTTTCACATGACGGAGGTGGTCAACCCACCTGCTACCCAAGTCGACTCTCGTGAAGATTTCAACAAAATAGCTTTACAAGACGTCTAGTCGAAGTCTTAATCGCAGCCTTGAACCTGCGAGGAGATGCGTTCGCATACATGGATATGGACTGGACTTGGATTCCGAGGAAGGTGATCAGTTTCACTAGTTTCGAACATCGGAAAAGTTACTATCGCATTTTTGTTCACCGGAAAAGCATTGGCGGGACTATGACTTGATGAGCGTTCTCAGCGACCTTGCAACTTTTTGGTCGAACCCAATTTTTACGATTCACACGACAGTCTTTACATCCAAAGGCTTGGTACTGCTGTTTTTTCTAGTCGGCATCTACAACGTTCTTCTTTAGGAACCCTGACGGTGTGGAATGCATGACAAACAGGGGAGGTTTTATCTTGTTTGGCGTTACCTATATAGTTCGTGTATTCATGGCGGGGAACAGGAGCGTATATTTGAAATTCAGCACGCAGATAGATACCCTGTAGATAGTGTAGCATAGATACTATGTAGTCTTGCCTTTCCTTTCCCTCCAATATATATACCCCGACTAGCATAGATATTATCCAAGAGGGGCCGTTCCTTCAGCTGCCAAGGTACGTATACTTGTCGTTCGGAAGACCGGGGGAATTTCCTCCTTTTCATCATGCTTCCAGGAGGCAGATGTTATCGCCATCGACTAACACCAAATTGCAGTCTCTTCACTGCGAGTTGTTGGAGATTAGACGCGTTGATTGATCAATCTTACGGTGTTTCAAAAGTTCTTCAGCGCCGAGTCAGCACCATGTCAGCAGTACGCCACGGCAACGTGATGTCGTGGCTAATCTGGCGTAGGAGTTTTTCCGAACACATGAAAGTTTAGGTATCCGAACATTCAAAGTTTATCCGAACAGCAACAACCTAGCGTTACCCTTATTTGTCATTCGGATAGCCCAGGGAACTTCTGATTTTTCGCCATGCTTTAAGGAGGCATGTGTTATCGCCATCGAGTAACACCAAATTGCCGTCTTGTCGCTCCGAGTTGTGGGAAATCAGACGCGTTGATTGGTCAGTACTACCCCGCAGGCCGAGGTCTAGTCAACCGCATTCTCGTCACAGATGGCGCCGTCACCAGCGTTAGGTGCCGCTACCCCGGCATGCAAGCTCTGGGAATAAAACTCCCCAATGCGTACATCCGGTCCTTGGCCGCTTCACCTTCCATTTCTACCTCCAGCATCATTTCCTCCTCCTACTCTTAATAGCACTTGTTCCCCCCATCTCCCCATTTCTTTGTGGCCTCGATCTAGAAGAACCTCCTCGCAGACAGCTCCACGCTTCTTAGCTACATACCTCCCCTTATCTTCTACCTCTCTTCTCCCTCCAAGGTCCCCTCCGCGGACCACTTCCGCTACAATGAATCACAAGAGCAACGACACGCAGGCCGTGAAGCTCACAGGCGCCGACATCGCGAAGCACAATTCGCGCGATTCCTGCTGGGTCATAATCCACGGGCGGGCATACGATGTGACTGACTTTCTACCCGAACACCCAGGCGGGCCCAAGATCATCCTTAAGTACGCTGGCAAGGATGCTACGGAGGAATTCGAGCCGATCCACCCGCCCGACACGCTCGACAAGTACCTGGACAAGTCAAAGCACCTCGGAGAGGTAGATATGGGGACGGTGGAGGAGGAGAAGAAGGAGGAAGATCCGGACGAGAAGGCCAGGCAGGAGAGGATGGCGGTAATGCCAATTCTGGAGCAATGTTATAACCTCATGGACTTTGAGGCGGTGGCGAGGAAGGTCATGAAGAAGACCGCGTGGGCATATTACTCGAGTGGTGCGGATGATGAGATTGTATGTTGCAGTCAATCTTGCTATCGCGGCTTTGAAAAGAGCTAATGAGCGATAGACTATGCGAGAAAATCACTCCGCCTACCACAAGATCTGGTTCCGGCCGAACATTCTAGTAGATGTCGAGAAGATCGACTTTTCTACCAAGATGTTAGGGACCAAAGTCGACATCCCGTTCTATGTAACCGCAACCGCACTCGGCAAGCTAGGACATCACGAGGGCGAAGTCATTCTTACACGGGGCGCGAAGAAGCACAACGTGATCCAGATGATACCGACCCTCGCATCCTGCTCATTCGACGAGATCATGGACGCCGCGGAACCAGGTCAAGTCCAATGGCTGCAGCTCTACGTAAACAAGAACCGCAATATCACTAAGCGCATCGTGCAGCACGCCGAAAAGCGCGGCTGCAAAGGTCTCTTCATTACGGTAGACGCGCCGCAACTGGGCCGCCGCGAGAAGGACATGCGCTCGAAATTCGATGATGTGGGCTCAAACGTCCAGAACACCTCTGGCGACAACGTCGACAGGAGTCAAGGCGCCGCCCGCGCCATCTCCTCCTTCATCGATCCCTCTCTCAGCTGGAAAGACATCCCTTGGTTCCTCTCCATCACCAAGATGCCAATAATCCTCAAAGGCGTGCAGCGCGTCGAGGACGTGTTACGCGCAGTCGAAGCCGGAGTTCACGGTGTCGTGCTCTCTAATCACGGTGGACGCCAGCTCGACTTTGCACGTTCAGGTATCGAGGTTCTCGCGGAAGTCATGCCTGCTCTGCGTGAGCGTGGTTGGGAGAAGAAGATTGAGATCTTTGTCGATGGCGGCGTAAGGCGTGCAACTGATATCATTAAGGCGCTCTGCTTGGGTGCGACAGGCGTGGGCATCGGACGGCCATTCCTTTACGCCATGAGCGCATATGGGCTGCCGGGTGTGGATCGTGCAATGTAAGCTTTCGTCCATGCTGAATTGGAACTGATGATGCTAATGAATATAATAGGCAGTTGCTCAAGGACGAGATGGAAATGAACATGCGACTGATCGGTGCTAGCTCAATTGAGCAGTTGAACCCTACAATGGTAGACACGAGGGGTTTGAGTATGCATAGTGCTACGGTGCCATCGGATACATTGGGGCTGAACGTATACGATCCGCTTGTGGGACCGAAAGAGAAGGCGAAGTTGTAGGCTTAGTGGTGTCTAGAGGTTGTGTATATAGTGCTCTTCTTGTGGTATATATTGGATTTAGAGGTTAGAACTGACTGGCTCGAAGATATACTTCTAACTCCCGGATGATTTCATGAAGTTGCTTTAACGATTAGCATGATGAGAATTGGCCAGGGGTACGTAGAGCTCTTTAGAGCCCAATGCCGCAGAGGAGACCTAGCTTCCTATGCTTTGCATAGTAATAAGCGGTGATTCTATAATGTCTTACAACTAAACCGCGCAATTCCTCCAAGACGTACTTAGTACCTCTCCCTGAACCTGCTATCACACGCTTCGTTCTGGGTCTACCTTTTCGTAGTGAAAACCCACTACGACATGTGCCACTCCGCGTCCCCTCCGCGTCTAACAAAAACAGTCTCACGCAGTTAGATCCGTATCTCTTTGCACTTAAAGGAGGCAAAACGGCACCTCAGCGTGCAGAATAGCTTCAGAACCCAGAGCATCACTTATCAGCACTCTCTCCATAACACATTCAAGAATCACGTCTCTTCATTCAGAATAATAGCCTCACACTCCATCCCCACCTCTTTCACCCCCTTCACCCCCCGCCACTTTTCCAACACTGCACTCACAACCTCCCATTCCTTATCCGCCTCCTCCTCCTTCCCTTCATCCACCAATTCCCGCAATCTCCGCGGCGCATCAAGCACCCACCTCACCGTCTCCCTCGCGCCCTGCTTCCCCTCCCCGCCCTCTTTCACAAGAGTTATACTGGGCGCACTAGGCGTCCTGTCCTGCATATCCTTCGACAACACAGCCGCGATCTCGGCAATATGGCTAATCGCCGGACTAAGCGTCGACGTCGTCGGCGCGAGCGGATCCATATTCGTGCGCATCTTGCGGATCGTGTCCGTGGCCGCGATGAGCTTGGAGTAGTTGTCGTAGACGAGGGATTTGCGCTCGCCGTCTAGGTTCCTGATTTCTAAACCTGTGTTAGCAGGATATCCCCTTATCGAGGCTTCTGAGTGAAGGGCGCTCACGCGATACCAAATCACTCTCCACCCTCAGCACGCCCGAGAGGCCCTGCTTCGACAGGATCCCGTTGACATAGCCGGGCGCGTCGAAGCCGTCCTTGTCGAGCTCGCTGATGCCGTCGTCCTCGGGCTCTTCGGGCGCGAGAGGCGTCCGGCTGCTGGGGTCTGGAGAGCTGGGCGGCTGCGTGCCTTTGAGGCCGTAGTAGTCGCGGAGGGCGGCGCGGTTCCTGCGCGTGGTGCCTGGGGCGGCGGGACGGCCGCTGGGGCCTTCGAGGGAGGTGCGGGAGGAGGAGGGGGAGCGGATGGAGGTTGAGGCGCGGGGGGAGGCGATGGTGGACATGTGAGCGGTGTGGATAGTCGTCTAGCTATATCGAAATGGTGGAGGAATGGTTGGTGTTGAACGGAGCTTCAACATGATAGTTTATTTGGGAAGGTGAAGCGGTAGGGCTGAAATTAGAGCTCCGTCCCGCTTTACCCCAGCACTCAACACCACGCTTTTCTCACGACCAACTATCCCCACGATATGGGGTAGCTTTCTCTAGTATGGCCAACCTCGCGCAGGAAATTGCAAGCTACCTCTCCACGAAGTCCCTCTCGCCCACGCCCGCCTGGCTCTCCACCTTCCTCCCCACCATCCGCACCAACACGCCCCTCCCCGCGCTCCAGAAAACCGCCCTCTTCCGCCTCCTCGCAACCGACATCACCCAATCCCTCGCACGCTCCCCAACCTCCTGCTTCCCTGCCACAGTCCACGACGCCACCGTTCGCGAGCGCAATCTCACCGGCCCCCTCGCCGTCCAAGTCCTCGACGTCGAAGACATCGGGCGCAGCTGCTGGAGCCAGGTCGAGGCGATTGAGGCGGCGGAGCGCGGCGAGACGACGAAAGGGCGCGAGATTATCCGCAGCGTGCCGAGTGAGCAGGAGACAGCTGAGGGCGTGCAGGCAGCGGGAGCGGGGCCGCATAAGGTGCTGTTGCAGGACGCGCAGGGGGTTTGTGTGTATGGGATTGAGATGCATGCGATTGAGGGGGTGGGGATGGGCATGAGTATTGGAAGTAAGCTGGTGCTGCGGGATGTGGTGGTTGCGAGGGGGGTGTTGCTGCTGAACCCTGGGTGTGTGACGGTGCTTGGGGGGAAGATTGAGGGGGTGCATAAAGCGTGGAAGGAGGGACTGAAAGAGAGGTTGCTGGCGAAGGCTAGGATAGGTGAGGAAGAGTGAGAAGGTTGGGGCTGGAGGTTCAAAAGAAAAGATTTAGGGTCTAGCCTTCTGGAAGACTACAGTCTCGAGGACTTGGTACAAGGTGATTGAGGCTATGCCGTTAAAAGGGATAGGCATCGCGAGTTATCGTCACAATCAAGATCTCAAGCTCACAAGCAGGTCAGAGAACAGCTCGCCGATAGCTATATCGACTCCGTTACTAGCTCGAAATGTCGAGGTCAGTGGAAAAAGGGGTCGTCCTGGAGCTTGAATGACAGAGCTTTGATGGAGCACAAGCCTTGAAGACAGCACCTCATGCTTATAGATAAGTATGATATTGACAAGAACGAGCAAATTTTGTGGTGGACAGTCCCAACAGGGTCCGGCTCTATTCAAAGAAAAATGTGTGGTTTTACACGCTACAAAGTGGTCCCAGAATTTGGCCGTACATGCTTATTTACCCTTCTTAACCCAGTCCTCCATCTTCTCCCTCGCTTCTGACACCGTATCCTGCACCCTATAGAACGACATCTGGGTATGCGCCTTGCCCGTGTCAATGAACTTCTCTATCCGCGCCCTGGTCTTGAGATGGGCATCCGCAACCGCGGGGAACCGCTTCTCGTATCTCCACACTAATTCGCCGACATTGCCCATTGTGATAGGAATAACGGCTTGCGCGACACCTAACCCAACGAAGACTGGGACAGTTCCGCGGAGTAGGATGTTGCGATTGCGTGTCACAATGGAGCCCGCCATGGAAGCGACGAGTACGTAGATGGCACCGGGGAGAAGCTTTTCGCTGGACTCTTTTGGCGGAGCGAGACCGCGTATGGTGCTGGTGAAGGAGTGTTCGAGGTCCAGGGTCTTCGTGAGCGCATTGTTCACGGCGTCCTCCGCCTTCGTTGCTTGGCCGTAGAAAGCTAATCGAGCGTGCTTGATCTGCCCAGCAAGCCGGTCGGTAGGTGTCGGTCGGTAGTCCTGGCTGGGTGTAGAAGGGTCCGATGGTGTCGGCGTAGGATCGTGTGACAGAGGGGTGTCATCGTAGATAGGCTTCCGGGCAAGCTGGGGACGGCTGTGAGCTACGCAATCCATGTATAAAGGCCATGTTTTTGGCTCTTAACGTACTCTTGTGTCGTCCGAGAGCGGCTCTTCGGCATGAGCGTTGCGGGTAGAAGATAGCATCAGACCGGCGGAGACGGCAGCGGCCATAGCAGGGACAGCAGTGCGCTAGGAACAGTCAGCAGATGAGCATATGAATCTAGAGTGGCACTTACCTGCCGTAGCAGCGGTCTGAAAGCCATTGCGGACGTGTGGGCCAGGCAATTGGAGTGGAGAGGTGGTGGTGAGAGAGCCGTGAAGTTCAAACAACTCGGGGACGGTTCCGTTCCGGCACGAGCTCTCGGTCCAGGGCTTTATTTTCTACCTGTACTACCAACTGACGGCCTCCCTCCGCCTCCCCACCACAACACGCTCTCTCCGCGCGCTCCGACATGCTCAAGCGCACGCCCTCGCCATGGACGTGCTCACGCTGCTTGAGCCTGCAGCGCCAGCGCCGCTTCAACTCGACCATCGCGACTGCTGCACATGATCTAGTGCAATCCTCGCCTCTCCCGGCCGCCCGTCTTCGAGGACTTGGGACCCCCGGCGCAGACCACGACGACCGCACCCTCCGCCAGATATTCGACTCGCAGGCCTTCTGGAAGGACTATTCGAAGCCGGTGTTCAAGCCGTCACGCAAATCCGCCGGTCTCGTCAACAATCATTACTTGACCAGACCGGAAGGCTTCAAACACTTCACCGAGAATACCCTGTCAAAATGCGAGAGGATAGTGGAGAAAGTGGTCGCGGTGAATACGTTGGGGGACTACAAACAACTGCCTAGGATTCTGGATAGGCTCAGTGATCTACTATGCCGGGTTATCGACCTCGCCGACTTTGTTCGCGCGACCCATCCAGACCGGTACATGCAGGCGGCGGCGTCGCAGGCATATGTGACCATGTTCCATTACATGAACAGGCTGAACACCACTCCTCAGCTGAACGAGCAGCTGAAGAAGGCCGAGGCAATCCCTGAAGTCTACCAGTCCTGGACAGAACCAGAGAAGCTTGTGGCCCAGATCCTGATCCGGGACTTCTCTAAATCTGCCATTGATCTCCCTACAGCGTCTAGGGATCGTTTCGTACAGCTCTCGAATGAGATTTCGGAGGTTGGAATCGATTTTACTGAAAAGGGCGCCCCGGAGACGCCCTATCTCAGCTTCGAAAGCAGCAAGATGAAAGGCCTAGAACCCAGCGTGGCTAGAGCCTTGTCAAAATGGGGCCAGATCAAGATTGCTACCGCGGATACGCCTGCCCAAATGGCTCTTAGATTCGTGGAAGACCCAGATGTTAGGAGAGAGATATACATGGCGTCAAGAACGGCAGATAAGCCAAGCATTCGACGTCTAGAGAAGCTTCTCAAGTGCCGTGCAGAGATAGCAAACCTCTCTGGATTCGAAAGCTACGGGCACATGACTCTCGGCGAGGACAAGATGGCAAAGTCGCCCGAAGCCGTAAATCAGTTCTTGAATGCTCTCGTAAAAGGCAACCACCGCAAGGTTCAGGATGAGCTCCAGGAGTTGATAGAGCTCAAGAAGTCAGACGCCCGTAGTGGAAATTTTCCCGGGACTATAAACGCTTGGGACAAACTCTACTATACCCATCAAATGGTATCCAATATGCACACTAAGTTGCGCACTCCGGATTTCTTCTCTGCATACTTTTCCTTGGGAACAGTGATGCAGGGTCTCTCCCGCCTATACAATCGACTGTATGGTATTCGACTGGTTCCCAAGGAGCCTGCCCCTGGCGAGACGTGGAACAACGATGTGCGGCGTCTCGATGTCATCTCCGACACCGATGGACATATTGCAGTCCTGTATTGTGACCTTTTCTCACGGCCAGGCAAGACTCCTAATCCAGCCCACTTCACGCTACGATGCTCTCGAGAACTCTCCAACGCGGAAATAGTTGAGGCCTCTGAAACGACACATCCATTCGCGTCTCCCGTTGAAGCTGCTACAGATGGAATGTCCTATACCCATAACGCTACCACAAACACTTACTTCCAGCTCCCTACAATCGCTTTGATTTGCGATTTTCCCCGTCCGCCCCCCTCTGCAACTACCTCTGCGCCCACTCTCCTCACTTTCAACGATGTCCGTACCCTCTTCCACGAAATGGGCCACGGTTTACATTCCTTCCTAGGTCGGACCTCCTTCCAAAATGTTGCTGGCACTCGCTGCGCCACTGACTTCGCAGAGTTGCCATCGGTGCTAAACGAGCACTTTGCATCTGACCCTGCAGTTCTCGCTCTCTTTGCTCGCCACTGGGACACAGATGCTCCCTTGCCGCTGTCGGCGCTCGAACAGCGCATTGCCATCGACCAGCGTACGCAGCCATCAGAAACGGAGTCACAAATCCTACTTGCGATGCTGGACCAAGCATATCACTCGTCCTTGCCCCTCGCGCCGGATTTCAACTCCACCAAGACCTACCACGACATTTACAATGCGCATGCATCTGTCCCTGAACCACAAGGTACGGCGTGGCAAGGTTTCTTTGGCCATCTCTACGGGTACGGCGCTACGTACTATAGCTATCTCTTCGACCGAGCGATTGCGGCCAAGATGTGGAGTGAGGTGTTCCAGCAGACTTCGGATGGAAGTGTGTCCAGAGAGAATGGCGAGAGATATAAGGAGGAGGTCCTGAAATGGGGAGGTGGAAGAGATGGATGGAAGTGTGTTGCTGGCGTGCTGAGAGATGAGCGGCTAGCTGAAGGTGGTGAGGAGGCGATGAAGGAGGTTGGGAGGTGGGGTGTTATGTGAGGTTTGTCAATATAGAATCTCGAAATAGTCTCGGGGATCTACTAGGATAAACTGGGGTTTTTGGAGCTGGAATTCCTGGGTTGGTCTCGAGATGTTGGATACATCTCGCCTGCATTGTAGGAATATTTTGGGTTAGAAGTTTGATCAAATACCTCTTAAGCGCTGGCTGGAGCCGTCGAATACATAGGACCAAGTAATTCTTGATTCTCTTGCCTCAGTCACTTTCACTCTTCCTCTACTAGCACCTAAGTCATCTATCTCCGTCATCCATCACCATAGCAATTCATTCTGCCACCGCGTCTCGATCATGTGCGTCGTCTCATCTCTTGAGCAGTGCAAAAATCAAGGCTGTTTTTTCAATACCGCAAGACGATCGGAATATGGCGTCGATATTCACTCGGTTGTTTTGTTCGACAAGCTCAATCTATTGGAGCACCTCTGACCAAATGGCCGTTGGTTTGCTAGTAAAGTCACCTGCTAGACCGCGATGATGGAGATGCTCACGTTGCAAGGACCGAATGTCTTCGATAAACAGTGTCATACCATCAGCCTTGTCACCATCGTATGTCACTGCTTGGGGTACCTGAAAAGGCCTGAACACTTTCAAGTGCACGTAAATTTGGACGCTCTGGAATCAAGACTGCCTTTTGACCAACCGACTACTTAGAAGCTGGGCCACTTCTGACGGTGGTATCTAGCATGCAAAGGGGACATCCAAGCAGCACGATATCCGCGTGTCTAAGCTTATGACCGAATAACGCATCACCTGGTCCGCCTACCGATTGCTATGTGGACCAACAAGCGTTCTTCTCTCGTCATGAGGGTAGATGTACTTCTTAAGGAGTTACCACAAATTGGGGAATGTTGTGGTGAAGGTAGTATATAAAGTCGACGCTTTTCAGCATTATCACACCCATCGACACCTTTCAAGCTGGCTTCTACTTCCTTTCATAGCACGCTGTCCAGGCCAATCTTGTCCGTTGGCGGATAATCAAGCTTTAGGAATAGAGAATTCAATATCCATGAGGGACTCCGTGAACAAGGGTATGTTGTTAATCGACAGTGTGCGGCTGTGTTCAAGAATTTTCATGGACATCAAGCTGCCATCTTTACCCCTTTTCATCTGGTCTCAGGGCAGATAATGTTGATGTCTTGTACCTCCACTTCTCTTTTGCACTGCCTCTCCCTCTTTCAATACATACCGCCTACCGTAGCGTACACAAGCTTGTGCTGTGATCACATAAGGAAGAGCTCGCGTAGCTTCGGCAAGAAGCCACGTGCTCGACTGACCCAATTCACCCCAATCCACACCAACGGCTCTGTCCGCCCCACCCCTCCCGTTTCTTACCGGCGCTAGCGAGTGAATCCCGACAATCTGTTCTAGAAAGTCTCGTCGTCCTACCAGCACCTTCGTTCCTTTCCTCATCCTACAACAACCAGCAAAGTCGACACTGCATAGCTTCCTTTCAGCCTGCCCAATAGACACCATTTGCTACCAGCACTTAGACCTTTCCAATCATCTAGAGTAACTGCCCTTCAACCTCTCTACCTACCTTCCCTCAACGAGCCGCTCGCTGCGTTGCCCACGGCTTTGCGAGTTTGTTTAGTTTCAGAGCACCTCAACGTCCAGCGCAACATCCATTCACACCATATCTCCTGCCTCCATCCGTACTGAAAATGGCTTCTAGCAACAAGAAAATGAGCGGAACAATCGAGCAAAGCGCCACCGGCCCGCGCCAGACAGTCACCCACCTGTGGGTCAGCAACGTTGACGGTCCCGTGCTTGTTCGGGACGCCGTGCCCTTCTTCTTTCGGGGCCATTACCTGTATGACGCCCAGGGACGCCCAGTGGAACCGGTGACTTTCCGCAATCCGAACAACCTCACGTTCCGTCTGGCACGCAACGCGCAGAACATTCCCCCCTTCAACAGACAGAACGGTCCAAACAATGCTGGTCCCGCCAATGCCCCTCCAGCCAACGCTTTTGCGCCTACAAACACAACATTCGACCAGGCCGTGCTGCTCAACCGACCCGCTTCGAACCCTTCCACCGCTCCAACGCCCAGTTTGACCTACAGCGACTCCACCATCTCCACCCAGCCTCGCCGTGGCGCACCCCCCTCGCAGGGCTCGGCTGTGGCCTCGGACGTGGCCGCTGTGGAGAACAATCTCCCAATGAGCCCAACTCTAGCGACCGCTTTCGGCGGAGATGAGACTCTTTTCGACGACACGCCGGCCATGCAGGCCGAGGATGGAGACTTCGTGGTCGGTAAGTACACTTCCTCCCCTATTACGCCGATAGGTTGATTGTTGGTACTAATTCTGCACAGACTGGCCCCAGATATACGACCAAGAGAACCAGATCTCGCAGGCTGACCTGAACGCCGAGCTTGCTCTTCGTACCCGCGGTGGTAGGGGCGGAGGCATTCGTGGTGGACGCGGAGGGGCACGTGGAGGGGGATATGGAGGTGCTGGTCGCGGAGGGAGAGGAGGACGCGGAGGCCTGGGTGGAGGCGCTAATCGTGGAGGCCGAAGGGGACGCGGAGGCCAGGGCCTTGCGCAGTAAGAAGCAAGAGAAGGTAAATCAGCTTACTTACTCTATCCTTTTGACATGCTAATGATAATGTAGGGAGTCCCACCTGCCCTCCGGGGAAACTCGGGGAACATAGGCGGGAGCGTTGGCTGATTTGCGGTGTGTTTTTGCTTGTGATTTCTTGCGGTCCGATTTGAGCGTGGAGTTAGAAGGATTTTGCCTGAGGGCCTACAATTGGAGCGTCGAATAGAGTGGCTGCATTCTCTCGTGACCTCTTAGAGGACCTCGAGACCTTTTAGATTCTTCAGAACTATACCCGGCTGGATCAGCTCTACGAATTGAACTTCACTTAACTATACCTTCTAAATCGCTTCTGCTATATAATCATTTTGTATCAGTTCAAAAACAACCGCACAACGTAATGATGAGAATCAGATCGGATCCTTCAAACTTGGCTTTGACTCTTTGTATGACTGCTCGGGGTCTCCCGGGCTAATCAAAATATATTTCTCCTGAACCCCTAAATCAGTCTCTGCAAGTCAGACGCCTTTCTATAACTTGATTCTAATAAGTATATTTGATCAGAATCTGGAAAGTCCTTCAACGAGTACTCCAAGGTCGTCTTATGAGAGCCCTGTTTCGCGGCGCGATACCAGCTGTACTTTCTCCCACTGTTCATTTCAAAACTCCATCGCAACACCAGCCATGCGAGGTGTGATTCGGAGGCCTCGAATAACCAGACTGGGACCTATCAAAACTGTTTCTAGGGCCCCCGCATGGTGTCTCCTGAAACAACAATCTCGATGCTACCATGAGAGGTCAGATTGGCAGGTTCAAATAGACCACTGGAAGGCCCGATGGACTTCTTGGAGGACTCCTGGACTGCTAGAAATTTCGAGGGTCTACGGAACCCGAATAATATCCTGAATTGAAGGGCCTTTCCCGAGAATAGATTTTTGAAGCCACTTATACCTGGAATCTTGAATTCTCTTTCTTCTACCTCAGTTTCGTAGAACAGCTACCTCCGGTGCCTCATGGGAGGCCAGATCGTGCGCTACAAAAAACTCGTTTGCCTTATGCCATGACTGCTCAGAGCATCTTCAACTATTACACGCCATGGAAGATATGTCTGGCCGGATCATACGTCATGATCCAGCACGCTTTTACATACCTCGATTTTGTCACCTTATATTGCAGGTGCTGCCTGAAACTACCCTTCGGAGTATAGCCAGCATTGTAAAACAAGAAACCCCCGACTTCCATGGAGTGTATTTGGACTATAACTGCCCAGGTTGTGATATTAAAATCGTCACGGCCTAGCAACCATGAGCGGAAAGACTGAAAGCTTAAAACTGCCCTAGCTGCTACCTTATGGCTGCTTGGGGTATTGTCAAAACGAACTCCTCAGCATCACATAGCTGGCTGGATCTGCCTTCAGCAAAATTACTGAGCTAGAAAAGCCATGTTCCGAAATCGATTGGGCGTGGGTTCGAGTATGGTCTCTCGATTTGTGTTTTCAAAAGGCCTCCTCCGACGTGGAGAGAAGGCAGAATCGGGACTCTCAACGCCGCAGTTATAACAGTTACATGGCTGCTCGGAGGTCTTCTGGGCTGCTCGAACTCTTCAAACGGAGCAAGACGATTTGTGATGAGCAGAGAGTCCGCCACCTTTAACAGGTGAGTGACGGAATCGCCATGGGTCCTTGGAGACCTCCTGGACTGCTGCGGTCTTGTGAAACCGCGTGTCCAAGTATCGTGATATGCATTTACGCTCGAAATCGTGATGTGGATTGAAGAGGCCTGATAACTGGATCATACTATAGTGGCGGTCCGGTGTTGTATCAGTGCGGAAATCTGGAGGGTGTGGCAGGGCTCATCTTACCTCTGTGTTCTAGGAAACAGTCCCGAAGTCTAACTTTGCTGGCTGAAAAGCACTATACTATATGTGGGACGGAGGTTGCGATATCAAGGTGAGGCTTCGGGTTTCTCGGTGGCGGCGTTAGGAGCATCTCGAGCTGCTATGAAGGTTGGAGATCTGGGAGATATGTAGGGTTAGATTTACCTCAAATATCTGACTAGCCCTGAATTTGACTTGGTTCACCTCAATACAGTAGTGCTCCCTAGATCTGCAGTCGAGACTGCTAACTCAAAACTCAGTCTTACAAGGCGGAGGTTCTACGATGAGAGGTTTCCGAAACGGCTGATCAAAACGAGAGTTTCCGGCTTCTCAGGCATCTAATTTTGCACATAATATCTTATTGAAGACAAAAGCTCTTGAATTGCGCCATATACATGAAATCGCCGTGCCCAGCAATAATACAGACCAAGAATATTGCCATCCAATCCAAGCGCTCAAACATTACGATTTTCCATTGCTAATGAAGCTTGAGCTATGAGCTCGAAGCAGCCTCGGTCACTGTCCCGCTCTCGCTCGTGTCCTTTTTCTCCTCCTGCGTCTTCTTCGCTGCCGCCATCTGCCACGCCGGGATGGCTGCCCTTCCATTCGCTAACCTGCCATACGGCGACCCCGTTCGCTCGGGTGTAGAAGCTGGTGCAGTGGCTGGTGTGGGAAGCGTAGCGGTACCGCTTGTCGGAGCCTCCGGAGCCGCGGGCGTAGGGGCAGGCGCTAGTGTCGAAGTACCGTTCACAGCTGGCGGAGATGCAACCGAGCTACCTAGCACGTTACCGCCGGCCACGCTGGGTGGTCTAGCAGCACCAGCACCCATACGGTTCCCTACAAGAGTCTTGAGGCTCTTCAGCTCGGTTCCTAAGTCCTTGAGCCTGCCATCGGTAGTCTCGCGGTGTGCGTCGAGCGCCTTCGGGATAAGGTCCCGCAATCCCCTGACATCGTCTTCAATCCGCCGGTTGTCATCTCCTTGCCTCTTGCTAGCCTCCTTCAGACCCCCTAGTACCTGTTCCATTTCTTCCAGTGCGCTATCCAGCCGCTTTGAACGAGCCTCCTCAGATGCTTTTAGCGCGGTGGTGTCGGTGTTCAGCTGGTCGAGGAGGGCAAAGGCGCGGTTGAAGGACTCATCTATCGACGCTTTGTCTTGTGCGAGTTGGGGAGGGGTCGGAGGCTTGATGATGGGTAGGATGTAGCGTTTCGCGGTGAAGTAGAGGCCGTATCCTACGCCACCCATGACGGTCGCCATGATGAAATAGTCGCGCCAATCACGCTTTGGTGGTCTATTTTATCTTGTCAGTGCCTTCCCTACCAATTCCAAGTCTCCATGTAACGATGGCTCAGTAACGCGTATATCGTACTCTGGTGGCGGCGCTTGTGGCCAGAATCCGCCCTGATATCCATAGCCCGCGGGTTGCTGCGGAGGTTGCCTATACCCATAATTCGACGGCGCAGAAGAGGGCGGAGGAGTTGCGGCGCCATAGTTGGGATCTTCCGCAGCACGTGCTAGGGAGACATCTATTTCTTCCTGGGTGAGGTTCTTCGACTGGAGGAAAGCTATGCGCTTCTCGAGCGGAGCATTGGCGACGGATGAATCTTGAAGGACTGTAGCGGCGCGTCAGGAGTGCTATTCTAGCAGCATATGGGTATGCGACACTTACAGGTGATCTGGATAACGGTTAGCTCTTTGCATATCGTTCGCGGGGATGATGGAGACTCACTGCCGACGAGACGAGGTCCTCGCGGACCATGTTGACTACCAGCGGCGCAGAATCGCGTACATACAGAGTTTGTACTTTGTATGAGCTCGAACAGGCGTGGTACTTGTCAATATGAAGTCGGGTGGTTGGGAAGACGTAGTGATGGGAGAGCTGGACCGCAAGCCTCGGCTTTGGTGAAGGATTATGAACTAACCGTCTTGGGTTTGAGTTGTCACGTGAAGGGCAGACGTCGTCTTAGAGCCGCATCGACAACATCTTACAGAAGCTCGTGAGAAACGTCGAAAAGCAACAGCATCTCCAAGACAACTTAGGCTAAAGCTCAGGAAGTATGCGCCAGACCGGTTATTGCGGTTCGATAGCGTTAGCGTGTCAGTCATGTTTATCGATTTCTTATTTTCTCGCTACGCGTTTCGTTTCTCCTCCAATCCACTGGGCTCTCTGTTTTGCTTATCACAGGTAGGATAAAATGGTCGTAGTGGTATGCTTGGCGCATGCGGAGGGCGTACTGTTTCCATTGTGATTTGACAGCCTTGCATATCGGCTCCCAACCCTCAGAGCTCTTTTTGGCCTTGTCTGAACACGCCATTGGCAAGGCTGAACTTTCAAAACGAAGACCGAGTTGAACTAACGGTTTCTCAAATTTCTCAATGTTTCTATTTTATTCAAGATATAGCCAGTTGAGAGTTCTATAATTGAGCGATGACTTTCTTCCTCATGCTTTCCTGTTTTACACGCTTTTCGGTCCAGTGAGGCTCTTTTTGGTGAAACCTCTACACAGATCCTTGGCCATTCCCCTAAAATCCCCGAATTATTAGAGCCAAGAGTCGTATGCATTGTAGTCACGAGGGTCCAGCCGGACATGGGGTCAGGCTCTGCTCGTCCGCTCTGCAGTAGCGCCATGATATTAGAATCCAGGCGGAATATCCGAGCCCTCGTCGCGGCGGCCGCCATGGCGCTCTCCAGCCTCCCCGCACCGATATCCTTCCAGAAAATACTCTGCTAATGCTGTTCTACAGCTTGACATCGCGACTTTTTTTGGCTATTACTTTCTACCTAGATATGGCGGGCCGCCGTTCACATGAGGACCCTGAGGTCGCTCCATACCAGGGTCCAGAGATAGTACCACAAGGCTACCATCAGCAAAGCTACGCACAGTTTGGTCAGCTTCCTCAAGGACAGCAGTATTCACAGTACGGATTAGAATCACCTCCACAGCCGTAGTACGCGTAACTATAGTACGCGCAACCACACTACTTGGCTCCACCATACCCGGGCTCGCCGCAACCGGAAAAGAGCGACACCCAATATGTGGATGTTGCGCCAAATGATAGGAATGTAGAGAAGAAATCAAACCGGAAGTGGTGGATCATAGGAGTGATTGCGTTCCTTGTCATTGCAGCTGTAGTAGGCGGAACCGCTGGTGGTGTGCTGTCGAAGAAGAACAATGAAAATAAGAACATGTAAGTTGGCGACCTTTGCGAGCTGAGCAGACTAACGTATGAGCAGTGCTCCGTCTGCAATCGCAGCATCTCATACCTCAACAGCAACATCATCCTCTGCTTCTACAGAAGCGCCACCCTCTGTCTCTAAAGCAGAAGCTTCCTCGTCCTCTACAGCAGAAGATTCCTCATTTTCTACAGCAACTGCAATTCCCACCACAGGAAGCGCAACCATCACAAATGCACCCGTCGCGCCCACTCCTACGGCGTCTTCTAGAAGCGTGTGCCACGGCACCCTCTGCAAGAGAACGCTCTCATCCACATCCTGGGAACCAGGAATGGGTATCGTCTTCGGAATCGGCGAGAACAACGGACTTTACTTCAAAAGTGTTAACGAGACCTTTTCCGATGAGTCATGGTTTTCGCTTGGCGGCGTCTTCATCTTCCCACCCGTAGCCGTGTCAAGGACAGAGTATATAATAGACGTGCTTGGCGTTGGGACGGACGGGGCAATGTACGAAAAACACTACGACCGTTTTAGTGGCGGCTGGAGCAGCGATTGGGTGTCCCTTGGCGGAGTCTTTACAAGCCCACCAGCCATAGTCTCGTGGGGTCCGAACAGGCTGGATGTCTTCGCTATCGGGAGCGATGGGGCTATGTGGCGCAAAGCATGGGGCGGTAACAATCCAACCGGGTGGGATGTCGAGGATTGGTATTCTTTGGGGGGAAAGTTTTCCACACCGCCTGCTGTTGCGGCGCGGATGCCTCGCCGGTTGGATGTTGTGGCGCTGGGGACTGACAATCAGTTGTATCACATATCGTGGCAGGAAAATTGGTCGAACTGGGAACCACTGGGGGGCCCATTTCGTGGCACACCGACAATTGTGTCTTGGGGGAAAGACAGGCTGGATATCTTTGTTCTGGGGACTGATTACGTGGTCTGGCACAAGGCCTGGACGGGCAATGCTTGGTCCGATTGGGAGTCGCCGGGGGGAGACATGAAGTGGGAAAGCGAGCCAGTCGCAGTGGTATCAGACCTGAATCGAATTGAATTGGTGGCACTCAACCAGACCGACGATCAGATGTATCACAAAACGCTGGTAGCATCTGAGTGGGGCGAATGGGGGGGAATTTTCAACGGTGTACTTACGGCAGTTTCGCTAGAGTCGAAGGGCTTGGACATTTTTGGGATTGGCACGGACAATGCCATGTGGCATCACACTTGGAGTGATGGACAGTGGGCAACGACTTACACCTGGGACCAATTGGGTGGCGTATTTGCGTTGACTGTGTGAAAGATGCGGAAACCTTATTTGAGATATTATATTCACATGTGTATGTACCGTAATTAATAGTTTAGTGTAATTCTACCAGAAGCTACCTCGACAACACTCAAAGAACCGGGAACCTGCACACCTCAAACACCACTCTCTTCACCTCTTTGGACTACTGCGAGTCTGCAGGCTTCGGCTTTTCTTCGTTCCCAGCCTTAGCCTTCCCTTTTCCCTCAGAAGCAACCTCTGCTTTCCCCTTCCCCTTCTTCTCACGCACCGCCGTTACCTCCTGAAGCACCTCTTTCATATCCCCAGCCGCCACATTCAAATCTTCAAGAGCCTCCTTGATATCCTTCATCGCTCCCTCCACACCCTCAACCGTCTCCCTCAAATTCTGAATCCCCGCATTCGGAACTCTACCCGCTACCTTGCCTTTCTCCGGCTTGGCAGGACCAGCCCAACCCTTGCTACCACCGAACTTCATCGCAAACTCCCTCTCCAAACACAGCAGCAGTGCCTCCATCGCCTCCGATCGCCTCAACCACCGCGCGATCCTGGGTGTGCCTTGCGCCCGCGCAAGTACCTCAATCTCATAGTCATCGTCACCCCTCGCGCCACTTGGGGATGGAGCAGTTCTGCGCTGGTTAAGGAGGCGTGCAGTGGACACGTGGGCCAAGCCGTCGGGATGAAAGCGGTGTGTGATAACGACGGTGTAGGCGTAGCCAGCGGCGGGAGGGCCGTAGAAGTTTGTTGCTGTTTCTGTAGGAAGGCGTTAGATTGTGGTTTTGGGTAGGGGATGGGGACAATGTCCTTACCTTGAATACGCCACTCTAGGAGTTCGCAGAGTTGGGCATCTTGGAGGAGGTTGAGAGTGGTTGGGGGAGTTGGAGGCATGAATACGATTTTGGGATATCCGGGGGGGATGTTCTTGGGGGCGGGAGTGGTTGGTTTCTTGGGGTTGTTGGACATGGGTGGTTTTGGTTGTTGGTATCAAAGGTTTTGGTTGTTGGTGTCTAAATTTTGATTGTTGATGTCGAAGTTTTGGCTGGGCTATGGAACTCAGCATTGGTGTATAAATAGGAAGAATGGAGATAGTTTTTAGTGAAGGGTGACAGCCTGGCGGTAGTCGACGTGTTTGTGTACATAGAGACTGGCGATGAGGCACTGACGTAGCCTCGAGAGCGTCGATAGCTTCGAAGGTGTACGTCTATCGTGGAAGAATAAGCACCTACTTTGAGGCTCCTGAAGCGTTGGCAAGAGAGCGCAAAGCAGACTCACTTCCTAATCCTAAATCAGGCCTACTGAGGAAAATCTTTAGACGGTGTGAAAGGTCATGTAGGTCTCCTGGCCTCAATTCAATGTTCTGGCTAAGATGACAGTCCACAGTGCCGTGCCGAAAGTCTACGGACATCCATTTGTCACTGTCAGGGGCACCCCAATGAGGCTTTAGAACTTCGAAGACGATGTAAAATTGATGCAGCAGAAATTAGCTTACCATTGGACTAATCTGTGGTGGCCCGGAGGGCTATCGCTTGTCAAATCTATCGCTTCGTAATCTGTAATATTCTACCATAAGACCCCAAGCATTGCTAGGCACGTGTACGCAAGCTGAATTCACAAGAAGAGAGAGATTATTGTACTGCGATATAGTCAAAGTATAGATACAAGGAAAAGCCTGCATGCAATGAAAAGCACGATAGCATGTTTTATTTCTCCGCCACTAGGAAAGCATAACTCGTGGATTAAGTGAGGGTGATGCTAGCACATTGTCCATTCAGCACAACATAGGGTGAAAATCCTGGAGGTGAGTCTCCTTTGAGCAGTGACAATCCTGTGAAGGACTTCGAGCGGCAGTGAAATAGTGTCAGCAAGATTATGTCCCCTTCGAACTATAGATCACACCGTATGAAGTTTGAGGCGGTGATGAGAGGGGAGGTAGTGATGATGGCTTGGCATGTACTCAAAAGCTCCCAGGGTTCTCCACCTTTCTCGATGCACGGACGAATCGAAGAAAGAGGGTCAGCGGCGTCGAATGCGGGCCGATGCATCCATCAGCATATCCCGCAACACCACATCCTGAGCTTCCGGCGACCAGCGGTAGAAAAGCTCTGCTGCATCATCTCATATCCTCTTCTCCTCTTCTCAGACCCCTTCACATTGTCACGCTGGACCTCCATTACTAGCGTTTCGTTAGCCCGGCTCGCTGCGGAACTTCGTCCCACCTCGAAACACGACTCGCACACGTTGCTTAACGCTGGTACACTAGCTGGAAGTTTGGATGAACAATGAACCAGTAGCTGAAGAGCTTCAACCACCATAGGAATACCACACAACCCATCTCACGGCCATCCGTAGGGCGGACACCGCAACCATGGGCCTCATCGACACGCGAGACCTGCGCCAGTTTCCCTCGGGAGACAACTCGAGCGACACGGTCATCAACGGAGTGCATTTCAATCTCACAGCGCTTAATCTTTACAACTACACCTACTACTCCAACGACACCATCTCCAACGCCTCGAAATGTTACCTCATCTTCGAAAAATACCAGCCTCATATGTTCGCGAACGGAAGCTGGGTCAATGGAACAAATTGCTACAACCCATACTACGGAATCAAGGCTCGGGGGGCTACAAGTATAGGTTTTGCAACTCTATTCGCCGCCAGCATTGTATTCTCGCTCGTAAACTTGCGCAAACACGGGCGGCTGTTCATCCGGGAAGACAAGAGGTTTAGGGCAATCGGAAGGCGATGGCAGTGGTACTGGATGTGCTTTGTGGCGGCTTGCGGCATGATCAGTTGTATAACTGGGGTGGACGTCGACCGAGATTATCTGCAGAACATCCCAATTGTCCTACAGAGCTTCTTCTTCTGCCTTGCACTACCGGGAACGCTGGCTATGGTCTGGGAGCAAACGAGGCATTGGTAGGCACGCCTCTCAAAAAACTAGGTTCTAGCTGATGATATTAGGGGCTCGTGGCAAGAGAGGCAACTCTATGACAGAGATCCTTTCTCGCTGCCGCAGGATGACAAGCGTGCCAAAACCGAATTCTGGATGCCTTTGGTCTTCTACCTGTTCGCTTGGCTGGTGAGTTAGTCAAAGGCAACGTCATTGCGCAAAACTAACTTATCCAGAACTTCTTCATGATCATCCCGCGGTCTTGGACACCGCTAGAGAAACAAAATTCGAAAGATCAGCAAGAAAACATCGCCGAGCCCGCAGGAACAGATGTTCGCGAGAAAGTCGGTGGAATACTAGCAGCTCTCGCGTTCCTCGTGATATGCTTCTCCCTCCATCACTCCCTTCGTCATTACAAACCTCGGGCTACTGGAATCTGGAACAAGATCAACTCCTTCTGTCGTGACTGCCCGACAAAGATATTTCTCAGCATTATCGTATTAGCTATTCGCGTAGCGTATGCGATAGCATCGGCTTGGGAGTGGGATATCAGTATCTTTAAGTATGATGTTAATGTTGGCTGGCCTTTCGGACTTGGCTGGGGCTCGACCCTTCTGATTATAATAATCATGGAGGTTGCTGGAATGGTGGAGGAGAACGAAGACAAGGTCATCCTCCAGCAACGAAGAGATAGAGGTCGCATCGTCGATCAGGAACTTGGCCTCGTCAAGAAACCAAACTGGTGGAGCAAATCGCATGCAGACAGCCGTCTCACCGACGAGGAGCGGATGAAAGCTCTAACGACAGAAGTTGGGGGTGGCAGGCCCACTGCAAGGAACATCTCCGCCAACGTCGAGCTCACCAACATGAACTTACGGAATCGGTCTCGGGACAGGCCAGCGGTTGATCCTTTCAGGGACCACAGTCCACAGGACTCAACGAGCGGCAATAGGCTCACTATAGCACGGACAGAGAGCGACAATGCTAGCACTATGACCGGAGTGTCGAATACTACGAGGGCATCAGACCGGACGCTGGGAGAGAATGCACAGCCGCAAGTCATAAGAAGTATGCTGGATATTTAAGGATGGGGCAGACGGTCAAGCGATTTGATATCCTCCTGGGAACTCTGTGTTGCTTGGATTGATTCGTTGTATATCTTTGTTTAATGTAGCGTTCCCTAATGATGTAGCAAGTAGGTAGTCTATCGTTGACGGTAATGCGACATGTTTTACGACTCGTACACTCGCCATGACGATGTGAGGTCTCACTATAAGCCAATTGAAGCCCAACGAGGAATATCACGACTACTTTTAGCAACAGTCATGCACAATTCCCCACAGTTGACGAAGGGATTTTGACGGGGAGTACTCCCGTTCTCCGTGAGCGGTCCAATCAGCGGCGGCTGCAAATGCAAGATGATCACGGAGCGGTGGCTTGCACCTCTGGCGAGCGGCGGAGTCCATCTCATGCCATTATCCCTCAACATCCACACTCAACGACCGGACTCACCACATTGTCTGACTCCTTACATAGCTTCGTGGCCTCGCTCTCCCCACTGCGCTTCCTTCCTCGCCCACAGCAGCACAGCTCTCCGCATCCTCCGCACACCCGATCCAGCTCACGACCCCTCATGTGGTGATGGCCGACCACCCAGCCTCAGAAGAGCCGCCGGCGAAGAGGCAGGAGAAGAGCCACCCAGTCCTGCAGCCCACCGCGAACAATGGACCCCGATCGCCACCGCTCGAGAAGCCGACGAGCCTGCGGACCTCCCAGAGCCCACACATGGGCCACCGCCAGAGCTTCGCGGAGAACCTGCGGGGCAATCCGTCCTCGCCGCGAGCTCGCAGACAGCCGTCTTTCTCTCAGAATGCTCTGCAAGACCTTTTGAACAACCCGCCAACCAAGGCTGCAGCTCCAGAGTTTGTGGGGAGGGACTGGAGGTCTATCCAGGTGGGCGAGGTTGTGGATCACAAGCAGGTGCGCTTCGTGCAGTACGACACCAGCGTAGAAGAGACGACCAATGTACGCGAACCTGGGGATCAGTTCCTGATACTTCATATACTCATTGCATTCATAGGCACTTATCACCGCTGGTCCCCCTAATGTGGTCCTCATCCGCGACTCTCCTGAGTCACACACCGCCGTCGGAACTTTCGACTACAATGATCTGAATGCCTACCTCCTACTCGTCGTAGGGCTCGCGAAACCCAGCGAGGAAGATGCAGAGTCTGTGGACAAAGTTCTGACAAAAGCAAGAGAAGGGAAGCCCATCGCTCTCCGAGAGGTCAAAGATCTAGGGAAGAAAGAGCCGTTGATTGTACTACCGCATACCGCCGACCTCAAGAAATCAATGGAGCTCTTTGGTAGCGGGATCCATCGGATCCTGGTCGTGAAAGAGGGCACAACGGAAGTCATTGGCATTTTGTCACAGCTCAGATTGGTCAATTTCTTCTGGGAGAACAGGAAAAGCTTCCCAGCTATTGATCAGCTGTACCCGATGTACATCAAGGACTTGAACTTAGGCTCGCACACGGTGTTCGCAATCAAGTAGGCTGACCCTTTTACTGTTAGAACGCTGTATCGCTGACATAATTTCAGCGGAGACAAGCCTCTCACGGACGCCCTGGAACTCATGAACAACGAGGGCATCACCTCTCTTCCAGTTCTCGACGCCCAGAATAATGTCATTGGCAACATATCTCATGTGGATGTCAGAGTAAGCTACTTCTAACCCTCACATGAATTATCGAAGTACTAACTGTATGTAGCTTCTCACGAAATCAACCTCAATCCACCTCCTCAGCTCCTCTTGTATCCACTTCATCTCCGTCATCCTCTCCGAGCGCGGCATGAACGACGGCAAAGACTCGTTCCCAGTCTTCCACATAAACACAATGTCGACGCTAGCTCACACAGTCGCCAAGCTCGTTGCAACGCGCTCACACCGGTATGCTCCCTAAATGCACCTTTTCCAAACCAAGATAACATCACTAACATGTACCGCAGCATGTGGATTGTCGATCAACCCTCTCCGGCCTCCTCAGGCCCCCCAACTCCTGCCGCTACCCCGGCCGTCCTCGTTCCCCCATCTCCCATCACGCCCCTTCCATCCGCCGCAAGCAGCTACCAACCCTTCCCTTCGCCAACCTACCCACCCGCTCAACCTGCCCCCGCCATCTCTGCCTCTGCTATTACAGGCGCCAGCATGTCCGGTCGTCTGTGCGGCGTCGTCAGCTTAACGGATGTCCTGAACCTGTTCGCAAAGGCCAGCGGATTGAAGCCGCACGACCCCGACGAGACGCGAAGAGCACGCCGGCGCAGCTCGAGTAGCAGCATGCGGAAGAGCATAGATAGCTCACGGAGCGGAAGCGTGGATGTCATAGGGAGGCGGGGGAGCGCGAGCGGGGGGGTCTCTGGACCTGGGATTATCAGGGGGAGGGGATTGTGAGGTCGGGAAACACAGGCTTCGCAATTGCTCCATTGAGATTGTGGGATGCCGATGGCGTGGAGTCTATTGTAGGAATGACCGGATGGCGTTAAGGAGGTTTTTCCTGCTTTGCTTATTTGATGTTGAAAGGCACTAGGCTTTGATGAGGGATGAGCAGATACAATGAGTTGAGTCACGGACTCAAGAGATTTGGGTTTTCCGTCAACTTTGAGAATAGTTGAGAATAGCTACACAATGCTGCAAAAGCTGGAATGGAGGGTTGCTTCTATCTACGTTCTAGTCTGTGAAGTGATAGGGGTATACATAGCGGAACGCTTTGTCTACGATTGTTACAGAGACTGACTGTGACTACAAGGCATGTCTTTTCAAAAATGCCGTGGCCTAGAGAAGGGGAGCCGGTTGAAGCTTCCAGCTTTCGTCTCATCTGAAGGCCTCGGACTGGTCAGAGAGGCCGCTGTAGTCCCGAGTGTTTTAGCCATGCTTCGACTTGTACAACGGGGCTCGACGTTTACTGTCATAGATGGTCTAGCGGCGCCCCTGATGCAGCAGGTACTCTACCGCCGCATCTCATCCCATCCACGCGGCTCTGGGCCCGAAGATGCTCCCTCAGGATATTGTTTTTTCCCTCATGTCATAATCGCACTCCTACCCCTTCAATCCGGCGCATACCGCCTCACGGCCTGCCGCTCCCGCCACGCCGCCCTCTCCTCTCGCCGCGGCGATCTGCTCCTCTCCACCGACATCCCTCTCTTCCCCCTTTGCCGCACCCCTCCAACCGCGACGCCATTATCGTCAAACCGCTCCGGCAGCCGCTCCGCATACTGCACATTGCGATCCCAGTCCTCGAGCCGCGTGTACGGGCTGCGCAGCCACGCGCCGAGCTCGTGCAGGAACAGCCGCGCGTGCGGCCGGCCCAGGAACTCGGCGAGCATGTCTTCGGCCTGCCCGGAGGGGGCTTTGAGGTCGATGGCCTTGAGGATCGCGAGGATGTAGGAGAGGAGGAACTCGGCGTTGGAGGCGCGGCGGGCGCTGGGCGTGGTGCTGGTGCTGCTGCTAGAGGTGCTTGCGGGTGGCTCGTGAGGCTCTGGGGCCGGGTTTAGGTATGGGAAGACGCGCAGCTCGCGGCGGATCCAAGTGCGGGCGCGGGACTGGAGGTCCGGGGAACTGGATATGAGGGCGGGCGTGAGGTTTTGGTAGCGCGAGATGCGGTTGCTGCCGACGTGGAGGGAGTAGAGAGAGTGTTTGTAGACGTGGCGGCGTTTTAGGAGGGCCGTGTCGGGGTTTGGAGGGGTGTATTGGCGCCTGCGGAACGGTCTGGTAGGATGTGATCGGCTTTGAGGATTATGTGGGAGAGGAGTAGCGGCGCCATGGGGATTAGGGGTCCGAGTGGACTGGATGGTGTATGTTTTGTAGTCGGTAGGAGAATAGAATTCATACTGGACTTCGGTGACATCGGTGTTGCCTTTAAGCAATTAGGGGGACTCGGAAAGTAACAAAATGGAAATGATACACCTACAAAGCGGACATGCTGACCGTTCTTGCAACCAGCTGACAAGGCAAATGAAGTCGAAGCTGTAGTGGTTACAAGGAACCGTAATGGCTCTCTCCGATATGGCGGAGAGGCAAATGACACAGGTCTCTGAATTATCTTCTGTTCGCGAAGCAGCGGGAACTGGCACTGGTAGCTGTGGTTCCTTGGTTATCAACTTCGCAGTGTCCTCCATGTGCTGGTGGTGGGGGAGCAGGAGGCGGAGGTGATGCGGCGAAAAGCGAAAAGATACATGGGAGCGCACGGGCTTCAAGAGTCGCGAACTGAACGTCAACCTCGTCTGCCACTTCTGTCTGGTCTTCAGCTGCGACTCCCCCCGATGTGACGACTACAGCCAGTTCTCTGTAGTACTTTGTCGCGCTCTGGAGCTCTTGGATGCTTGCTAGACTCGCAAGACATCTGCCGGCCATTACTCATCCTCGAATAACTTTCGTTCACTAAGAATGCTCGCAGCATCCCATGGCGCGCCAAACGGCATGAGCAATGGAAAAAGCGTCACCCACACCGTCACTGCACTGAAGCGGTGGTCATGTGATGACAAGGACTTACCAAGTTCGTGTTCTGGATGAGTGTTCTAATACAGCCTGCTAACTGCCGACAGATGTATCACAGATCAAGGCTGTTCACGTCTATGACTTCGACAATACGCGTACGTTCCTTCCAACCTCTGACGCAAGCATCAAATGCTGACGCTATGTATATAGTCTTTGCAAGCCCATTGCCCAACAAGTCACTCTGGAACGGTCCTACGATTGGACAGCTAGGATCCCCAGATATCTTCGTGAACGGAGGATGGTGGCATGACGCCTCGATACTGGCTGCAACTGGCCAAGGCGCCGACAAGGAGGAAGCAAGAGCATGGGAAGGCTGGTGGAATGAACAGATTGTGCGTCGATGAACGGAAGCTCGAAATGGAGAATGTGACTAACTGCTGGAAGGTCAATTTGGTCGAACTCACCATGCAGCAGAAAGACGCGCTGTCCGTATTACTCACTGGTAGATCCGAGAGCGGCTTTAGCGAACTCATCAAGCGCATGGTTCGAAGTAAGAGACTGAATTTCGATATGGTTTGCCTGAAGCCAGCTGTAGGTCCAGCTAACCAGAGGTTCTCGAGCACCATGCATTTCAAGCAGGAACTGCTGAGTGATATCGTGTACACCTACAAGGATGCGGACGAGATTCGAATATACGAAGACCGGCCGAAGCAGTAAGGATCCTCCCACAACAGCTTCCTTGCACTCCTTGCTAATTTCCTCTACAGTACCAAAGGATTCCGCGATTTCTTCTTCGGCTTCAACAAGGCCCTACGTTCAGGAGATGGCCCTATCCCGCGTAAACCCATAACAGCAGAAGTTATCCAAGTCCCCGAGAACGCTACAAGCCTCGACCCCGTCACCGAAGTCGCCGAAGTCCAAAAGATGATCAACTCTCACAACCTCATCATCCGCGCAGGCAACGGTCCTCATGGCGCCCACCCCCTCATGATCAAGCGCACAGTCTTCTACACTGGCTACATGATCCCGCCCGCCATGACCGACAAACTCACCACTCTCGTCAACCTTCCCCCCAACATGCCCGAAGGCGAAGTTCGCTTCCTTGCCAACAGCATCCTCATCACCCCCAAACCCTGCCCCCACAGCATCCTCGACAAAGTCGGCGGCATCGGCAACAAGGTCTTCTGGCGCGTTTCCGGCATCTCCGTCTTCGAAAACCGCCTCTGGGCCGCGCGTGTCGAGCCCGTTCCCTCTACTCAAAGGTACTACTCCGAGAATCCTACGCCCACCGTCGTGCTTGCCCTCCGCCGCGGCGCGAAGCCCGCCGATGCGGTCAGGATCCAGAACTGGCAGCCCGTCTCGGACGACAAGGCGTTCGAGTTTGAAAGCGTCGTCGGCGAGAAGGTGCTGCTGCGTGTTGAGGCAGAGATGCGCGACGAGAGCGAGTGGGAGAGCTACTTCCCGAGCAAGGGCAAGCGGCTACATCCGCGTGAGGAGGAGGAAGGGCAGGGCCGCGAGCGCGAGTGGCAGCCGAGGGAGCGGAATGATCGGCGGGAGCAGGGAGACAGGAGGCAGGGTGGTGTCTCGGCGAACTACCGCGGTGGGAATCAGAGCCGTGGACGTGGTCCACAGAGGGGTGGGCCGGGCTATGGCGGCAGAGGTGGGGGTGGAGGCGGAAGAGGAGGGGGATACGGAAGGGGTGGCGGTGGAGGTGGAGGCGGCGCTAGGAGCCGTGGGAGGAACGGACCGTCGCAGTACAAGAGCTTGGACGATGTTACGGATAAGAACTTCGGACATGCGAGCTACGACGATAGCCCTTACAATGCGTATTGAGCAAAAGGAGGCTCGGAATCTGGCCTGGTCTAGGAGACCTGTGGAAGGAATGGTAGGCGCTTGGGGTGTTATTGTGTTCCTAATCGGGTTTGCTGTTTACACTGTAGGGGATCTGGGGTATTTTCGGGTTCTTATATCTTGTTGTGTCTTCACGACCATCGGGATCAGTGTAGCTTATATTGCGGGTTAAGTGGTCGGAGAATGGCTTCTCAGAAGTCAGAAAACCAGGCATGACGTTACTGTTACTTCGAAGGTCTTCAATTGGGGTTCTCAAAAGCTTGGAGGTCTGTGATTTCCAAGAGCGCGGAATTAAACATTCCATTCGCATCGGCTATCTACCATGATGCCCGGAAGTATTTCCTCACGCCAAATTAGCAATTACCTGCAGCCCTGCTCCCATATATCCAGCAGCAGAGCTATCCTCCCAATGGTATCGTATATCCCCCAGCTAATGCATTGCCTAAAGCCACGGACAACTCCTGTAGCTAAAAACGAAAGTACAAATAGGAAAAAGGAAAAGAGTATACTACATGACAATGCACTTGGCCTTATAAGCCTCGCCGTATTGGTCGACACCAGCCAGGAACTCATTCTCTTTCTGCTTCCGCGTGACTTCGTCGGGGAACCACTTTTCGAGGAACTTCTTCATTTCGTCGTCGAGATCGGCTAAGAGTTATTAGTGTTGAACTGTGGGGAGAGTGGAATGAGGTTTGGTCTAGGCTCGAAACATACCGTCATGTAACGCCAGGATGCCTTCTTTTCGGCACAGGGGGCACCTGCTCTGCTTATTTCGTTGCATGACGATCATGCATCTGATGCAGAAGACCTGGATGTCGCGGCGGTGGTCAGCACAAGGAGGTAATCCGGGAGTTGGTACTGTAGATAAGCCTTACGTGATCGCATTCTAATCGGACAGGCCGCCAATGGATATCGCTGCAGATGGCGCAGGAGTAGTCGCTGAGTCGGGGCACGGTTTCGACTACGTCTTTGTTGACTTGGTAGCAGACTGCCTTTGCGACAGCGTCCGTGAAAACTGGTATGTGGACCTTGTTTGGAAAGGTGGCTTTCACGCCGAGGGCCGTGCGTTTGTCGAATTCTGTGAGATTTTAGTTGAGCGCTCAAGAAAAGAAAGCAGGAGGTTAAGCCAGACTGGTGTTACTCACTCTTTAAGATCTTGTACATCGCAGTGTTGTTGATTTCTTGGAACTTGAGGGTCTGGAGTAAGTCCTGGTTGAGCTCCAAGAACATATTGACGCTTGCTTCACTGTCTTCGCTTTTGAAATTGGTAAGCTTCTCTTTATTGAGCATGTTGGTGAACTGCAGCAGTTGCTTCTCGGCTTCGGTCACGGTGTGTGCCACTACTCGCATGCTCGGTTTGGTCTCAAAGAACACGTTGCAATCGGTGTAGTAGTTGAGAATCCGTCTCCATCGTACGACGTCCCTGATATCGCGCTTCTTGCCCGGGTTGGCTTCGATGATCTTGTTGATCTTCTGGCTAATCTGGATTATGACGGTATGAAGCCTCTTCTCTTCCACGGACTGCAACTCCGCGATTCCAGAGAGCTGAGTAGTGAGCATGGAGAAGAACTCCGAGTCAGAGGTCAGTGGGACTTCAATCATCCGCAGTTCTCTTGGAGACGTGGTCGTCCCGCTAGACGAGTTTGAGGAGCTTCGCTGAGGGTCTTCATCGGATGCCTCTACTTGATCCTGGGTCGGGTTTGCTCCATCAGAGGCCGTCCCAGAACCGCTGGCAGCAGCTTCATCAAGCTCGGTGACTTCAGTTACGCGGACGTTGGTGATACCATTCTCCAAGGCAAGTTGGTGCAGTTTAGACCTGGTCTCGGGCGATAGGTTGGCACTCAGAGGTTCTCCCGTGGCCACATCGACAGTGAAGAGCAGCTTTGGATGGAAGGTATTTTCGGGTGCCTTTTCATCACTGTTAGCAGCATCCCGTAGATCTTGCTCCGCTCTTGCCTCAGGAGTGAGGATGTATTCAAACGGCTTCTCGATTTGTTCTTCCCTAGCGAGGGCTTCTGTTTGGCTGGCGAGCTCCGACTCGGCGCGGGTGTTGTGATCCTCGACCTCCTGGAGGAGCTGCCTTAAGGTCTCGGGCGTAAGGCCGAAACTGGAGAGCTCTTTTTCAAGCCTGTGGAGGCACTTTTTGAGCTGCTGGTATCCTATAGCCTGATCGATCCAGGCGGGCGGAAACTCTTCCTGGAGGACTTGTTTGAGTTGGTGGCCGAATTTCATGTTGGAACGGCGCACGTGGAGCAATATGGACTGATGACTGGACCGTCGCCACGCAGCAGGGATATGGATTGATATTTGGTACGAACGAGTGCGGTGAATGGTACTGAAAGGTTGACAATAGCTGGTGTGTAGCTAGAAGCCATGGCAAACCAGCGAGCGAGAAGTACCTAGCTAGGAGATGCTAGAGCGCGGCAACTTAGCAGGCGCTAGGGGCTGAAGAGCAGTGGCGGTTGAGGGTTTGCAAGTCACGATGTCGCGGTCGAGATGGCCATGGGCACTGCCGCCAATCAGCGTTCACCATCCAGACATTTTCGCCGCGGGAATGGGCTGGCTAGGCCTAGAAGGCTCGTGGATATGCTGCACTTTCTATATCCTAACGTTTATATAGCGGAATAGATGGACTTTTGCCATCAGTTTTTCACTTGTTTTACGCTGTTAGGGCTCCTTCGATGACGCTCATATGTTCTGTGCGCAGAAGCTGTCTTTCTTGGATGCTGAATCAGGTCTAGACTATCTGATCCCACCGTCCAGCACGTGAAAAGAACCTGGCCTTTTTTCACTCCCCACTCCCCACCACCTCTGCGTCATCACACCCTGCAAATGTCTCTTGCGGCCGATCCCCGACTGCGAACATGGGGGCGAATCACTCTTCTGGTGCTGGCCACAATGGCAACGCCTCGCCCGCTGCTGGTGAGCTGAAAGTCAGCTACTACGAACTGCTGGGCGTAGAGAGAACCGCGAGCGACGAAGAGTATGTCTCAGAATAATGACTTTACACCAGTGACTGATACTGTGCGACAGGATCAAAAAGGCATACCGCAAGAAGGCCCTCGAACTGCACCCCGACCGCAACTATGACGACGTGGAACGAACCACGGCACTCTTCGCTGAAGTCCAGGTCGCCTACGAAATCCTATCCGACAAGAACGAACGCGCCTGGTATGACGCCCACGAACGGGACATCCTGCGAGGAGGAGACGCTGGTGGAGAGGCACACTATGAACATGACATGCGTGTCACAACCTCGGAAGACATTGCCCGTATGCTCAGGAAATTCCATGGTGGGATAGACTTCTCCGATGCACCTTCCGGTTTTTTCGGCTTTCTTCGAGACACATTTGTCACTTTGGCACGAGAAGAGGAGGCAGCCGCGGACTGGGAAAGTACAGATGTGCTAGACTATCCTTCGTTCGGCCATAAGGACGACTCCTATGAGGGTGTGGTCCAGCCATTTTATGCCACTTGGGCTAGTTTCTCGACTAAAAAAAGTTTTGCCTGGATGGATCTCTATCGCTACTCCGAGGCTCCCGATCGACGAGTGAGGAGGATGATGGAGAAAGAGAACAAAAGGTTGCGGGATGCCGGAATACGTGACTTCAACGACGCAGTTAGGACTCTGGTGGCGTTCGTTCGAAAGCGCGACCCAAGATACACACCCCATACTCAGACTGTCGAAGAGCGTGAGAAGACTCTCCGTGACGCGGCACGAGCCCAAGCTGCCCGCCAGAAAGCCGCCAATGCGGCTAAAATCCAAGGCAAAGTGCCAGATTGGGCGACTAGCCGCAACGCTGAGGATGAGGAGGATGAGGTAGAGGAAGAAAGCGACGAGGAACAGTATGAGTGTGTGGCCTGCCACAAGACCTTCAAAAGTGAGCGACAGTATGATGCCCACGAGAAGAGCAAGAAGCACCAAAAGGCAGTTCAAGCCCTAAAACGGCAAATGCAGAAAGACAATCGGCATCTAAACCTCGACGATGATATATCCGGTAGTGGGGCGAACACACCAACATCCATGGACGGTGCTGATAAAGTGGTCACTGTTGAGAAAGACGGCGCCGAAGAAGTGACGCATGAGTTAGGCGAGCTAGATGTTGACGACGAAGGCTCAGAGGTTACCCAGGACAATCAGGAAGAAGACCAAAAGTTTGTGAAAAGCTCGACACCACACTCGGAATCATCGGATGACGAAGACGACGAGTACGCTTCTCGATCTGAGATTGAGGATCGCCTTGGAGGCTCAGAAAGCTTAGCGTCTTCAGCGACCTTGATAGATCCCCTAGCGACAGACCCTCTCAAGGAATCTTCACAACCGAAGCTTGGAAAAGCAGCACAAAAACGGGCAAAGAAGGCAGCTCAGCAAGCTGCAATCGATCAGTCCGATCTCCAGTTCAAGTGCGCAGTCTGCAATGTAGGCTTTTCGTCGAGAACCCGTATGTTTCAGCATATTAAGGATTTCGGTCACGCTGCTCCCCCGCAGAAGACTGGCAAGGGAGGAAGAAAAATTTGATGGGCTACGATAGATGATTTTACGACACTTTGCATAGGAATTGGGATTTGCATATTGGGGGCGTTCACTAGAGATATCCAAAATAGGTTTTTGAGGGCTACATTAGACTTTTTTGGTTCAGAATAAGCATGAGGTATGTTCCTAGGAGTATGTCGAGCATTTTCGTCTACAACTTCACCATGGTACGCATGTTCGAACGTTTGGCATGCCTTTCCATTTCTCAAACTCTACAAATTCCGCGGAATCTTTTATCTTTCTATCTCTCCTACGCCGTGACTTGCGGCTTATTACGAAGTATTCTGAGAAGGTGTTTGGTGACTCCCTTGATTGCCGTGAGGAGTCTTGATCCTATCATCGCGCTACATACTAGGTCAATGACTTTCTTCACCCCATATAGGGTGGCATATCATCTTCGGAAGGTGAATCTAATCTTTGGGGCCCCGCTTCCACGTGGGTGCTTATCGGATCTGCGCATTGACCTCTGGGCCGGCCCGATTATATTTTGACGGGTACCTCCACTTCTTGTAATACATCCACCTTCAAAAATGGAAACACCAGTCTCCATTCGTTCTGGAACCAATTCTGGTGGTGCCGTAGACCTGCCCCCGAGTCAGGAAAACGGCCATTCAAGCATTGTAATTTCCGAGTGGGAAACTCTACGGATGAGGATTCAAGATCGCAACCCAATCGTCGTCGATGGATCGTCGCTAGAAATAGCTAGCATCGTCGCCGTATCTAGGTATTTTTCAACCGATTTTCTACTTTTTCCCTATTATCATCTGCCACTGCTAGTGCGGCTTTAGCGAGTTTACAGATTGCTCAGCATGACGAGCATTGTTTCCGATTGGTCTCTTGAAGAGACGTTGCAGCACCGCAGGCAGTGGTAGAACAGTGTGCGCAAACCTATAACGAGGTCCTATACATCCATTCTAGAAATGAAGCTGACAAAGATGATAGATATGGCATTTCCGGTATCCTAGATCCACATCCAGCAGTGAAAGCCCGCATTGACGACAGTGTGCGATTTCTCGACAACTACCTGAGAGAAGGCCATACAGTATACGGTTCGTTTCTATCCTTTTGAGATATTGCTATAATCTCCTCACAACTGTTCAGGTATCAACACCGGCTTTGGTGGTAGTGCGGATGTACGAACAACAAACCACGGTGAATTACAACGCGCACTATTACAAATGCAGCATAGCGGAGTCCTTCCTAGAGGTAATCCTCTTTCCGGCACCGACCAAGCTGCAGTGTTCACTTCCGCCCTACAGCCCGATGTCTTTTCCTCTCTCGCACTCCCGGAACCATGGGTTCGGGCCACGATGCTCGTGCGTTGCAACACTTTATCGAGAGGCCATTCAGCAGTCCGACCACAGATTATCGAGCATCTCTTGAAGCTTTTGGAACTCAATTGCATCCCACTAGTGCCTCTCCGAGGTAGTATATCAGCGTCGGGAGATCTGAGTCCGCTGTCCTACTTAGCCGGAGCTCTGGAAGGCAATCCTGGGATCTACGTCTGGAACGAGACAGACGAATGCTTAGCCCAGCAACGTCTCCCTATTCCTGCATCGGAGACCTTGAAAAAGATAGGGATCGCACCAACATCCTTTAAACCAAAAGAAGCTCTGGCATTGGTTAACGGTACGGCAGTATCTGCAGCAGTTGCATCCTTGGCCTTACATGACCTCAACAACCTCCTTGCCTTCGGGCAAGTTCTGGCCGCGATGGGGGTTGAGGCTATACTGGGGACCGCAGAATCTTTCTTTCCCTTCATATCAGATGTGCGGCCTCACCGTGGCCAAAAAGAAGTCGCTGGCAATATTCTCGCTATGCTGAGTGGTACGAAACTAGCTAGTGGAGTGGCTGGTAGTTCTCCTGCAGCTGCTACGGGGCTCTTTCAAGACCGCTACTCCGTCCGGACAGTCCCTCAATGGCTTGGCCCATTCCTCGAGGACCTCATGCTCGCGCACGAACAGCTAAGCATCGAGTGCAATTCGACGACGGACAACCCTCTCATCGACGCTCAGGGAGGCACAATCTATCATGGCGGTAACTTTCAGGCTGTTGCCGTCACATGTGCCATAGAAAAGTCCCGCATCGCTGCTCAAGCCATTGGTCGCATGCTGTTCGCACAATGTACCGAGTTGCTGAATCCCAACACCAACCGCGGTCTTCCGCCTAGTCTTTGCGCGGATGACCCAAGCACGAGCTTCACGATGAAAGGGGTGGACATTAACATGGCTGCCTATATGTCCGAGCTCTCGTTTCTCGCGAATCCGGTCCACAACCATGTGCAGAATGCTGAGATGGGTAATCAAGCGCTGAATTCCCTGGCACTCATCAGCGCACGGTATACGCATACTGCGGTTGAGCTGCTGTCACTCATGTCAGCTACCTACCTGTACGTATTGTGTCAGGCCCTGGACCTGAGAGCTATGCACGTCATATTCTTGGAAACCTGGAAGAGCAACTTGGAGGCGCTGACTAGAACTAATTTCGAGGACATTTTGGACAAACATACAGTAGAACGGCTTGTTAGTCTCATATGGACTCACGTATCGCAAGAGTTCGTGAAAACTTCGATCATGGACCTCTCTAATCGATTCAAGAATATCATGACCAGCAGTCAAACTATCGTTCTGACGGGTTTCCAAGAGGCTACAGTAGGAAACACGATGGAATCTCCAGAGCTAAATGCAAAGCTGCTCAAAGCGGTTCACAGCTTCCGGATCCAGGCTACAGAACAGGGTGAGTTCGCGTTCGAATCTATTCGGTCACAATATCTTCGGGGTCCAGATGCGACTCCCTACCTCGGAGCCGCCTCGAAGCGCATGTACATCTTCGTCCGGCGAGAATTGAAGGTCCCAATCCATAGAGGAGTCATAGACCATCCGACTCCTGTTGCTGACCCATCTGGTATCTCACCTGCGCCGTCGAAAGAACCGAAAGATAATGTCGACAAGAAGACTACTGGGGGCTGGATTAGCATCATCTACGATGCGCTCCGCACTGGAAGTTTGATCGAACAGGTTGTTGAGTGTTTGAAGGAGGCGACACAGCATCCAGGCGCTCTTGTGAAATGAGTGGCGGATGTTATGACCGGTGAAGCCACGATTGTTCAGTCAGCTTATTGAGATCATATCGCAAAGGGAGTTCAGTTTTCCGCAATAGATGGCCTGGTCGGTAGATTTTGCGTCATAATTTTGATGAGTTTTCTGCTCTTTGGACAGTGCCCATTTCTTTACTCCATGGACATAGACACAACGCCGTACTAACAGATTTCTCCACTCACGCACCCTCTTCCCTTCTCCCTCCACGCAATCCCCTCACGGCACCCCCCTCCCCGCCCGACTCGCCTTCGCCATCTCACTCTGCGCCACATCATCCGCATACCGCTGATAAATCGGCAAATAATGCTCCCGCTCACTCATAGTCTCCCTGACACTCTTCCTCTCCTCAACCGCCCTACTCCACTTCCTCCACCGCGCCCAGACCTCTTCATCTTCCCCCCCTTTTCCCTCCTCTGGAATCCCCAACCCGCCTTTGAACACATCAAACACAAACATCCTCACCGCCCACGGCGCGAGCGCCACATCTACGAGGCTGAAGTCGCCGCCGAGGAACCAGGGCCCGACGGGGTCCATCGCTCTCGTCCACTCTTTCAGGTGCCCGAGGAACTCCTCCCGCGCTTTGGAGAGTCCTTCGGCGCCGTCGCGGGTGGGTTGGTATTGCAGGAAGCGGTGATAGGCAGGGATGATCCGCGAGCCGACGAAGTCGGTCCAGATGCGGGCGCGGGCGCGGACGTAGGGGTCTGCGGGGCGGAGGGAGGGGGTGTGCTCGGGGAAGGCGTCTTCGAGGAACTCGCACAGGACGGTGCTTTCGTACAGGGGCTGGTTGTTGTAGGCGAGGGTGGGGACGAGGCCGCGCGGGTTGAGGGAGAGGAGGGAGGTGGGTTTGTGGTAGGGGTTTACTGGGTGGGGGTTAGGTTGGGGAGGGAGAAGAGGGGGTAGGGAAGGGGATGGGGACCTTCGATGTATTGGTAGGGGGTCTTCTTTTCTTCGAGGACCATCCAGGCGCGTTGGACGAAGGGGCAGAACCAGCCGGCGTAGAGCTTGAGGGAGTGCTCGGTTGAGTGGGCCTGGGGGTTGTTAGGGGAGGCTTGCATTTCTTGATGGTATGAAATTCGGGTCTGTTGGTCGAGTATTTATACCTTTACTGTTGCTGTAGCCAGACCGGTAGCCTCTGGATAGAGGTCCGAGTCGGGGTGCTGCTGGGTCTTGTTCTGGCTGGACATTGTTTGAGTGCAGCAATGATACAATTTACTTTCAGGAATAATTAAAAGGTGTGAGCAAACAGTAGAGTGCAGGAGGGTAGAGCAATGTTCAGCCTCAGATTTGTTTAAATTAAAGAGGAGTCTGCATGCTTTATAAGATGCATGACGCAGTGGGGGGTCTTCTACCCCACTTTCGATGCCGCGGGAATGGAACTCTAGAGGCCTTAATGCCGTGAAGCTTTCCAAGACATCCTAGGTGTAGTAATTTTACACCGATACTGAGTGTTGCTTGTTACTAGAATTACATGAGTAGTCAGACTTACTGTCGTTTAGGAAGGTAGGACTAAGGAGCCTCTGGGCTATGATAGCCCCAGTAGAACAGCGAACTGGAGCATGGCGACATTCTCTACAGCTTCGACACATATACCGATGCTTCTCTTCATGTAGCGTAGCTATGGCAAGCACGAAAAAAGGTGGTGAGGTCACTTTGCCCGAGCTCGGGCCCGTCTGAACTCTTGGCGAGCAGCTCTTCTGAATCTGCACAATCCCCACCACCTACCGCGCCGTTCGTCCAGCCTGTCGCGACGTCTTGCTCTTCTTAGGCGCTCCAGGATAATTGAACTCGCCGCGTCCAGCGCAATTATCTTGGAGACGCTGCCGATCCTTTTCTCCCGCCTCGCTCCCCAGCTCCCGCAATGGCGCCCTCCACCGCTGAACCGACCCGCTCCACCCAGAGCAAAGCCAGCAGACCGACGCCCGTCATGCTTCGAATCGTTCCCGCTATTCCACTAGCCTTCTCTCGTGCTCCTCGCGCTCCTCGCGCGAGCGTCCCAACCACTCCGGAGAACACTGGACCTTCCGACGCACCACCGGACCACACTGAAGCTTCAACAGCCGTGGAGAAGCTGCCAGACGAGCAGCGTCTGACAGAGGCGCAAGCTCCTCTCACGCCCGAGTCTAAAGCCTCCGCTCTGAGCCAAGACAGGCCAGCTGAGGACTCGCCTGGAAGCTCCTCTAGCAGGGTGTCGGGAGTTCATGTGGAAGAAACGCAGAACACCCGAGGTCAGCGAAATGCTCATTCCGTGTGGCACCATTACTTTTGCTTGTTACTTTTTAAGTTGGGGAAACTGTCCAATTGCTAAAATGTTTGTACCAGGTTCAACAGTGTCGGACGAGCAAACCGAAGCGACGGAGCTTAACTTCTCGCCTGTCGCTCCAGAGCCTACACGATATCCAATCAAAGAACTACCGCCTCCTTTCTATCCTGCCGAACACACTTCTACTCCTAATTCGGCAACTTCTTCGTCGACGCCATCTTTCCAACCTCCTATGATTGATACTGGCATTCACCACCCTCGGCCAAGTACTGGTAGCATTATATTTGGAGGCTTCCCGGACTCATCCAACTCTTCGCCAGCTCCCCCTCTAGGCATGACGGGATACCATCCTCCACCGCCCGGCTTCGCGCCCGGAAACTATGCTCCGCCGCAGTTCTTTACTCCAGGCCACTCTCACCATCCTTCAGATCCCAATGGCCACATAATGTTTCCTCCTATGAACATGCCTCCCCCTGTAGCATACGGATATCGGCGAGACCCTCCACCTCAACATCTGATGGGACAGCATCAGCCATGGTATCCGCATGCTAATCATGCTCCCTATCAGATGGTGCAGCAGGAGCCATATATACCGCTTCATGAGCCTGCGCTGACTAACGGCACTGCGAAGCCTTCTCGATCTGCGTCTCAAACATCCAGCCAAACACACGAAGGAGAGCTCAAACATCTTCCCGAGGCTACCGGTCTGGGCCAAGTCTCTAGACTACAGAACGGCATCCGCCATAGGGCCGTAGATCCAGAGGTAGAAACCAGCAGAATCGCCCGTATTGACTACCTTTATTCCCGGTTCGGAAATCCAGAGTTTGCGGACCGCCTTCTTCAAATTGGATTTGCAGACACCGCACCTTTCTTCGCCATGCCGGTTCACAGCGTCATCGTTGCAGATAGCAAAACTCTGGCGTTGGCATTCTCTGCAGCGACTGAACGTTATCAAGATGGTGTCAAAATCACGCAACTTTTTGTTGACGATAAGTTCATTACTCAGCAAGCAGTGACGGAGGCTCTCAAGTATCTCTACGGTGCACCTCTTCCAATACCGGCAAAGTTCTCACAAGGCCTGCAAGCTTTTGATCGTAATGCGGAGCAGGTCGACCCATATGGTCTAGCCCGCCAACGTATGGACCAAGCTCTGAGTTTCTCCGCTGCTGGAGCCTTCCTTCGACTACCAGAAGTTGCCAACCGGGGTATTGACATTGCGCTGCACGTTCTCAGATGGGACAACATTGAGCGCGCCCTGGAATTCGCTCTACAAGGCGGACTCAGCCCACCGTGGCGTGATGCTCAATCAGAATCTCCTTCTATACACCAGCCTACATATGACCCATATAGCTCCTCTCTACTTCGTGGCATCATGGCTTTCATCTCTCTTAGCTTTCCTTCGGACTTCAGACTGAACAATATAGCTCCACAGCTCTCCGGGAGTCCATTGATCCCGAATCTCATGGAACCTAGGCCTTCAACTCATCACCCACGCCTGAGCATGATTAGATTTGGACAGGTCCCACTCGAAGACACTCCTCGACCCACTTTCGTGATGACTTTACTCTCAAGCATTCTTCTATCGCTTCCCTTTTCAGTTCTTCGAAGCCTATTCGACAATGCCGCGCTCGGTGGTAAACTTGGTTGGCCCAAGGTTGTAGAAGTTATGAAGTCAGTCATCGAAGAACGCGAAGATAGACGCAAGAAAGCGTTGGAGGGCCACAGCAAAGGTGCGCTACCATCCGGAGCGGATCAACAGCTCGTAGAGAATCTTCAATGGGAAGAGCGTGTTGATCAATCGGACAAAGTCGAGAGTGGCTTCTGTGTGGCGCGCTCCCGGAGAACCGCCAACGGTCAGGAGTAGGACCTACCAACTGACACACTGCGCAAAGGTGTGGCGCTTTCTGGACTCAATTGGATGCGGGTGAATATTTGATTCTTGGGCGCCTTACTGGCTTGTACTCGGGCTTAACCAGCGTCTCCGACCTTCAACTAGATCTGGACTAGGATTGCATGGAGCTAATTGCTCGAAGTGCATCCGACACGTTTTTCATGTTGTTGGGCATTCATCTTGTAATGCTGTGGATGGGCAGGGCGAAAACACTAGGTGAGTTTGATTTGAAGTGTTATGATTGTGTCAATTGCCGATTTTCTCCTTTGACCTCGGACACAAAAAATGTGGCTTTTTGCATAGCGAGCGTGGTTGGCGTTTCTGGTTTTTCATCAAGTTTATACCACTCCTGTTTAAATTCGTGGTTTTCGGTAGTGAGGAGCATATTCCCGTGTTGGGCATGGGACAAAAAAAATCACGGGTCTGCATTGCGAGGGCATCGCTCATGAACCAAACCTGTTACGACTGTACATCATCAACATTTGTCATACGAGCGAGCTAGTGGCGGATGGTACGACTTGGGTGGATATCGGATTGATCATCGCGTCAGACGCAAAGGAGTGTCGATAATAATGAGCACTATAGCTCCATTTGGTATGCCGGGAGACCTGATATGGGACGACTCCAAGGCTGTCTGTCCAGTTTCAGGCCCCCGTTCGATTTCAGGCCGCAGTTAGATATGTGAAGTTTGAAATCAACAAGTTTATTTAATACTGATCTTGTCATGTTACGGTGCGAAATGATCTTGACTCACGCCCCACTGTTCTTTTAAATATTCCCGTTATGGGCATCGCTCTGACCTCGGCCGACGGCATTGTACGAAGAAGTGAGGATATTGGCGGTCAACAAGCTGAGATAATACTGGACTTAGCGGGCGTATTCTATATTCACTGGGATTAGCGGACATAAGGCATGTCAGACTGTAGGTAGCCAACGAGATGGTGATGGAAATGCCGATTCAAGGAGATCTGCCGAAATCGTGGGGCACAAAGCACGTCGACGCCACGGCCTGCAGCTGTCACGAGCTCGCCAGGAGCCTCCCTTAACCGTGCCTACGGCTAGCAGGGGCTGTTGTACGAACCGCTTTGGTGAACTCTGCCTAGCTCTTCCATTTCCTTCCCGTCATTCTATAATCCCGGCTGTCCATCATCACTTGGCCCCATATGTAGCGGCCGTCATTCTCTCTTTCCTGGGCTCTCCCATCACTTCCTTTGTTTCTATCTCTTCACCACTTTCGACAGGGCTAACTCGCATCCTGATTTGACGCGCCTTTCTGAGATACTCCCGATTCATAAACACCAGCCATAGTCTCGCTTTCGAGAGGTGCCGCACCATGGGCCTCCCCGAGGAAGATGCACGACGCTCTCAATCATCCGGCTTCAACCAGCCCCTCGACGAAGAGAAAATTGAGAGCAGCTCTCGCGCTGCGTCAACACACAGCAGAATGGCCGGTCAACTTGACGAAAAAGACGGAGAAGACGTCCTTGAGGAGCCGGCAGCCGACCTGGAAGCTGGAACGGATAACAAGGCTACGAGAATACATTCGGTAACCCACGTGGACTCTATTCCAAATGGCGGCTTCCAGGCGTGGTTGCAGGTGCTCGGCGCCTTTTTCCTCTTCTTCAATTCATGGTACGTTAATGCTTCTCCTATTTCGGTCGTCCATGGTCGTACATTAGCCCTTGGCTGCATGCCATAGTGGAGCCCATGCAGGTAGCGCTTGACTGACGCTAACCCAGGGGAATATTAAATACCTTTGGTAGCTATCAAGCATACTATGAGACAGCGTTACTGAAGGACTCCACGCCTTCTGCTATATCGTGGATAGGATCCATCCAATCCTTCCTCCTGTTGCTCGTGGGCTCTGTCTCCGGGCCTGTTTACGACGCAGGCTACTTCCGGTACCTCCTGCTCAGCGGCTCAGTCCTCCTCGTCTTCGGCCAAATGATGCTGAGTCTTTGTAAAGAGTACTGGCAGGTCCTCCTCGCGCAGGCTTTCTGCATGGGGATTGGAGCCGGCTGTCTCTTCGTCCCTAGTGTCGCCATTCTCTCCACCTACTTCACCTCCAAACTCGCATCTGCTACCGGCCTGGCCGCTGCTGGCAGCAGTCTAGGTAAGCCATCATCACTCCCCCAACTCCTCATATCGCAGCCACTCCCCCACAGCACCGTCCGCTCCCCATGTCTCCTAACCCCGTTTCCAGGCGGCGTCATCTACCCCATCATGTTCCACAAACTCATGCCCACGGCCGGCTTCGGATGGACGACGCGCGCCATCGGCTTCATGGTGCTCGCAACCCTCATCGTCCCCAACACCGTGATGCGCGTGCGCGTGCTGCCGTCGACGCGGCGCGCGCTGCTCGACCTGCCCGCGTTCAAGGAAGCCGCCTACACGACCTACGTCTTCGGCGCCTTCACCGGCTTCATGGGGCTGTACATGCCCTTCTTCTACATCCAGATCTACGCCATCCGCGCGCACATCACGACGGACAACCTGGCCTTCTACCTCATCGCCATCCTCAACTCGGCGTCCATCTTCGGGCGCATCGTGCCCAACATCGTCGCCGACCGCGTCGGCGCCTACAACGTCATCGTGCCGTGCGCGATTATCTCGGGCGTGCTGTGCCTGTGTCTCATGGCCGTGCACTCGGTCGCCAGCATCGTCGTCTTCGTGCTGCTGTATGGGCTCTTCTCCGGCAGCATGGTCAGCTTGCCGCCGACGATTATCGTGCGCTTGAGCTTGCAGCACCGCGGTAAGATTGGGACGAGGATGGGCATGTGCTTTTCGGTGACGGCGATCGGGTTGCTGATTGGGGCGCCCATTGGCGGCGTGATTATAGATGCGCATGGGTTCGATTCGGTTTGGATTTTCGGCGGCGTGTTGATGATTGCTGGGGGGCTGATTATGGGGGCGTCGCGGGTGGCCCATGTGGGCTGGGGGTGGACAAAAGCATGAGGGCGAGCATAAGGGCGAAGAAGGTTTGAAGCGTGTATATATAATGCTGCATGAGGGTTGCGATGTGTTAGGTTAGATGTTGAAAAAAAGACACTATTTTGGAACCATCGTCAAACTTGCCGGGCTACCCCAGACGAACAGCTGTAGAGTCGTGTACACAGCTCGGACGTTGAGGCTTGACACTGCCTTCCAAATTACGAACGTCCAGATCTTTGTAATATCCAACCCGCTAATTCGTGAGCTCCAAAACTTCACCTGCACGATTCGAAGTCCTCCCACCCCCTAAAGCACCCCCGGTATGCTACCACAGCCCATGAAACGAACGAGCAAGTATATACGAGCTAAACTTACATACAGAGTCTTACCGTAATGTAATATCCAAGCGTCTAATTCACAGGCCCCAGAACCTTACACCCATAATTTCAAATCCTCCCACCTCCTGAAGCCCTTCGCTAGGCTATCACAGTCCCCAAAATAAAGGCTGAGCGTATGCAATCTGAACCCACAGAGCCTCCCCATCGCTTAAGAGAATCTACAGATCTAAAACACTGGTCGTCCAGCGAGTGGGAATCGTTCAAAATGCTGAACGTCCGTCTTGCTCGGAATTCCGAGAAACCCCTGAAGGCGCCCCGGCAGTACCAAAAAGACGTAACGCAGACTGATGACCAGGTACTGTATGACTCTCCAGGATCACAAACCCAATTGACAGAAAAAAAAGTATTATAATAATTACATGCCATGACTGCATGCAGTGCGGGCAGTCTACCTTACCATGCCATCACACATCAAATCTCACTCACTCACTCACTCCCCAACACCAATCCGACTTCCGCGCCACCTCTTGAGCTTCAGCTTTTCAAGCAACAAACTCCCGACTCTCCCCAATATCACACACGTCAAACACGCCCGTCTCGGGGATCCCCTTGTCTCTCAGAGCGCGCTTCAAGAAGCGCGGCGGCTCCATCACGTCTTCCTCGGTCAGCACCCACGTGCCCCAATGCATGCCCAGCGCGCGCCGGCACTTGGTGTCGTTGAAGATATTCACGCTGTCGACGGGATTCGCGTGCATCGGCGACATGATGTGGCGGGGGTCGTAGGCGCCGATGGGGATGAGGCCGAGATCGAAGGGGCCGCGGAGCGCGCCGATTTCAGCGAAGGCGGGACACACGGGGAGGTTGAGTGCGGCGTCGTAGTCGTCGGCGCCCTCGGGCAGGCGCGGGACGGCGCGGTACCCCGTGTCGCTGTAAGCAGGTGTCAGTAAGCAAGCAGCTTCACTTTGAGCATGTGGATGACTCCAGGGGAGATCATGCGGTCCCGGTATAAGAGCGCGACCTACCCAGCGAAATACACCTTCTTCCCCCCGCTCTCCACGCTCCACGACGCCCACAGCGTGCGGCACTTGTCCAAGGGCCCCCGCGCCGAGACGTGCTGGCACGGCAGGCACCCAATCGTGGCCGTCATGGTCCCCGGCGGCGACGGCTTCTTCGCGTCGACATCGCCCACGGCCACCGTGCTGTCTCCATTGCGCTCTTTGACCAACGATAGCGTGAACTCCCGCGACTGCCACCAGTCTAGCTCCGTCACGTTGTGCACTTCGCAGTCCAGGAACCACTTCTTGTTCCCTAGTGGTACGAAGAAGTGCGCGGCCGGGAACTTCTCTTTGATCTGCATGATGCACGGATGTGACAGGTGGTCGTAGTGGTTATGCGATATCACCACCGCGTCGACGAATGGGATGTTTTCAATTTGACATGGCGGCTCGGTGTACCGCTTGGGGCCTAGCCAGGAGAAGGGCGAGCAGCGCGGCGTGAAGACGGGGTCGTAGAGGACGCGCAGGCCGCTGGGGAACTCGACGAGGTAGCAGGCGTGGCCGAGCCATGTTGCGCGCAGCTCGGGCGTCTCGCGGGTCGGGAGGAAGGAGGGGGTTCGGACGGGAACCGTGGGGGGTGTGGTGTAGGGACTGTGGCTTTTGCCGCTAAGGCGGCGCCTGAGTGAGGTGTGAGTTGTTGGTCCCGGTTTATATCTTTCCTAGGGGGGTTGGAGTACCATATCATCTCGAAGATGATCATTGGGCCAATGGTCTCCTTCCACGAGTCCCATGGGTTGAGGAAGCCCTTTCCATTCTTCAGATGGTGCTTCAGCTCTTGCGCATCTTCGGGTTCCGCGCCAGCGATCTGGGCAGGCGACGTGGTCGCCGAGTAGAGGGCAGCGGATGCAGCGACTGAAGCCATAGTGGTTGACGTATAGGTGGTAAAGGGCGCGCTGGGACGGAAAGCCTTCTTATTCGAAGCTATGAAGCTGTGACGGGAGACAGCCCGGCGCAGTATCCAATGCATCTAGAAAAATACGGACGTAAGCAGGAGGCAGTCGAGTTAAAGAAGTCGCATCCATATCCGAATCCTTCACAGCTTCACGCGACGTCGGCCAATTGAAGTTGCTAGCTCCAGGTTGAATTATGGTGACGCCTCGACTAGGTCGGACGAATGCTAGCCCGCTTAAATCCACGTTCGATATCACGGTATTCGGACGACAAACACCCCGATTTCCACGCCTAAATCTGTTTACTGAATTCTAATCTTGGGGCAGATGTCGGCGAGTCGGTGAACCGGTATGTTGTTAAAGGCCGGTCTGTTTTCTTGCATCGTCGTAGACATCCTAGAATATCTCCATCGTTACATACACTACGCCACAAGTCTATCATGAGCTTCGACTACACTTATAGACAGCGCCAACAGGCCTACTAAATATACTGAAGATTCTATAGTTCCAGATTCTATAGTTCCAGGATCAGTAAGCCGATTTAAGCTTAAATATCTACTGTCAGAAAACGGAGTAGTAGGTGCCGAGTACCAAGCTTTCCGACACGGGCCCATATTCAAGGTCGACAGGTAGAGAACCGACTCCATGGCGCTCTGAGATCGACATTTCCAACACCCGTGTCCTTGTCAATCTTGGCCACTTCAAGAGGCGCAGCGAGGCAGAGACCCACATACATATGTAGCCAGTCGGGCGGGGTAAGAAGAGTGCTCAGGTGGGGTAGCTATACGCAGTCGCAACAATGCTCACGACACACAAAAAGGGCATGGAGATCAAAAGATCGTGTTGTTGATTAGGTCGGGTCCACAAGGGAACCCAAAGGTAGAGGTATCATAAGCAAGCAAGCACTTCGGAACCGAAACGCCCGCCCAGAACATCCGCAGCATCGATGCAATGCAACCCATGTGCTGCCGTCTTTTCAAGAATGTGAAACCTCTTCTTCATCTGGACACCTCCAAACCCCACTTTCTCCATTCTTCGCTCCAAACTATCCAATCCTACTCTACCCGCCGCATTCTTTTCCGAGGTTTCCCGCATACAAGAGGGCTGTCGATGGTCGTCGTCTAAGAGTGGATATGGACCTCGGTGGTGCCGCTACGATGCCAGGTAGCGAGCAGCACACCGCAACGACCGCACTTGTGTTGGACGTCCTTGAGCGAGTTCATGACATAGGGAATGCAGCCCAGGCAGACAATACAGCAGAGACCGAGAGCCCACGCACTGTACTTTTCATTAGCTTCTTCTCTCCTCCATTTCTACTATATGAACGTACTGGGTGGTGTTGCCAACTTCATACGAGACGCTCGTCATCGCACGCTGTCCACAGGCGGGGCAGTCGGCGGGCGCAGGACCGCGTCCCAAGTTCGCGATCGGGGTGGCGCTCTGGTACACAGTTCCAGTCTGCTGCTGGCCGACTGACAATCCGGATTGCTGGTGGCCTTGGGCGGCGTAGGCTTGCTGGGGTTGCTGAGGAGCGGCGTAGGCACCCTGTTGTGGGGGCGGCGACTGATTGTACTGGACTTGCGGCTGGCCCTGTTGGTACTGCTGCTGCAGGTGCGCGTTCGGGTCCTGGTGGTAAACTGGTGGCTGGCCAGTCATGTCGGGGGACTGGACTGGCGCCGGGTATTGGTTCATGGGGACTGAAGATTTCATTGTCAGTTGGACATTTCTTGTAGAGTAGGTTGCTGTGAAGCGGTGGAAAAGCTGTTGGGCGTAGCTGAGCTGCTGGGCGTGGAGAGCAATTCATTGATGAAGCGCAAACTATCCAGCTCGCCCCTTTTGTAGCCTCATGGCCTCCCGAGCTTTGCACGCGGAAAGGAGTAGCGACGTACCGTTGGTTTTCTCCATTGTGACTGATTGTGAAGCGTTAAAGCTGAATTAAACGGATATATGTTGATGAATGTGAGACAGCGCTCAGAAATGAAGGAAGGACAGTCAGTTGGGCGACAAAGAGACTTGTGACGGTTGCGGAGCACAAGAGGAAGGCTTTACAGAACAGCCCCCAGGAGAACGAGGAGGCGCGCCTCTTTTATTGAAGGCTGAGAGCACCAGCCAAGTCAAGCGCACATGCAGGGCTGAAGGAGGTGCTGCCGCCCAGACCAGGCATCGTGGCAGGGGGGGCCATTTTCCTGAACGCCGCACCTCATTTCACAGTTCAGCTGCGGCGCACCAGGCCAATCACGCGCGCCGGTGGTACGGCCTCTAACACAAATGGCACGGCGGTGGGCCCCTTGGTGGCTCGAGCCGGGCAGTGATTTGTCTGTCCCACCGCCAAGGGCTCAGCCTCAGACCTCGAGGGCGATCGTGGGCTTGCCCAGGTGGTCGAGGCGGAGTCTGTGCAAGGGAAAGCGAAAGCGCATCCATCGTGAGTCCGAACTATCGCCAAGCGCAGACACGGGGTTTCAATTGCCAGAACTGGAGCGCTGGCCTCCGTAACCGTATCCTCTTCCTCCCCCCCACGTTTGGGACTGACATTTGTATAAGAGTAAGCCAGCCCGTTGAAGCTCCGGGATGAGCCCGAAACGACCCCTTGCACTTCCTCATTGCCCTTTATCCGCATTCGAATCGGCCCCCAGCGTCTTTAAATATTTCTCGACATTGTCGGTCGTGGCAGCACATTCGAAATCTAGTAGGGCGTGCGGGAACAGCCAGTGGCGCATATTGCTCACCGGAAATCTGCAGGTCCCCGGCGTCTATTTCTATTCCTGGCAACCGACGGCCTGGTCCAGCCTGCAAGGGCTGTTGGTATGTCGTAGGTGTACTACTGCTCGGTCCGTACAGTAGCTTAGTTGAAACCCCATTGCCGGAGGGAAAGCGCTACAGCGGCCTGCCTGATACGGCTATCGTCTGGCTATAGTCGGTGGCATGTGGCTCGACTTATGCAGAGAAAGTTGCTTTTGGTGTATCGCCGACGGTGAAGAGAGCGTGGAATGAGGGGTGCGGTTAAACCACGTGACGCATAATCGGCGATTTCTACCGTCTTTGTCAAAGACTCACGCTCTGAAAGCGTCGACTAGACCGTATGCATCAACCTTCCGAATTGAGCGCAACCCGATTCTAGCCGCATAGAACAACTTCAGCTTTCGCCTCTTTCCCTTCCGAGCCCTCATTCATCAGATGCCGTAGTTAGGTGTTATGCCTCGCTTCGTACTAAGGCGTAACGGCTGTCACCCCAGTCATACTCACGGGCATGACAGCATGCTACGAGGTATGGGGTAGAGGCATTGACAAGAACTTGCCAAGAACTTGGCTTTGCTCCAGCTTGGTCGGGCAGTGCAGGTGGGGCTTGAGGGGTTAGAAGTGCATTTAAGGTTATCAGCGGGGAAGTTTCTAAATAGAATGACGTTATCTATACTACGTCTAGAGAGAGTAATGAAATGAACCACGAACGTCTGCAATACATGTCCGGAAAGAAGGCGACGTTATTCTGCAGGCTGAGACGCATTACGCCGCGGAGAACGGTAACTGTTGGTTCGTTGCGAATGGGAAAACTCTAGCTTACTTTTATATCATTAGATTAAACATTACCATCTCTACTACCAAACAACAGCAACTAACCACAATACAACAGCATCGCAAAACTAATCTCGCAAACCCAAAATCACACTCCTTCCTACTTCCCCTACAGCTCCGCAAACACAACCCCCATAGCACCCATCCCCAGCCCAACACCCCAAACCCTCGCATCGAACCAACCGGGCACCTCGACGCCAGGCGCAGCGTTGATAGTCTGCTGTGGCGCTCCACCACTTCCACCTTGGCCGTTCCCGCCTTGCCCATTCCCGCCTTGCCCATTACCACCTTGCCCATTGCCGCCGTTGCCGCCTTGCCCATTGCCGCCGTTGCCCGGTTGCCCGTTGCCACCGTTACCTCCGTTGCCACCGTTTCCGCCGGTCGTCGAGGTGAAAGTGGTGAGCTGGCCCGCGCCGTTGGTGGTCGTGACAACAGTAACTGGCGGCGGGACCGTGATGGTGGAGTTCGAGCCGCGGGTGATGGTGCTGTTGGAGGGGCCGAAGCTTGTAGTCGTAGCGTTCGTGGGGCCCACGGTGACGGTAGTGGTGGCGTTAGCGGGAGAAAGTGTCGTGCTCCCGGTACGGCGAGAGCGAGAAGAAGAAGAGGAGGAGGAAGAGGAGGAGCTAGGGCCTGTGGAGATGGGGGCTAGCGAGGTGGTGGCGGAGATGGTCGATGAAGAGGTCGATGAGGGCGTCGACGAATGGGTCGACGAGGGGGCCACGCTGCTGGAGACGGTGGATGAAGAGGTCGATGAGTGCGTCGACGAATGGGTCGATGCGGGGGTCACGCTGCTGGAGACGGGCGAGACAACGCGGATGTTGGGGCAGTAGTTTATGAAGAAGGCGGAGGAGGCTGTGAGATGGCGATTAGTGAAGGTAACATGATGGGGAACGAGGGGCAAAGCGTACTCTGTAGATCAGTGCCGGAGCATTCCTGGTTGATGATGCGGTTGATGTTGGTGATGAGGTCGAGCTTAGAGCAGATGCAGGTCTTGTCTGCAGGGTTACAGCTGGCGCGAGCAATGGCGATGATTACATCGCGTTGCTACGGTCTAGTCAGTCTCTAGAACAACACTTTCACGTCCGAAAGAAGAAGGGGAAAAGGAGATGCTACGCACAGCACAATCCGCAATACCAGCTACGGCACTGTCGGAGGGGAAATTGTACGAGGGCGGTGCCTGAGCTGCGCCCCATGAGGTGCCAACGAGGGCGAGCGCTATGCTGCTGGTGCTGAAGCGCATGTTTGAGGACTGATGAGGAACGAGTAAAGACTTTGACTTTGCGAAAAGCGAAGGAGATATGAAACTCAATTAACGATGGTGGTAATTCCTGATACTTAATTCTTTGTCTGATACTTCTGTGCAAAAGCAGGATCGAGGCAGTTCACTTCTCTCTCCATGCCCTGTTATATGTGGCCATGTTTCTTGGGGATGGCCGCATGCGATCGTGAAGTGCGAAACATCAAAGACTACCACGGGACGACGGTGCTATTATTACTTTAGGAGATGCATCCGGGTGGTCTCTTTGTTGTGAAATTTGAGGTCATCATGGTCGGTTGAGGTCGTTGGATTCGTTTGCTGGATGCGGAAGCGAGGAATGCAGATGCGAAGGATGATAAAGCGGCGCAACGTCGCGTCTTTGTTTCTTTTCCTAAGATCGCCGCAAAAAGGTATGATAGCCGTCGGCTAATCGAGAAGTTTTTGTGAAGATGCGAGCAGAACAGGTTTTGGTTAGCATCGTGTGCTTTGCTGGGTGTAACGTAATAATGCAGCGTAGCTGGGCCGTTATAGACCTATTTTTGTAGTTTATGGCGATACTATTGGAATCTTATTCGTAGAATGGAATAGTTGAGTTTGCCGTTTCTTTGTAGAATGCCCTAGGCTTCGTACTGCTCTATGTTCTAGGTCCCTCAGAGAGTAAGATGGATTTAGAGAGTAGTACTGTTATTCAACCTGGACGCTCTAGCCAAAGTTGATGCCACAAGTCGCACTTTTGGAAATGGTTTCCCTATGAGACATGTGGTATGTGGGCACAGGTGGTAGAATCAAGCTATGTGCTTTGGCACACTTTGAAACCTTGCTGTGGACTTGACCTTGAGCAGGTAATGGTCATCCCACAACTGTCGTTTCGCTTCTCCGGGCGCATTGATATTTACCAGAATTCTATAGAGACCCAGACATGTTAGAAATTACCTGGTAGACGTCCTTCGCACGAACCTTTTGGTACTAACAACTTACATTTACAGCCATTCTTTATACACCCACACTGAACCGGCCTATATATCCACAACTTCCACCCTCTTCCCTAATTTCCCCGTATTCCCATGCATCTGTGCTGCATTAACCAACCTCGTGTTCCTCCTTTGCCCTCCCCAAACTTTATCCCACAACAGCCCTCTAATTCCATACACAACCACCCTGATCCCTTCACGCCACAACTTCCAATCGAGCAATCCCTTGGTCCACCCCAACGGCCTCTGCATGCCCCTGGCGTATGCATCCTCGCATTCATCCCACCAGCACACCGTCTGCCCCGCGCCCCAATGTACATGCCCGAACACATGTAGTAAAGGCTTTACGCGCTTGACTTCATCATATAAATGCTCACAGCCCATACCTGAGGGAAGAGGTAGGTCGAGATGATGCTTCGGTGGGGTGTGCGTGACTAACACGTCTGTGTTGGATGGGATTGTTTCAGACCATGCATCTAGTCCGCGCGGGTACTGAAATGCGTTTGTGGTAAAAGAGCCACAGGCGGGGATCTGAGGCGCACCGTAGACGCATATTTCCCTAGTTTTCGCGAGGCTTGAAGGTTCAGAGGAGGTTGTGGATGGGGTGGATATGTTCAGCGTGATAGAGCTATGCTGTAGGTAGTGGATGCCGTTCCACTCCAATCTGCCTTCCCTATCAGCCTCGGGCAGCGAGGGCCGCGTCCGAGGATCGAAGTATGTGTCATGGTTCCCTGAAATAGCGATTTTGTGTTTATGAGGGAGGGAGGCGAGCCAATTGATCTGTTCTTGGATAGAGGGAATACTGCCGTCGTTTGTGAGGTCGCCGGCGTGGATGAGGATGTCGCCCGGAGGCACGTCGGTTGTTAACGAATGGGTATCTGAGATACAGACTATTCGTATGGGGTGATCGAGGGGTGTCGGGGAGGTTCGAACAAAGGTGAGGATGCGGTAGGCGTTTTGGAGCAGCAGCTTGACGGGGCATGTTAGGATGAGATAGAGCAGCGGCGCTGGCTCGAATGGATCTAGATTTCCTAGCAAAGGCATAGTATGCTCTGGGCCGTGATGTGAGTGAGGACAGACAGAAGGAGAGGACCATTCACTCAAGCCTCTTGGCGGCGTTGAGGTTGAGATGGTGGCGCCATAGGATGCTCACCGCTGCGAACAGCCAATAACGTGGGGTCAGTGTACTTCGTAGACGATCGCCCCAAGACACAGTTAGTAATGAGGACAGCAGAGCATGGAGACCTGAGGACCCCAGCCTGGACAAACTGTGGCGGTTGGTGGGCGTGTGACATCCATGGATGGAGGTGGGCTGTGTTGTTCAAGTTTCGCAACTTCGAGCGTCAGGAGTCCCACGAGGCGTATTCATCGCTCACCAACACTGGAAAAACAGCACTCAGCCTGCTATCTGTGTATCGAGAGATCACAAGTTGTCTAGCTCCTAAGTATGTGGATGCTACGAGCCCCTCAATTCTACGCATCAGCACAGCCTAAGGCTGCATGGCCCTGATCGCGATACCCACTTCGGACGAGGCTGAGCTCTGCCTTGCGGCGGGCGTTAGCTGTAACATGGCTACCTCCGACGTATAAGCCTGGTCTCCTCAAGGCTCTCGCGCCATCTTTTCCTCCGGTCAGTTTCGTGGACAGCTAAGTGCACATATCAGCGCCATCCTCTGTTGCTTTCTTTTCTGTTCCAGCATCGCCTTGTTCCCTGTCGAATGTTTTCTTGATCATATACACATTTATTCTTACTTCGCAATCATGGCCGAGGCCGGTCTGTTATTGAGCGTTGCGTCGTTGACGTTCCAAGTCTTCTCGGGATGTGTCCAAGGCTACCAGCTCATCACCGATGCGAAGAACATGCCCAAAGAGTTCCAGTATCTGCGAGTCCGCTTAAAGACTGAGCAATATCGACTCCTGGATTGGGCACATGTCGTCCAGCTGGACGAGCAAGATGATCGTTTGCTTATCAGCAACGCCAGCAAGGGCACTTTACTAGACGTGCTCGACCAGCAGAACAAGCTCCTCCAGGCGTTCGGAAAGGTCGACGAGAAGTACAAGAGGCTTCGAAAGCCACTCTTGACGGACGCGGAGGAACTCACGGGCGAATTTCCCAATCCGCCACCATACACGCCGGAAACCTCTCCTTCAGAACCGACATCCCCAAATGGAATCCCTGGAATCAGCCGGGCCGACACAAATTTCCAAAGCAGATTCCCGCAGTCGGAGATTCTCATGAAGAAGGCTCTCAGCTGGGCCAGCCAGACTCGCACGTACCCCAAACGGCTGGCATGGGCGAGTTGGGACAAGACGAAAGTTGAGCAGCTCATCCTCAAGCTGACGGCGTTCAACGACTTCATGCGCGAGATGCTAAACACCAGCCAGCTCCAGTCTCTAGCTGTGAAGCAGACTAGGACCGAGTTCCAGATCATGCAGCTGAACGGTAAGATGGAGCAGCTGGTGCAAATCTTCGAGTCTGCGTTGTCGTTGAAGGGCTCCAGGAGTCGTCCACCTACAGACCCTCTGCGTGCCTTTCTCCAAGCACGCGGCCTTGCTGATAAGGAAGAAGAACTGGCTGCAGAGCCTATCATGCACAACCTTGCCCTACTTGCCCAGATCAAAGCTCTGAATTCCGCCATCGACTCTGGTACTCTCACCGATGAGTTCACCAAAGACCTCGGACTAGGCCACACAGCCTCCGAGATCCGCTCCGTCGAGCTCGACATCAAGAACATCAAATTCATCGGCCCGGAGCCCGAAGAGCACGGCGAAAGCCAACGCGTCGAAGCCTTCTACCAACTCCCCTCCCAAAAGCGCCGCCAAGTCTGGATCGAATGGAAGTCCTACGACCCTCACACCTTCAACTCCGGGCCCGACGACAAAGTCCACGAGCGCGTCAAAGCCCTCGCCGCGCTCCTGAAAGAAAACAACCGCACCGACCAGTTCCGCGCCCCCCACTGCCTAGGCTACTTCCGCGACATCGACCCGGAGGGCGAAGACCACTGCCGCTTCGGCCTGGTCTTCGAGAAGCCCGCCGGCGTGCACCAATCCACGCGGCCCATCTCGCTGCTCGAGCTCCTGCGCGACACGGCCCCGGACGCCGAGATGCCCTCGCTGACGGACCGCATCGCGCTCGCGCGCCGCATCTCCGAGTGCATCGAGCGCCTGCACGCCGTCAACTGGCTGCACAAGGGCCTGCGCTCCTCCAACATCCTCTTCTTCAGCGACACGGGCGCCCGCGACGTCGACTTCAACCTGCCCTACCTCTCCGGCTTCGACTACTCGCGCCCCGCGCAGAACGAGGACATGACGGAGAAGCCGCCCGAGAACGCCGCCTCGGACCTGTACCGGCACCCGCGCGTGCAAGGGTCCGGGAACCGCGAGACGGCGTCGGCGGGCGGGTTCAAGAAGAGCTATGATTTGTATAGTTTGGGGGTTATTTTGCTCGAGATTGCGTACTGGCGGCCGATTGATGAGGTGTTAAAGATTCCGAATCTGCATGAGGCGAGGCCGAGCACGACGATTAAGGTGAGGGGAAGGCTGTTGGATGAGAAGGAGGGGTATTTGAGGCATGTGAGGAGTCATTTGGGGAATACCATGCATGCGGTTGTCAAGTCGTGCTTGGAAGGGCCGCTGGCGTTCGGGTTGAAGGATGGGGATGATGAGAAGATGGAGGAGGTGGGGGCGGAGCTACAGCGGCAGTTTTATGAGAAGGTGGTTAAGGAGCTGGGAGAGATGAACGTTTGAGACTATCGTTTGGGTTTTTGGATGCGAGTCGCAATAGGGGAGAGTTATGGCGACATATTCATTTGGTGAGAGAAGTAGTCACGTTTTTCTTGTGCTTGGGTCCTAGGTTGAAGTAGAATCAACACTGTACGATGATTAGAAGTAAATGAGACCCGAATAATGATCTGTTCATTCTTTAGTCTGCTCATATAGCTGTTCGTCGATTCCAAAACAGTTGTGAAGCCCAGTAGGGCAAAGGGACCGATCAAAGGCCGCACATATGGTTGCACACTGAAGAATGCCGCATCGAAGTCTCGGTCCACGTGTTGAAAAGAAGAAGCCAAAATGTTCGTGGATGAAGAACCATATGTTTCTCCAGTAGTGGTTTGATGAGATAAGAAAAGTGAGGAGCCTCCAAGCTCACTCCCACTCCCGCTTCTATGAGCCAGATCCTAGACCCTCCATGAGGGCATGCAATTAAAGTACAACATCAACATCGCACGCAGTGAGAAAGGGACGGGTACGGGGGGCAGGCGTCTTGTCTGTCTGTCTGTCGCTCGCTAATAACCAACTTTGACCAGGTACTCTGCCAGCTCCGCCACGGAGCTGTATGCGACGGTCGTCTGGACGTCGGCAGGGTGGTGGCCTATGAGCAGCGCTTGGGTGGTCTTGATGACGATGATGCCTTCCTTGCCCTACGTGACCGTCGCGTATTAGTAGCCCGAAGCGTCGGAGAGACGGCCGAGTCCGCGGCGGGGAACGCTCACCTTCTTCGCCTTCAGCGACGTGTCGTCTGAGTCGAGCGTGATGTACTTCTCCCCGTTTATGTGGATGCCGTTTGCGACGACGGCTTTGGTCTCGGCACTGTCGGTGAACGAGTCCACTATGACCTTGCGCTCGGCTTCAGGAATCTGATGTCCGTTAGCCCGCCGTCCCAGAGCCGACTATTTCCCCCGTATACGCCTCCGCTATCATGATGTCCCGCTGTTTGGGTTTGTGAAGGGAATAGTCTGACGCACCGAGAAGCCTGTAGTCGCAGCCCAGATGGTTTTTCCTGATGCGTCGCAGATGATGGCCTTGTCGATGTTGCCAGTGCCAACGAGGCTGCAGAGGAAGGGATTAGCATGAGATGGGGTGTAATCAACAGTGGAAGCAATACCTCTGGTCGACGTAGGCTAGGGCCGAGTTAGCGATCGTATGAGTGTAAACAAGGCGTGTTACTCACCTTGCCAGGACATTATTGCGGGTGGGCTGAACGAAGTGTATGAGCGAAGGTGTCGAAGGCAGGAAAGCTGGTGAGACAGACAAGATGTACGGGATGTAGCAGGGCGTAATCGGCGGTGTACAGGCGTGGAGAGTGCGGTTGGCGTGCGTGGTGGGCTGTGGGAAGAGAAGTCAAAGCTGGCCTTGGGCTTCGCTGAACAGAAATAGTGGGGTCGAAAGCGACCCCGCCAGGCGCATCTATCAGATGCTCCCATAAACCGCACGCCGGCCAAGCAGAACTCTGCCCGGCCAAAAGCGAACAGGGACAGCACCTTCTCGCTGTGTCCGCTGCTTGCGCCATCATGCATTGGCCTGGGGTCTGTATGAAACCGTTGATCTGTTGTACTTTGCACGCTGCTGCTTTGAGCTGTCTGCACCGCAAAAGGCCGCATTCAGCCCATGCAGTACGACATTAATCCGCATCAATCTTCACTGCCTCCTGCAGCTCCAAGCACGTGAACCTTGGAATGGAGCAGGCTGTAAGCTGACTGCTGCCTGCAGCCGTGCAAGCCAAACAAAGCCGTCCAGATGTTGACTGTCACGTGATCGAGCCGCTCCGTATCATTCATCCGCTGACTCAGCCGACGTCAAAGCTCCAACGTTCGTTTATTTTCCAGCTGCAACTTTCCGCCGCAGCTTCACCACCTTCAGCCAACCACACGTGTGTCGCGCTCTTCTCTCAACACCAGCCCGACCACGCTTGCACCATGGCTTCCGACACGTCCTCCAGGTCGCGTCAGCGAAGCGCATCGCGAGGCCGCTCCCGCACTCGCTCCCGCACTCCCATGTCGCAAGACAGATCCCCGCGCCGTTCGATATCCCCTCGGTCAGCCTCGCGCTCAGCATCGCGACCTCGTTCACTCACGCCCGCAGGCGAACGCATCGGCCGCCGCAATGGAGGAAGGAGCTCAAGTCGGAGTCCTACTCGCGATTCACGAAGCCCAGGCCGCCACAGACGTCGGAGGGGAGAGAGTCGCAGCTATAGCCGCAGCGCCAGTCGAGCGCTCAGTCCTGCGCCGAGAAGCTCAAAGGTACGCAGGCGATCGATTTGTGACAGCCTGGCGCCTTGTCCAGCGCTGCTCACATCCGTTGAAGCTCTAGCTAACACTCCCCAGATCGTTGTGGAGAAGCTCACGAAGAACGTCAACGAAGACCACCTGCGCGAGATCTTTGGCGCATACGGCCAGATCCAAGCCATCGACCTGCCCATGAACCGGCAATGTACGTCTCCTAACTCCCCGCCGATCTGCCCTAGCAATTTAGCTAACAACATGCGCAGTCAACACAAACCGCGGCACCGCCTACATCATCTACTACGAAGTCGCCGACGCCGAGAAAGCCATTTCCCACATGCACGAAGCTCAACTCGACGGCGCCGTCATCAACGTATCCATTGTCCTCCCTCGTCGTCGTTTCTCGCGCTCTCCTCAGCGCCGCGCCACAGCCTTCGACCGATTCCAAGACCGTGGACCACCGGGAGGATACCGCGGACCTCCGCCTGGAACGGGAGGCGGCGGACGCTACAGATCCCCACCGCGTCGTCGCTCGCCACCTCGAGGCTACGTCGGGCGCGGAGGCCGAGGAGGAGACAACTGGGCCCCACGGCGCTCGATGTCGCGCTCTCGCTCTCGTTCGCCTCGGAGGAGCCGCTCTCGGTCCTACATCTCACGCTCGCCGTCCCGCACTCCCCCACGTCGACGAGGAGGCGGAGGAGGAGGGGGCCGTAGACCACGCAGTCCTAGCTATGACAGTTACAGCAGTTATAGCGACCGAAGCCGTAGTAGGAGCCGTGGAGGAAGGGGTCGAAGGTAGTGATCGTTTACCCACGCTTCATGCACTATTGCGTCTTTTTCCTTTACTTCTGCTGTTTCTTCTTCTGCCCTTGTTTTAACAGATGTGAGACGTTGTTGCTAAACGTCCTTTTTACAGCGAGCGTCGTGATTCGGCGCAACAGGTCCCCCAAGAGGTTCCCCAGAAAGCACCAGAAAATGCCCCAAAAGGGCCAAAAGGCTGGATGGAGCCGCCGAAAGATGCACCAAAAGGCCCGAGAGGGTGGATAGCAGGCCCGAAATGGTGGCAAGTTCCCCAAAGACGGACCAAGACGACCGAGGAGAGTGGCAGACTGAGTCCCTGCAGCGGGGGTCGTGCCTCCACGCCGGGTAGTCCTTAGGAGGGCCTCAAGGTGGTTGTTTAGGAGGCTTTGGGTAGTTACTTCTGAGGCTTTTGGTAGTTTTTGGACGAAGTAGGAGCCGGAGCAGATGTACGAATAGCTGCGTGATAAATGTTGGAAAATGGTCCAACTTGGGGTAATAATCAAAAAACCAGTATCAAGTTACTTCTTCTGCTTCTTAGATTGCTTGTGTGATGTTAGGGGCGCTGGGGGAGTGAGTGGATAGCCTATTGTGGCGCTCTTGGGGGTTTCAAGATTTTAATTCATGGATGTCAAGCTCTAAAGGGTGCGAATTGAAGGTATGGTTTTCTAATAGCCCCCCTTCAGATTAAAGGGTGTGATTAAGCGTGCTGGGGGGTTGGATAGCCCTACTGGGACGCCCCTAGGGGTTGTAGGATTCAGAAAGGTGAATGTAATATTTTGGACCTCGTGAATTAGACGTCTGGATATTGCCGCTTGGGGGACTATAATAGCCCATTGGAGGACTTCAGGGGGTGGGAGGATTTGAAATCGTGAATGTAAAGTTTTTGACCTTGTGAATTGGACCTTTGGATATTGCATTATGGTAAGGGTCTATGCGTTCAGATCGTAGATACTGCGTCGCTTTTTTGCGCACTGTGATAGCCTCTTGGGATGCTCCTGGGGATTATAAGATTTTAATCTACGGATGTCAAGTTCTAGAGGGTGTGAATTGAAGGCTTGTTTTTCTAACACATGCCCTTCAGATCGAAGGGCGTGATCGAGCGCGCGGGGGGGTTATATGACCCATTAGGACGCTCCTGGAGGTTATAAGATTTGGATTTGTGGATGTCAAGTTATAGAGGGTGTGAATTAGAGACGTGTTTTTCTAAAATGCACCCTTCAAATTGAAGGATGTGATTGAACGCGTTGGGGGATTGGATAGCCTATCGGGAAGCCTCGAGGGGTCGTAAGATCTAAATTTGTGGATGTAAAGGACTAGAGTTCGTGATTTGGACCTTACAGCTTTGCTGGCCGTATGTCTCCTAAGCTCTCCTGCGAATTACTCTTTTCACTCTTGCCGTCCCCCTTCTCCGCATCACTCGCCCTCTTCTCATCACCCGAGCTTGTCACCTCCTCTGCAGCCATCTCCTCCAACGCCTCCTCTTCCGCTCCAAGTGCCACAACTTGCTCCTCTCTCGGCTGCTGATGATGCTCTTTCTCAGCCGTATGACCATCAGCGCTACCCCTAACGATCTTCTTCAAGCTCCAACCCCCTTTCCACCCGACCCACCTCGTCTCATACGGCCCCCTAATCGCACAAAACACCAACGCCGCCCCAATAAACCCCACACTCGCACTCCCGCTCCTGACCCACCCGCCCTGTGCATAGATATGATTCCCCGCCGCCGTCCCCATCAGCTGCCCACAAAACGTCGACACCATGAACGCCGTATTTACTCTATTTCTTGCCTTCGGCTCAATCGCGTAAATGGACGACCGGTTCGCGATCTGCGCCGTCTGCATGCCGAAATCGATTAGGAAGGCCTCGAGCACGGGTCCCGCGACGGTGAAGGAGCCTATATAGGTCCCGAGACAGATGCCGAGGAGGCTGCAGAGCTCGCCCACGATGACGGACATCAGGGGCACGTATTTGTCGGTGACAATATGCGCGTAGAGCGGGCCGAAGCACATGGCAGCGATGCCGATGAGGCCGAACAGGCCGATGACAACGGGGTCGTAATGGTAGGGCGCGCCAGAGAGGAGAAAGGTGAGGGTGGTCCAGAAGCCAGTGAAGGTGGAGGCGGTGAAGAAAGAGATGATGCAGGATTGGACGAGCACAGGGTGCTTGGTTAGCATGACGAGGATGCTCCAGAGCATTTTGAAGTAGTTGAGCCCGCCGGGGTTGGTGGAGGGGTAGTTGGGCATGAAAAGCCAGAGTAGGATGAAGATCGTGTATTGGAGTCCCAGGGACATCCAGTACACGTACCGCCAGCTGACGAAGTTGGAAATGGTTCCTGAGAGGACGCGGGCGACAAGGATACCGAGCATGAAGCCGGAGACAACAATAGAGAGCGCGGCGGCGCGACGGTGGGGTGGTGCAAGGTCGCCGACTAGGGGGAGCATGAGCTGGGGGGTTACGGTGGTGATGGCGGTGACAAATGAGATTCCGGTGAAAACGGCCATGTTGGTGGTTATGCAGAGTCCGAGCCTAGCATCGATCAGTACACTCTTCTTTAAGTCTTCTATTCTGCTCTATACATACCACATATTCGCCGTAAAGAAGACGAGGATGAGCACAAATGGCCGGCGAGGAAACAAGTCCCCAAGCGGACACAGAAACAGCAGCCCGGCCGCATAACCTGCCTGCATCACCGTCGGGATCTGAGCGACTTTCTCATATGCAACGCCGAAATCTTCAGCTAGGATGTTGAGAATGGGGTGGTTGTAGTAGAGATTTGCGACTGTGAAAGCTCCGGCAAATGCGAAGAGGACATTCAGGCCCATGGAGAACTTGGGAGGCTTCTCTGGGTCCCAGCGGCATTTTGGAGGCGTCCACGTTACAATGTTGTAAAGTTTGCGCCATAATGGAAGTAGTTCTTTTGAAATGTGATGTGAGGGTAGTGGTGAAGTGTGAGAAATATCGTGGCTCGGGGTTGCTGTGGCAGTGGCTTGTTCCGCCCCGTCTCCGTGTTTCTCATTCGTCATCTTGAAGGTCGTACATTCATGTTGAGTCGTTGAGACTTGTCCAATGGGTTTCACGAAGACAATTACGCACTTGGAGGAGGCTTAGAGCTATGCACAGTCCGGAAGCGACAACCTCGGGCGGAGAAAAAGAGGAAAAGAAAAATGCAGGCTGCTAGAAAGCTTTTGATCACAGCGTAATCGTCGTCCCGGTACGACTCCCCTGGTGAGATGATGTACCGGTGTGCCGATTCCGGGCGCTAGTTTGCCAGACTGCTATCAGTGCAGTGTATCCACCCCTCTTCTTCTGACATACCAACCGTCCTACTCTCACCGACACGTATGATGCACGGCATGTATATTGGGTTCACGGTGAGCAATAGGTAGACCCAGTCGCGTTTCATCTCCAAGAAATGGCATATACAAAGCAATAGTCGCACTAACTGTCAGAGAGCTCCAGTGATACACTTTGGGTAAAGTGGTGAGGAAGGTCCACGGTCACGTGCACTCCGAGGAATTATGTTCTCCTAACTGGGAATTAGGGTAAATTCAGTTAATGAGCAGTGGGTGTCAGGTAATTGGTCTACGTGAACTAAGCTCATCTATGTGGGGTTGCGTAACGAATGATGGGACACAACGCGCTCTGATGGCCACAAAGTACTCAATCTTATATAAAGCTTCATTGCCGCCGGCTTTCTCATCCACCACCACCACCACCAACGACTACAAACAACTCCACTTCCAAAACGACTATACTTCCGAAAGTACAACACTCCCAAGACTCCCATACTGCACAAACTACTACACTTCCAAAGCTGCACCTACCCGGAAAACTAGCCAAAATGGGCAACTAGTTGAGTGAACAAGGGGTATACCTACACAACAACAACGTGCCTCGCCTTTGCCAACTCCTTAGCTCTTGCTCATGATCGGCGAACAACTCTCACCACTCCTGCCCAAGAAGCTAGCCAAAATGGGCAACAAGTTAAGTCAAGAAGAGGCATACCTACACAACTTCAACGAGTCTCGCCTTTATCAACTCCCTCCTGAGCTCCTGCTCATGGTCGGCGAATACCTCTCATCAGCGTCCATGATGGCGCTTCCCCAAACATGCCAGAAATTGCGATACATTTAGGACCTCGGACGTGGTCCTTTCCCACTCAACAAATGCGATTACTCGGACATGTCTGCCCTGGAAACTGGCTTCCTCCGCCGCTCAACACCCCGCCGCTCAATACCTACACGACTCTGATGCAGCTTATGCAGCATCCGCCATCCTGCCCATTACTTCGTCGAAGAGCAGAGACAGGCTCCTCCACTCGCACGCCACTGTGCCAAAGTCCGGGTTTGTGAACATCACAGCTTCACCCGCCCCGAGCTCAAAGCCTTGATGCAGCAGACGACGTCTGGCTGGGATCACCACGACGTAATGTTCAGATGCGACCATGAGCACCCTGACTCTGAAAATGACCATCCGTGGACGGAAAAATGCGGCGCATCGATCGTCAAGAACACGCACGGGCATAGAACTATGCGCGAAGCCACCTTCTTCATCGAATCGCATCACCCACTAGCACTGATCCCGAAGGACCTTATGGAAGTTACGCCAGATAAAGCTACAGTCGATGCCTACAAAGAAAAGATATCTGAGGCTTTAAAGGCAATAGATATGCCGGCGTGTCCTCATCTCCGTGTCAGCAGTCGGTGGATATTGGACCGCGTGCCTGAAGTACGACCAAGTATATACCCTGAGTACCCAGAGAATCCGGAACATATAGATTGCAAAGCGTCAAATCCACGCATCGATCCGCCATGCTGGATGCAGTTGAACATACATAAGATGCGGAGGGGTCAGCCACCCTACATAAAGCTCGAAACTCGTAGGTACTGGACTCCCGAACAACTGGCCGAGGTAAACATGGAGCGGTAAACGATACTTCAAAGAGAATGGATCGTAAAAGAGAACCAGAGTCGTACAACCTTTACATCTTATCCGAGGCTTTATTGAGGCGTCGACGGATTCCGCACAGTGCCAGACCAGCGGATAGTAGGCTTCAGGAGCTCGGTTTGTACGCCTTCAATATATCTTCCTCATTGAGCTCTCTGGCTGTTTCTTGTTTATTGTATAGCTTTATCCTACAACTCTCGTTGTACGCTCTATGAAACGAATCTCTCCTCCATGTATATAAACGAACTCGCGCTCAAAGAAGCAGATAGTTCACCCAATCGAAGTCAAGTTAGGACTTCTACATCTTAGGTCTCAATTTCAACCATTTACGTCGCTGAGGCTCCCCAAGCAGTGTCGCCCAGCATTACACATTCAACCGTGCAAAGTCTCTCTCGAGCTCCTCCGCCCGATGGACACCCTCTGCAGGTCGGTGGTTACGACCGCCTATTGTTTCACCGCAAGTGGGGCACGTCGCCGTCTCCATAGGCATACCACACTCACCGACGGTGAAAGGATGGCCGTTGGCGCACGTATACCAGTGGCCTGTACCTGAGAACTCTTTCCTCATAGCCGCGAGCACGGCGAGACGTTCTTCCGGGGAGACGGTGGACATAAAGGTGCCTCCGTTCAACGCAAGCTCGACGGCCTTCACTTCCGGTACAAGGGCGTCAACCTTTGGTGAGCCTCCGTAGCGCTTGCAGAGGCCGTGAGCATGTTCGATGTGCGCTTCGCCGTCAGCTTTGAGAGATTCTGACTTTCCAGGTGGTCGACGTGATAGTTCGAGGGCGCAGTAACGTGCGTAGAATATATGGCCTTCTACTTCGCGTTCGAGATCTTTAGACTGTCGGGGTCATGTTAGCAGCTGTTCATATGACACTGGTGCCTCATCGTAGCTCTGTGTGCACCTGTTGCTGCCTGGGACTTTTCAATGGGTTTCCCACATTAGCTGATTTGTGTCCCTCTATTCACCCATGACTACGCCATTTGAGGTGGCCCAGCGAGCTATCAGGTCGGCCAAAAATATACAGCATTGAGCTTTGGAGGCCGATCAAGGACCCCAAACAGCGGCAGAGCAGTGTATATAGACATGATTTGAGCTTACTTACAGTCTTCGCGTCATTGATGAGCCCAATACAGTCCTCTCGGTTCGCCGTCAGATCAACAGAAAATGTGGTGTCCACAAAGCCGGCTGGAGCCCGGTCTAGTTGTTCCAAGAAGTCGGCTAGAATGGCAATATCGCATCGTAAGAGCAGGCTCTCAGCCATGATATGGAAAGTAGTGAGAGAGATCTGGCTGTCCAAGCCGAACTCTTGCGTGGTTTTGCCTTGTCGTCGGCGGGAAGCCTCCACCATGTGCCATACTTTTTCGACGGGAGTCTCTTCCTTCCGGACTTTCTGGAGATATTTGAGAAGCTTGAGTCGAAGGGGCTTGAAACTGGAGTACCAGCCTGAGCGTATGGTGGCATTGAAGATGTCCTTGATTTGAACACCTCGCTTGCCTTTTAGACATTTCAAGGGCTGGTTAGGTATTTCAAAGACGTCTTCTGCGAGGGTGAGCAGTTGTTCGGCGGCGTGGAATTCTTCTGCGAGCGGAATATATGTGGCTTGGGCCCATGACGCAAATCGCTTCGTCCCTTCATCTAGAAGAGCACGACGCACGATGCGACCGTATCGGCATATGTCGCGTAGAGAGCCCCTACAAGACGGGCAAGTTGGCACTTTCTTGAGTTGGTCCGAGAAAGGCTCCGATGACTTGATGCTCAGCGGGAGTCCGTGTCCGTCCAAGTTGTAGCTGTCCGCCAATTCCATTCGTCCATCCATACTGCCCAAGGTGAGGATGTGCTTGCATTGAGGAAAGATGCAAGGATCCTCGTTGAGGTCAATCTCGGAGTAAGTCTGCATTTCGATGAAATCCACGATCTGGTTCTTGATGCTATCCGCTGCGCAGATCTGACAGTACTTGATTTCGGGGCAGTTTTCACCGCACACTGAGGGACCTAATAGCGTTTAAGTTAGTGGCCTGGGTACAACAAGTGTTGAGAATTTGCATTTCTACTCACATTGATGCCCGCATTCTAATATCTTTTCGCACCGCTTTGAGCAAGGAAGCCAGTCGCAAGGGGCCGCGCAGGGCATGGAACACTTGCTATGCGGACAGCAAGATGCGCAGCTAGGCTCAGCGCAAGGAGCGCATGGCTCAGAGCAGATATTGGAGCATTTTGAGTGACTGCAACGAACATCGCACGGATGGGTGCAAAGCGAGCACGGCTCCTGGCCATGGCAAGGTTTCTGGCATCGGTGATTGCAAGTCTCGAAATCTCGATGGCAGGGTTGACCGCATAATCCGTGTCCGTTGTCGTCGTTATTCGTCCTGCAATGATAGCATGGCTTCTGACATTGATGCCCGCAGGTTTGAAGGCCGCCGCAAGGAGCGCAGCATTGGAACTTGGGGCTATCTACGTCTTGGTGGCACTTGACCTGCACCGTATGACCACAGGCTTCAACCTTGCGATCAACTTTGACGTTACAGGAAATTGTACTTGTGTCTTGAGCCTGCCAACATGGAAGTGATGTTACTCTATGACCACAACCAAGAGTAACGTCGAGATCTTTGAGAATGATGTGGCATCGATCATGACATTTCTCGCCACACGGCAGTGGACAAAAATGTTGGCAGCCTGGTTTTGTCCGGGTACACGCTTCCAAACACTTTACTGCATCATGCAGTACAGATGAATGACATCGTTGGATGCACGCATGTCCACACGAAAGCCTCTGGGTACATCTCAGATCGCAGCCGCCCTCAGGAGAGAATCGGACGAAGTCTTCGGGCGAAGAGACGCGGATGGGGGTGTCCTGATGTCGTGGGCAACAAAGATTTAATGTAGGTCCGATGTTGTCATCGCGCTTGAGTATCGACGTGACATCAGACCACATTGGCACGTGTGAAGAGGTGCGCGAGTTTCCGATGATATACATGCCGTGTTTGGCACGCGAGAGTAGAACGTTTATGCGGTTCGAAGTTTTCAGGAAGCCGCACTTGTTTTGAGGGTTGCATCGGACAAGTGATATTACCACAACTTTGGCCTCTTCGCCTTGAAAGTTGTCGATAGTGGCCACCTTCAGGGCACTCAGGAGGGTAGTTTTGACTATGGCAGGTCGTTCGTCCTCATTCATCGTAATTCCCGCTTTTTCAAGCTCATCTACGTCACGTTCACCTAAGGTAACTTCAAATCTTCCAGCGAGTCTTCGTCGGATCTTCATTAGCTGGCCCAAATAAGGGGTCAGCACGGCAATATCGTTGGCCTGGTATACTCCTTGACGGAAAAGGTGCGAAACTAGAGATGCGGTCATTTCGACCTCGAATTCGTTGGAATGCGATGTCGACACAATATCAGACACATCTGAGCCAGCCTCGTGATGATCGTGATCGAGCCAGTATAATCTTCGTTTCATCCCAGCCACATCTGGGTAGGCCTTCACTAATTCGGCATCCTTCAGCAATGGATAGAGGGGCTCTCGGATAAGTTGAGCTATTGAAGGATGCATGCGCCGCTGGGTTTCTAATGTACTGAATGGCAGGTGGGGGCTTCTCGATAGCTTTGGCTGTACTAGGCGCTCGAAGAGCGAAACATCCAGAGAGTATTGCTCGCCACGTGGGTTGTCATGTTGAAGCTCATAATTCTGAATTTGTGGCCTGAGTTGCAGGTGATCTCCGATCAGGATGGCGTGTTGCACTGATGGAAGCAACGCCGTCAGAATGTGAGCCTCAAGTACCTCGCCAGCTTCCTCGCATATCAAGACCTTCGCCTGCAGTCTCCGTAGCAGATCGATATTTCGAGCCAGCCCTGAAGTAGTAATACCGATTACATTAGCTTGCTGAAGACATCTCAGATCTAGTTCGTTGCGTATACGATCATGTTCTTTCTTGTGCTCATGGTAGAGCTCTAGTGCAGCAAGGAACTTGTCTTCAAGGCTGTCCCGAGCATCCCGGAGCCAGTATGCATGAATCGCCTGGCGTTCCAGCAGCGACATCGATAACAAAGATTTCGCTTGAAGTACTTCAATATCTTTCAAAGCTTGCCGATGTTGATATGAAAACACTGGACTGGTGAACCCGCTGCTTCCGCTCAGCCAATCCTGAATGACGCGGCTCTCATCGTGATAGACTCTCTGGTAGCCCTCCGCGTCTTCTCCGAACAGCTCGATGAAATGATGGAAATGATTGGATTTCAGGTACTCCTGTAGGCCTTTTGGAGACCCGACCCTTGATATATTTTGAATGATTTTGTCCAAGTCGTGGACATCTTCCTTCAAGCAGCGGATTATGTCCCAAGTTCGCCTCTTCTCCTCTTTTGTCTTGTCCATTCTTGAAGCAACATTACGGAGATTGAGGGGTGTAAGGACTTCAGACTTAGACCTCGATCCCATGCGAATAATCTGGGTCACTCCGTTCTCATGGAGGTGCTCCAGTATTTGATCAAGCGCGTGGTTCGTGTAGCATATACAAATGATCGGTCCAAGTTTCGCTCTGAGCTTATTGGCCAGAAGGACTCTCGTGATGGATACGCCCGTGTAACTCTTTCCAGTCCCTGGAGGTCCCTGGATTGCAGCAAGTCGTCTGGACAGGGATGCTACTAAAGCATCTGCCTGGGCATCATCAAGCTTGGATCCACTTCGTAAAACGTTGACGTCAAATGGAGCTCCAGGATACAATCTCAAAGCCTGCCCATCGTTCATGATGCAGCTGAGATCGAAATAGTAGCCCGGTTGTTGAGCATACACGGGAGGAGGAACGTGGAGAGAGCCGCTTGTGTTCGGCGCAAGAAACTCCGAAAAGGGAAGATCTGCGGACTCACTCATAGCCTGAAGCGCTTTTAGGATTGGCTGGAAGGAAGGTAGAAGAACTCCTGGAAACTCTACTAATAGATCATGCGGCCTATTACGCCCTGTGACACAGTCTGCATAATGCCAAAGAAGTGTCTTTGAACTCGCATCGTCAGTGTCGACCGGACGCATAACCACACAGGCACGCTGAGGGTGACGCGCTAATGTCTCCGATGGCGGTTGCAACTTCGCCTTTTTATATTGCTTCTGCTCTTCTGTCTGAGTTGCGTCTTTCTCTATGTCGCGTTGAGAGCTATCTGCGATGATGCAAAAGATGGCGGACCCGCTCGCATTTACGATGCAAACGAGGGTATCCTTTTGAAGACGCCTAGAGCGCTCCCACCACTCACGTCGTTCGTTCTCAGACAGCTTCTCCAGTTGCTTTGGTTGCTTGAAGTGGACGACAAACTCCAGACCGTTGTGCTGGCCGCATCTGAGATCTGATAGCTCCAAGTGTGGATAAGAGTGCGTTCGGATGCCCTGTTGGCCGCTTCCTCGATTGTCTTGCGTTTCCATTGGATTCTGAAGTCGTTGTAGCTCGATCCTGATCGCGTCTCGGAGTTGACCGATAGTATCCTCACGCAAGAGTCGAAAATGACGGTCGAGCAACCCCTCTACACCGGGAAGATGTAGTTCTGATGGATCCATCGGAGGAAGATACTCCAGGCGCGAGCTTAGTATCTCTTCAGATGTGGGCAAGATACTGATATCTCGAATATTTTCTGAGTCGTTGTTGTGTCTACGGCCTTTTTCCGAGAGCCAACCAGGAGGATCGCGTATAATATCAAAAGTTGCCTTGACATTGTCGAATATCGGCTGTTGAGCTGTGGGAATTGAAGATCCAATACCGAGCCGGCGCTTCAAGCGTTCGACGTTCTTCTGTGAGCGGAGAACGCGCTCGTCGTGACTCCCGTTGTGTGAGAACAAAGCAGCAGCGAGAACTTCAGCGACTGGACCGATACCTTCCGTGATAGATGCCGCCCCATTGAGGTCGACAGTCTTGACTAATACGGCCGATGTCGCTTCCAAAGCCTCAACTGGGAGCAGGTCGAATATGTTCGCTAGAGAGCTGAAAACCTTCACGGTTCGTTGCCCAAATGGGCCAAAAATCGCGTTGTAGATATTGTACATGGGAGTCTCCAGAAGGCCTGAGGCTGCCACATTAGGGTGCGTTATAGCTTGAAAGAATGGCAAGATACGTGATGTAAAGACTTGTGTGATGTGCTCGCTACTACCATCTAAATCAACGGCTAGAAGCTCTGTGATGCGTTGAAGTCCGCCATTAGAGCCTAGACAGGTGATAGTTTCTTGCAATATGGCCACGTCTCCGTTGACCAAGTCGAGAGCATCCTGGAAGAACCGAGAAACAGACCCTCCGAGGGGGCGGCGGAGTGATCTCTCCAGTGTAGAGAACCGCCATTCCCGAAACTTCGTCTCAAGCGCTGATCGAGGAGGGTTCGGGTTCGACCGTCCGTCCGATGGCGGTATTGTTGTCGCGCCATGTGTAGACATGTCCAGAGCTCCCTGTGTAGCCAAGTTACTGACTTGGTGCCAGTTGGTTTGGCGTACTTGAGACAGCTTTGAGTTTAGGGAGTCTGTGTGAGGTTGCCACACGGCGTCGTTCAGGTCATGGGAGAAGGCACACGAATCTCCATTGTAGCAACCGCCCGGCTTCAGGAAGAAGTTGCACAGCTTCTTTTTTGTATTGGCTATGAGGGCCGGGTCATGGGAATAGGGACACGGTTTGCGGTAGCAGCCTTCTGGGGTGTCGATGTATTTGCACGGAATTTTCTTCCTATTGTCTATTTCCTGCCCCGTGCCCGCCATGATAAAATCACTGGAAGGTCGTGCTACTTGTTATTAGTTAGCGAATGTGATAGATTTGGAGGTAATTACGGGGATAGTCTAGCTCCGACGTACCTGAGCAGACTTGTATTTGGCGACGGCGATGTGAACAGAGGAAGCAAGAGGAGTAGAAAAAGGTAATGTTGTGTTGAAACGGTGGAAGATGCGGGGCTCTGATGTAGTCACAGGCAGCGGCAGGATATACGCAGGTATCTACACCTTCGTGCCACCGTCAAAGGGGCCTCAGCGCGGTTTGGAAAATCTGGAAGAGATGTAAGCTCATGGTTTTCGACAACCTTCAAACTTGTCGGAATACCTCAGACAGCGTCACCTGCATGTGCCACAGAGAACGGACAGCGGCCTACCCACCTCTGGTTTCTGAATAATTCCAGAAGACGTCATGCGATAGCACAAGAGTGCAGGCCTGAACTAGAAGTAGAAAATGATGGAGATACAAACGAGTAGAGCCTGGAACACGGGAGAGAGGTTTAGGCCTTAACAGAAACTCCACAAACGAAAGCTTGACTCTGGAATTGCAAAGGGCCATCTGCGGCTCGACATGATTTGGCAGAAGACCGCTGAGTACCACACCGCTCGACTTACATGTCACCCGATTGATCAGAGCCCACGGAGGCTGTCCGTCGGCTGTGCCATTACTTCGCAGACTCACAATCCCAACATGATTCATCACCCGCTGAGCTCTATCACAGCTGTAAGCATGAGGGAGACACACCTGCGTAATATCTATTCAAGGGCTCTTGGTATGTACGGTAGAAGAATTGTGATGTGGCTACCTTCTTACCTAGCACTTAGATGTGATGCGAAAACACGACACCCAACAAACGCAATCATTGGAATCCACCCACAATAGCCACAAATACCGGTCGGAATCTACTCTCCTCAAGCTACGGAACAGAACTATCACTCAGACGAAAGTCTCCGGACGCGTCTTGAGCGTTACTCGCCAATGCTGTCGTAGGAAGCTGATTCTGCCCATCCGCGCACAACCCCCTATTGCAAGATCCCAACCACACTTTCGCACACACTATAGCCACATTGGAACTAAGGATCTAAGGCTGTTAGGTAGATATAGGATAGTACAGACCTAGAAACCTAACAGTTATAAAGCACAGCGCCGGCGTAACCGGAAGGGCTAGATCTACCGCACCACCGCACACCGCACCACGCGGCGTGCGCCTTCGGCGTTCTCCATCCGCAAAATCAAAGAACCAACCTTCGATGCGATGCCAGCGTCTATGGTGTTTTGTTTCTTTACTGGGAATCCCCAGGGTAGTCAACTCGAGCATGGGTACTCTGGCTGGAATCTATATCTTCCCAGCTGTGTTTCGAGTCCGAAATCTCCTCCCTCCCCAATTTCATCTTCGTTCGCACCACTTATTTCTCCGCTAATGAATGTACTATGCCTCATCAAAGATATCCGTACACTCGTTTACTGCTGCGTGAGGAGCTTCAAAGTATTTTCAGCATTCCAATTTGCAGAGAAGCTCGACACTTCCGTCAACTAATAAGCTCGCAAGGCTACCCCAGACAGCGCCAGCAGGGTGTGCACAAATCGGGGGTGTATCCGCTGCCCCCGGTTTCTATCAGGACATTGGAGCCCAACAGGGCAGTGGTAGGAAAGCGTACGGAAACCTATCCCTTGGCCCGGTAAGGTGCAACGCTCGGGCCACGCCAAGACGAACATCGTTCTCAGATATACAAACAAACATAGCCAGCCATAACAATCAGTTAAAACCCACCTAATTCGACGCCAATTGATGCCCAAAGATGCCTAGAACATCAAATGACATTGACTATGTCAAATGGAAAGATCCTCGCACAAAAACAGCCAAAGAACCGCCTCTCAAGCCGTGGCCTATGCCCGAATTCTCTCCCCTACCTATCAATGATTGGTATGATCCAGGAGAGGCCTGTGTAACTCCAGGTCTTAATCGGCATAACCCTATGGCCCTTTTTAAGCTATTCTTCACTAATGAAATAATGGATAAGATGGTGCAGTGGACGAACAAGTACGCTGAGCAGCACTAGCCCACGGAGGAAGAGGCACCTGCAGGGAGAGGACGGAAATAGAGGCCTACAAATAGGCAGGAGCTCTACGCCTATTTTGGAACCCTAATTTATATAGGAATCACAATAGAGAAGCGTACAGAGGACTACTAGGGCCCTAAATCATGTGGAGCCTCGCATATAGTAAAGGACTTTATTGGCCTTGTCCGGTTTAAGCAACTAGATCGGTATTTCCGGTGCTCTCCTGTACCTCAGGATGGTTTCCAATCGACATTCAACCGCGTAGATGAGCTCTCTGAGCATATTAGAACACGCTGCAGCATGCACTGGACCCCCGGCCCTCACCTTACTGTGGATGAAACAATACAGAGGTTTATAGGACGAGCGAGCGAAATTGTCAACATTCCTACAAAACCTACACCAGAGGGCTTTAAAATCTGGGTTCTAGCCAATCAAGGCTACGTTCTAGATTGGCTATGGCATGCTAAGGGGGACGGCAATGGCCCAGTTGATCTGGATGAATCATTCCTTTCTAAGGGCTTCACCAAAACTCAAGCTGTTGTGTTAGATCTTTTAACACAACGTGATCCTATTACAAACCAACGCATCTATCTACCGGGCAAGCATATAGTCTGGCTAGATAATCTTTTTTCCAGTGTGAAGCTATTCGAACGGCTACGTGAGCTTGAGATAGGGGCAGCTGGTACAGTTCGAACAACTAAGACGAAGAGGGAAGAGATGGAAGGGGAAGAGTGTAATATTATTGAGGAACCAGCTGCTGCTGCAGCTACACAATTAAGGACCAAGAAGAGGGTGAAGGTGCCAGCCGAGAGCTTCAACCGATCGCTTATGGACCTCAAATTAACGCACGATAAACAAATTGAGTGGGGAGAGCTATATGGCGCGTTGTCAGAGAGTCACAAGGTGATCGAATTTGCCTGGAAGGATGCAGTAACAGTCTTGTTCCTGTCTACTGTTCATGAAGGCAAGGCCTATATACAGAAGCTACGAAAGAGGCCTGCTAAAACTGCATCAGGATACCGTCAAACGGTGAAGAATTTCGGCAACGAGGCCACGGCGTGGCTTGAAATCCCGGTGTTTATCGATGAATATAACCTCTGGATGTGCGGCGTTGATATTGCAGACCAGCTACGCAGCTGTTACAGTACAAATCGCGTCCACAGGAAAACCTGGAAGCCACTGTTCTCTTTCCTGTTCGATACGGCTGTGGGAAACAGCTACATGCTCTCTTCCTACAGGCGAGATCCGGGCTCAAATGACCGCCAATTGCGCCAAGATTCGCACCTACAGTTCTGTAGAGACCTCAGAGATGCCCTCCTCCATGCATCTGTTCGTACACAGCAGCAAAAGCAAGCCTACAAGGCGAATAGCTTTATGGATATTACCTGGAGGCCGGTCAGAGAGCATCTACACGAGAAACTGTGGCAGAAACAACAGCCCTTCTGCGCCGCATGCACCCGGGGCAAGCGCTCAACTGCAACACCACATTTGGCGCTCGTAAGCCTCTTGCAGAGCTATCTGTAAATACAATTCAACCTTCAAAGGAAGCACAAAGAGAGAGGAAGGGCTGGAAGCGTCGGCATCGGCCGCCTAGGACTTCGTACGGCTGTTCTGTGTGCAGGATTCCACTGTGCACTCGAGGGAAATGCTGGGCCGAACACGTAGCTGCCCTCAACACCAAACAGTAGCTTGTAGACAGCTATATACGTACAAATCAATTGCTTCACGTGTTGTGCAGATTTCATACTCAGGGGCTGATTCTCGGCTTCTGATTGAATGCAGCCTTATCGATAACGTAGGACCATTCTTACCGGACTAAGGGATAGCACGACTGTAAATCTCGTCTTACGGTATGATACCTATAGCCTGTACATATCCTCTAGGTACTCTACCATTCGCCTCTGCAACGCCAACAGCTCCTCTTCAGTGATCTTTGGTCCAACACTACTAGCAGCTGGCGGTGGTGTACCTGCCGGCTTTGCCTCTCCTGGTGGGAGGATCAACTCTGGCTTTACGCCGAAGAAGGGCACGCCAAGACGCTTTAGTTCTAGTGACATATTATCAACCATCAGCCGCACCGCACGGTAGATCCGCTTGTCGAGCTGCTTGAGCTCAATCTCTGCTTGCTCGGCAGACTGTTGACATATCAGCATTCGTGCACGTTGTGCTGAGCTGCTGTTAAGGGCTCCAATTACTCACCACGGGTTCAGCATCAAGAGAGGTGCCCAGAGAAGATCTATCAAGGTAAGCCAAAACTATTAAACCCTCGCGTGATGACGTACAGTATACTCTTCAAGTTCTCGTCATTGTCTGATCTGGCAGCATGCGCCTTCAGCAACGCTTCCCTTTCCGCCTGCCTAAATAGCGTTAACTTGATGGCTTTCATCACACTTGTAAGGAACACGTACCACGTCTTCTCTTGATGTTCCTGATCGGCCATCATCTGCATATAGTTAGCAACAAGAGCGGTTGCTGATTACAATCGAGGTACTCGCCTTCCGGATCGCTACTTTGAAATTCGGAGTCTGACCCGCAATCTTGGTGATGCACCGCAGACCATGAGACCATTCAGTGATCGTAGCGGGGTCGATCAGTGGAGGCGTAGAGCCGGCCCGAGGCGGATCTTGGACACTTGGCCGATGCTGGGGGACAGTTCGTTGGTCCTGTATCGTGCTCGTAGGGCGGCTGGGGATCTGCTCGACATTTGGAGGAGGCTGAAGGTTTGCTTGAGTTGGATGAGTTGGATGATAGGGAGGTTCTGGATGATGTTGAAGAAGGCTGGCTGCTATGTCTTGACCTGGCTGCTGTGGGTTTGCAGGGGCTAGAGATGCTAGAGTCCGCAGGACGGATGCCAGATCTGGGATTTGAGGGTTGTTGTTGTCTGCCATTTGAGAGGTGGTATAGTTTGACAGTTTGAGACGGTCGAATAAATTTTGATGGAAGAAATTAGATCGAGAACGGAGCCTAGGATGCTCGGCAGTGAATGAGTGGGTGGTATCAAGGAAAGAATTGGAGCAATTCGCAGATCGACCCGGGTGCAAACATCATCATATCCCCAATTATTCGCCCGTAGATGCAGAACTCTTAATGTTGAAAGATTCTACTACGGCCTTGTATTCATTGAAAGCAGTCGGTGAAATCGACTCTGTCACCACCACCCCGGCACACGCCACGGCTCTTTCCGACTTTTTCCCAGTGGTTCGATTCGACGACACCTCAGGACCTCCAGCTTCTCCAAAAAGCCGCCAATTCCCCTCCCCCCCTCAATCCAGCACCCTCCTCCGTCCTTCCAGCCAGCAGCAGTTGCCCACGATGGCGCGCTCAGCCATGGACGCCACCCGGTTCACCGCGACGGGGCCCTACGCACACTCGAAGCCCAACACAGCGTCGACGCTGCAGTTTGCAGGGCCCCCACCCCCGAACGAGACGCCGCAGCAGAAGGTCATACGGCTGCGGGAAGGTGCGCGGAAGGCGAAGTTAGCGCGGATCAGCAAGTTTGATAGGGTTGTGGCGACGGGTAGAGTGGTGGCGGATGCTGCACATCGGACGACGGCTTATGGTCTCATTTTCTTGACAGGTATGTTTATATTCAGATCAATTGGGCTTTGGGGATATTGGGGATTGCTATGGATTGCTTGTGGGATTGGAACTTGTGCTGACGAAGGTTATAGGTGCTGCTGGATTGGTTACTGTATTCTCCCTCGGTGACATGATCGTTTACAACCGCCGTAAGAAGCGCGAGTTCTTCGCCGAGCAGCAGGCAAAGCATGCGAAAGAGCTAGGAATGGCGCGGATAGCTGCGGCCGAAGGCAGTGCGGATGAGAACCAGATACTGTTATTGAACAGAGAGAGGGCCGCGGAGGAGGCGGAAGTTGCGAAGCAGAACCGGAAAGGCTTCTTCAAGTCCACACTACAGTACCTCTATGGAAACCCCGAACAGCAGAAGGAGGCAGAGCAGAACGCGGCGAAAACGCCGTCCGAATTGGTCGAAGGCCTGAGAGAGGAAGTTCACGAGAAGACGGGCAATCTAGGGATAATGAAGGCAGTAGAGGAGTCGAGGAAAGAGCAGCCATCCTCAAAAGGCGGACCATTAGATGAGCTAGCAGACAATGCGGCGTCATCGACAGCTGCAAGTACAAAAGGCTGGACGAGCTGGATAACAGGTCGGTGAGGGGAAAAGTCGATATAATTGTTTTGGCGGGGAGGTTGTCTGGAGCAGCTTGTAGCTCTCTGATGTATCATATGTCATTCTCAGCTGTACCATTTGGTCTTGCATAGAAAGGTGTATATTGGGCATGGAGTTCAGGTACTGGCCCTGTCAATTTGATAGGACGTTGCTTTTATTCAAGGGTATCGCAGATGTTACAGAATTCATTAGTTCAGACCAAAAGCCAAAACGCCCAATCCAAATGTATAGTGAACGCCTTCGTAAAATCCGTACTAATTATCCGTATTGCCAACTGGAATATAATTCCGTCGCTCTCTTGCTTTCTGTGCCATTGTTAGCACCGTGTTCACCCGGAAGTGTTCCATGCTACCTACCTCTGCCCACTGATCTATCCACGGCCGAACGGCCGCATACGTTAACAGCCCTACTGTCGCAAGTATGAATATGAAAACGACCGCTTGATCTTTAGTCGAGTCCCGCTCTACACCACCGTCAGCTGCGCCTAATGACCCATCCATAGAGCGTAACATACGGAAGCAAGTTGTGAAGACCTCCTCCTCAGGAGCGCCCTGGCAGAACGGGTATCCCAGACAGAACTGGCGATTGCAGTCGCTGCACGTCCTCCTCGAAGCCCGCTCTTTGAGTAGTCCTGGATCCACGGGTTTTTTGGTGGCAGGGCTGTCGAGAGCCACAATGGTGCTGTTACCGTTGCAGGTACATTTGCAGAAGGAGGTGGGAGCTATGAGTGGTAAGCTTCTTATTCATTGTCTAGAGCGGTGGTAATGTCATACAGGCTGCGGAGACGCTCGAAATAAGAGTAAGCGCAAAGAAAGCGAGCAAAACCAAAATCCAAGCCCGTCGGGTTTCCATAGTATATCAAGGCGCTTCAGACAATACCGAGAGCGGGCGGCACGAACTCGAATACCGCGATGTTGAGAGACCAAGGGACGATTGAGCCATGAATGCATGTCATTTGTCGACGGCGCTAGCCAGCTTCCCCAGCCGCCGAGCAGAACCTTTTGCTGGACCCCTCCACTCCACTTTCTCCACCACCGTACACAACAATCAGCATCATGTGGCTTTATTAGCAAGCGCCTACACTTAGCACCATCTAGATCCTGTTCTATTCCTGGCCGCGCTGTACAACTCTCTTCGCTGCCGCCGAGACAGGTCGTACAAATGCCAACTCCGCCAGCGCTTATCTGCCCATCTAAAGCTCGCTCGGCCTCCGCCAACACCTCCGCACCGCCGCCCACAGCGACTGACAGCAAGAGCACCGAGGAGATTGCGCGGACTAGGCTCCATATTACGCCTTTTACGGCCGAGTTGTTGAAAAGCTATATACCCCCGACCGTCCTTCAGTCTGCGACCAATATCTCGTTTCATACTGTCGAGACTTTCCCAGAGAAGGGCTTTGGCTACATCGAATTGCCGACTATGGAGGCACAAAAGCTGAAGAAGAAGCTGAATGGGTCTATATTGAAGGGGTCTAAAGTGCGCATCGAGGAAGCGAAGCCGGAGAAGAGGAAGAAGGCGGACAAGGACGGTGCGGCCGCCAAAGAGGAGGACAGACCGGCGAAGCGCCCGAAGAAAGAGAAACGAACGCAGGACGTGATGGAGGGCATTGAGTTGCCTGATCAGAGGAAGATCAAGCGTGGCTGGACGGAAGTACCGGGGCATGGGAAGAATAAGGCGGATAAGAAGAGCAAGAAAGATAAGAAGGAGAAGGCGAAAGAGTCGCAGTATCTGAAGGAGCCGGAGATGCTGTTCAAGGCGAAGCTGACACCTACAGCTGCTGCCGCCGAGAGTGCGGCGAAGGCTAAAAAGAGCAAGGCTGAGGGCAAAGAAAAGAAAACTTCGAAGTCAAGTCGAGAAGTGGTAGTACATGAATTTACGAAGACTAGCAAACACGCAAGTTTCCTTAAGAGCAGTGCGGTTGCTACGGAGAGCAAGCCAGCCACGGAGTATATCAATGGGAAAGGATGGGTGGACGAGGATGGCAATGTTGTTGAAGCTGAGACTGGGAAGGCTAAGAGGGCACGAATAGTTGGCCTGGCAGAGGCAGCTACACAAGAGAATACAACAAAGCTGGCTAAGGGTGCATCGAATAGGAAAGACTTGTCTGCTTCATCTATGGAGGCTCCAGATAGAGCAACTAGAGCGAAGTCAAAATCGAAAACTGCCACGAACACCAAAACGTCGAAACAAGCCGCACCGCTTTCCGATTCCTCTGACGAGACCTCCGAATCTTCGTCAGCCGTATCCTCCGAGTCCTCAGTCTCAGAATCCGACTCTGGATCCGATTCCGTCGCGTCTGACTCGCAAGCGTCGTCATCTTCCATATCCTCCTCAGTCCCCACGAAACCCCTTCGAAATATCACTCTTACACCTCCCTCGCCTTCAGTAGAGGTTAAGATTAGTTCTAAGGAAGTACACCCTCTCGAAGCTCTCTTCAAGCGTCCTAAGCCTCCAGCCATTACAACAGCCGCGACAACGCCCTTACGCCTCGCGCCCATTACCACGTCCTTCAGCTTCTTTGACGATGATGTGAAGGATGCCCAAGACGGGGATGGGGACACATCAATGCAGGATCCACATACGCCTTTCACGCGACAGGATCTGGATTGGCGAGAAATGAGAAGTGCGGCACCCACGCCTGACACGGCTGCCATTGGCCGCGGATTCTCATTCCCGTGGGGACGTGATAAGAGCGAAGGAGAGGACGAGGAGGACGTTGATGCTGGGGCCGAGTTGAAGGATAACACGAGAGCCAATGCGGCGCTGCATGCGATAAGTGAAGAAGAAATGGTTGCAGAGGTCGATGCCAATGCTACCCCACTAGGGCGCAAGACAGCTAGAGAGGGAGAAGCAGAGGGGCAAGGGGAAGAGGAGAGCGAATTCTCGAAATGGTTCTGGGAGCATAGAGGGGAGAACAACCGCGCGTGGAAAAAGCGGAGACGAGATGCTTTGAAGGTGGAGCGGCAGAGGGAGAACAGACGGACGGGGAGGAAAGTGGTGTAAGCTGCGGAGTCGGATTCTGCACTGGTCGTTTGATGTGGCTATAGCTGCTTAGTTCTGGAAGAGGCCGGCTTGTAGTATCGAGTCGTTTGTTGTGAGACGTAAGATGGTGTCTATGTATTTGATGGGTGCAACAATACCCATTTCGATCAGACGCGTTTGACACGGTATTCGTCCCCATGCGACGGTCAAGCACGTTTACGCCAAGGCAGTCTCTCAACCTCGACCTCAAAATAACCCGTTTAGGAGGCTCGAGACAGCAACCAGGCGTCCAATCTACCTTGGTGTGCATTGTGGCACGGCAGCCAGCCGCCACAATCCCCAGGATCCGCCTAGCCGATCTGGGAGCACGCACCGAAATTCGGATGACGTGAATTCATAATGCCATGGACGAGCCCGCGTGCACGGTTAACTGCCGGACATCCCCGTGATTACAAAGGAGCGATTGACATTCGGGATGGAAGGCTTTTAGAAATTGCACGGTCGTTCGCCGGCGGAACCAGGGCCGCTTTCTGTCAGGAACCGGGCCTCGTTGCTTTTGGCTCGTGAAACAACGAGTTCCACGCCCCAATCTGCACATAAGCACTTTCCTGTCCCATTCAGGGAAGTGAACTGCTCCTGCTCCAGCCTGAGCTGTGGCTAAGCTGGGGTGAGCGGATCCCGAGTTGAGACTGAGGGGGAGTTGGCACCCCAGTCCTGAGTCCTGTATTTGACAGGGGCGGGGATCCTCACCTCGGAAAGTCAGTAAACCGGCCCAGTTCCAGTTTCAGGGCCCCAAGTGTAGTAATGCGGCGTCTTAGATAGCTCGCTAGCTTCCTACGCCTCAAGCGGGCGAGGGTTATTCACTTGCTAATGTGCACTTTTTAGATGCTGTCACGGTACCATCTATCGCCCGGCTCGCTACCGCAATGCACGTAGAACAATACCCCTATCGGCGCCCTTCCTTCAAGTTTTCGATTGTCAGGGCTCTCACTAGTGCAGGGCTAACAAGCCCCCAAGGCTTCAGAACGAAAGTACTTCGTTTAAGGCGGCAAATACATATGTAACCATCAGGAGTCGAGCCGTATTGGCTCTAATACGTATTCAATGGCTTTTCGTACCCTTGATGTATCTTTTGCAACAATAATTTGACTTATCTCTTTTTAGTTGACCGGTGATAACGTGGCGGCGCCACACAAGCCCGAATGGTCAATATCTCGTATTAATTTCCTTGCCTTCAAGACAATGAGGGATTAATTCTACATCCCTTTTAACTTGCATACAGACCATCTCATGCTAGGAAATTACTTGAACAACTGAAGAAGAGAGTTCAAATAAGTTCGTTCATCTATTTGAAGACAATACCACACCTTATACCATCACCCTTCCTTCATGCCATTCCCACATAATGGCCACCTCTAGAACATCACAAGTTTCTAAGGTTGCACCAGGGTTGTATGAAAGTCTTCCACTCCCGGCTGGGTCAAGATGCATTCGAGCTCTTGATGTCGTTCGACTTTCAGAAAATGCCGGCCACCCGCTTCAATACGATCTTCGAATCATTGATCTTGATTCAGAACCAAGTCCCTCATTCACGGCTTTATCATACGCATGGGGTTCTCAGACACTCGATAGTGGCGTCATAACTTGTGGATCTTTCACACTTCCAATCACCCAGAACTGCCATTGCGCGCTGCAACACCTTACTGAGGTTTTCGGGAGGCTTACCATCTGGATCGACGCGATATGCATCAACCAGGATGACGAAGACGAGAAAATGCGACAAATCCTGCTGATGCAAGACATTTACTCTCGTGCAGAAACTGTGTATGTTTGGCTTGGAGAAAGCAATGTGTCAACAGACAGAGCGATGGGATACCTCGAAAACGCTGGATACCTCAAGCACTTTTTCCTTGACGGTGACCCGACTAAGGGGCGATTAAACAATCCCACCGTGTGGGCTGCAGCTTGGTCAGCCTATATAGCGCGCTGGGTCCGCAACAGCCATTTGTTCCCGTCTATGGAACAGAGTAAGAGCCCACAATATGCATGGACAAAAGAGAGATGGGCAAGCTCAACCCAGTCAAGCTAGAACCGATTGCTGCAGGTCTTTACGTCTCCGGGGAGGAAAGCCACTACCACAAAAACCACCGCTGAAGATCTCGAGGAGCTTCTGACAAGAGATTGGATTAATCGCATATGGACATTCCAAGAGATCGTACTCGCCTCTAATCCAGTTATCGTATGTGGGAATAGATATCTCAGTTGGTGTCGATTTTCAACTGGTATCAATTTCCTCCATTACTCTGGGATAAACTACACGAACGGCGAACCGATTATTGAAAACCTGGATGTATGGACCGACGTTTCTTCAGGTAGAGACCATGTCACCGCATGTTCCGGTATTCATACGGAGTTGCCAAACCTGAACAGGTCTAGCAAAACAACTTTGCAGCTGTACAAGAGATTCTTAATCAACGTCGGACAAAGCATGGATAAAATTCACGGCTACGTGTCCTTCTTTTTCATCTGCTCTGGAACTCTTATTGCTGTGATTTTATTATACTGGTGCATAATGAGGCTGGGGATTGGTACGTCAGAGAAACAGGAGGTGGTTCCTACCTCGGTGATCGATGCGGCGGCGACAGCAACATCCAGCGCAGTGGCATGTGCCGTAGCCTGTGCATCGGGCAGCATTCCAGCATGCTCCAAGGCTTGTGATGCAGCAGTGGGAGCAGCTGGTTCGGTAAACAATCTTATTGCCAATTTGGAGTCGAATGTATTATACACGAAACTCGATTGCGGTTTCGGTGTTCCATTTGCGATATCTCTCATCGTGTTCCTTGTGACTTTCGTTCTCAGCCGTGGCTTTCCGACGAACAGTTATCTTCTACGAGGTCTTGCTCTTCCAACTGGGCCCCCACAGGTTAATTTAGTCGATACTCTCTGCTACCGGAAGTCGAAGGACGATCGAGACAAGGTTTTTGGCGTTCAATCGATTCTGCAGGAGCTGTCCTGCTTTCGCCTTCGCTCAATCGACAATGCTGCCCCACTGGAGCGAATATACAAACAACTTTGCATTCAGCTCATGGAAGTTACCGGCACTCTTCAGTTCTTGCTGCCGGCCACAACGAATCACTTCCCTGGACATCCAACGTGGGTACCGAACTGGGCAGCCGACTTTGACCCCTTCTGGCTGAAACCAACTCTCTTCAGAAACAAAGGTTTGCATGCGACACCCGGCTCGATTGGTCACTGGGCCTTGGATCCATGCAATGATGATGTTCTCGTTGTTCGGGGCCGTCATATTTGTTCTGTCAAATCATGTTCTGGATTTCGAGAAACGTGGAGCACCTACGACCCCAAAGAAAGATCTCTCCATTTAGAGAATCTTCAGACCATATTTGCGTTCTGGGATATCTTCTACTCTCAAGAAGCAATCGTGTGGAGGAAATTTGAGGAAAGGAGTGGGTTTGGTTTGATGAAGTGCATTGATCAAAGTGGGTTCAATGGTTGGAAAAAGTTTTTGAGAATGCACCATGAAAAAGGACCATGCAAGGTCTTAGATCTGCTCTTGCATGGAACTGATTCCTCCCTGCAGAAAGAGCGCCCACATCTTAATAGAGGTGGGCCTTCCTTGCAAGAGATATTTCGCACACATATTTCCATGTGCAATATTTTAGCCAGAACAGAGAAGATGCTTTTTCAGGGTAGCAGTATTTTTATGGAAAAGACACGGGTCGACAGAGCCCTGGGGGTTTTTTTGGAGGCTGAAGACGACGAATGGAAGAATTGGACAGGCCTTGGGATGAAGGGTATCTGCAATCGCAACGTGCGTGCGGGAGATACGGTCATGCTTGTTGCTGGGGTTTCCTCGCCGGTTATTATCCGTCGTGGCCCTACTTCAATGAGACTTGTTAGCCCGGCGATTGTCGATGGAGCCATGCAGGGCGAGTTCTGGGACAGTTCATGGCAGGCTGAGGAACTTGAGCGGATATATCTGTGCTGAACGATGGCTGGTTGTAGCATGGTGGCTGCGAACCTAAAGCGCTATAAATGGGAATTTAAGTAGAGAAGAGCAGACTCATCGGAGCTCACTCGAGATTTCTAGGATAGGAAGGTCGTTTATCAAAGGAGAATGAGTGTTTACAATTCTACAACTTGTATGTGGTGGTCACCTTGGTATTCACTAACCTTGAGCGCGCGTAGTTGCGGATCATCCGACGAAAGCATATCCGCTTCGATGAACTTAGCCTTGAATCGTCCTTTGTCCCCGAATAAGTTATAACTAACATCCTAGTGCGAGACAATGTCGACGCTATGCATCGGATCGCTTGGTGCTCCGTCGAAGACGACCCGTCGCAAATCCACCCCGAGGAAGCAACCGACGTCTAATATTGAGTCAAGCTTTAAGAGCTGAATTAAGTAGCTAGTAAGTTGCTCGTAGACAATATCTAGCGTTGCGTCGTCGACGTCTGGATTCAACATCACTTCCTGCTAATCGTTTTCGGTTGGTTTCTTTAACACACTCGCTAAACTCTTCCTTTCAATAAAATCCATAATAATAAATGGCCCCAATTGTTTCGGACTCTCTTTCGTCACTCCCTAAGACGTCACACGACGGACTGGAACTGTGGTGTTCTGGGTGAGATACTTCAAGAAATGAACCTCGTTCTGGACCTTTTCGTCTCGTGTCCTGGTTTTGGGAACCGAATAACGGCACCTGGCCCTCTAACTAACTAACTAACTAACTAGTTATTGTTAAAGCTGATGACTAAGCTAAGGTTGAAGGAGCCCTTGAGGTAGCGGATAAACTCTCCGGGTTTATCTCCCTCTCTGCGATCCGTGACAAACTCAACAATTTCATCTCTTGCATCGAATACCTGGTCTAACCAAGCTTTCCACTCATTGTCACCCTCAGTCTCAGCGACAAGGTCGAAAACAGTCATTCTTGCTTCGGAAAAATTCAGAGGCAGATCCCTTAACGATAAAGACGTCGAGGAGGTATAGAATGGAAAGTGTGGTGAGTGGAGGTGATATGAAGGCTCGGTATGGTTGGGTGGAGCAGGCGGTCAGCGATTTGGCCAGGTCGGAAGACGAGGATGGACCCGATTGAACTTAAACTTGACTTCTGCGAGGAGTGAGAGCGTAGGATTCTACGACGGTAGAATAATACGTAAAACGGTTGTGAAGTTGAGGAATATGCTTCTCTGGTACGACAATAGACTCGCTTCGGGGATGTAGATTGTGGTTGGATTGAGTGGAAAGGTACGAAGGACTTCTTTTTTTTTGTGTCCTAATCCAAAAAGTCACCTTCGTACCCTGAAGCTAGATCGAACCAGAGACTAGGGGGCGGGCCGATTCGAAGACTAAATAGATGGCAGGATGGTCACGTGAATATGAGCGAGTTTTGGCACACAGAACGCCTCTCGCAGCCGAAGAAACTTTGGTCTCGCTGAGCCGCTGGCTGAGCCAGCTGGCCGGCTAGTGGGCCGCCCCCTGCTACTGTACAGCCTCTCTTTATATCCAGCGACCCAGCGTTAAAATCAAGCCACAAAATTACCATATGAGGCAGCAGTTCCGGACGCCCTTTAGGAAGGAATAGATACACTCTAGCCAATCAGGTTTTGAGGCGGCTGAAGATTAGCCCTGAATAGCATGCTTAACGGGATTGACTCATTTTCCGCGCTGGGTCACCGGACGTAAAGAGAGGCTGTACTGCAGGATATCCACGCCCGGCGCACGCCAACGGCCGTGAATATCTAGTAATCTATACTTGTAATGCTGAGCCTAATGCTGACTGGCCGTGTACCATACTGCCTATTGGCCGAACTGTTGTGGCTCGTTGGTGGAGTACGTTAGGTAAGAGGCACTTTATAGGAAAGGAACAGGAAGGGATAAGAAAAGAGATAAGAAGGTAAGAGGGAGGCCGGCCATTTTTGTAGATTGGCACACTCTATGTCAACAAGGATAAGGGCAGAGAATCCTCCCTGAAAAGGACCTTCAGCTTCTAAGGCTTACCAAACTGTTTGGGGCCATGATTTGTGACTTGGGACAGATCTAAAGCCCCTCGCTAATACTTGACCGTTTCTAGCGAGGTATATCTAAGACTGCGCAGCAGGGGGTAAACAGACCTGAAGAGACCTGAGCCGAAGCTGAGCCGGGCCTGAACTGGCCAGTGGCACCCGGGTCACGTGAGCAGAGGGGGCTCAGGCTCTATTCCTAACGAAGGCCCAGGCAAGCCGTATTCTAAGTTCCCACTCCACTATTAAAGTCCCAATCTTCGGACTGGGACAACAGAACTCCACCTGGTCGGCACAGTCGCGACCAATCTCTCAGCTCCTTGCCAAATACTCCACCTTGGATGATGCAGTAGATATCAATATTGCTTCACTTCCGCGAACCCACGTTAGCTACAGTCGTAAGACTATAAGGGAGGTGCAATCTCGCTTTAAGGAAAATAAAGACCATGGCAACGGCTGGAACATCCTGGATTTGAAAAACCCGCTCCCGGACACGTACGGCATTTGCCCAAGGTTTCTTCAGAACAGCAACTGCGACCTCCTTAATAGGATCAAAACGGCCGTTCTGAATCCAGGATGGGCAGGCCGAATCATCACGAAATCTAAGCAGAAGAACGAATTTCGAGAAGTAGAAGGGTGGATTCTCCTTGCCGAACCTGGAACCTACACCGGCCCTCATATAGATGCCTACGCCACGGAGACGTTTATCAATTGTAATAAAGAGGAATTCGGGATCGTATAGTTAGACCGCCCAACCGACAAACGGCTAGAGCCCTGGGCGAAAGATCCGTCTAATTATCGAGGCGGAAATTAGTGCTTTGCTATGCTTCGGGCTGTAATAACTATAGTTCCCAGCTGGCTTTGTCTACTTTGTCTTACGCCTTTCTAGCAATAGTAGGCAGACTATGGGTATCAGAGGGCACATTCTTCGCTGCTCTGCTATTGCGCAGTGGGCAAAGATATTAGCCCTGCAACTAGAATATCCGAACCCTACAAATAAGAAAGTCGCGAAAACGGCCCTCACGTATCTCTTGACTGTCCTATGCCTCGTGAGGGAAGCAGGAGCTCAAGGAAGGCTCGAAGAGTTTGGCGGAGAAAAAAAACGTGGCAGAGTTTCGACAGAATGCGCAGGCATGTTCGTCGGTATAGTAGGAATGCAATATATACTAACTTAACTTAGAAGTGCCGTAATATTCTCAAGAGAAGGCATCCCACAACGAAGTTAGAACAGTTACAGGAAACACTCAAGTGTATATAGTACTAGAGAGTGAATGCTTGCTTGAGGCCTAAAATTTAGTCCTCCGACAAAATATTTCTAAAGCAAGAGCTGAGGGGCAGTGCCGATGGCTTATCGCTTTCACTATGTCCTCACTTCGGTCGTGAGACGCGGTGAAGAGGCTGAGATGAGTCCGCCGCCGAATGGTCTATCGCCAACCGACCCTCATCTTCCTGCCCTAGAGCGCCTTCGGACGACCGCACGTAAAATTGCTGGCGCGCAGTCCCAGACTCGAACCCGATCTACACCGAGGGCTGCATAAATGAACACAATCATGGAGACTGAAAATGGCGGGGCGCTGAACAAAACTCTAGCACAGCGGCCGCCGAAGCCTGTTGTCTCGCGGCATTTGGAAAGGGACGCTGTAGGTGGCGCTGATCCAGAAGTTAGAAGGCACCAACACGCAAGTCGCCGACACAGAGGTCGCTGCCGATGGTAAAGTCACTGACGGCCGCTGCCCATGAAGTTTGTGGCGTCGAAGTTATCAGCGCGCGGGACCGCACTGAGCTCGTCACATCTACTGCGAAGAAGCCGAAGTTAGGTTCAGGGCTTGTATTTCGTGACTACCACTTGTCCGCGTGCGGAGTTCTTCACATGATACCGATGGGGAGCGGTGCCAGTGGATGACCTCAAAGCATCAGCCACTCACCGGATATGTGAACGTCGAGGTTGTCATTAGGATAAAAGAATAAGGCTCCCAAACCGAACGAGACTCCAGCCATTTACCTACAAGATCAAATCATGACTCTGCTTCCACTGACAATCCTCGAGCTCTGCACTCTGCCTTATATGCCGCCAATTGCTTCATTTTCCTTTCAACGAACTCATCGAGATCCGGCTCCAACATAGGGGCAAGGTCCTCGAAACTAGGCTGGATATCGCAAACGGCCTTCCACGCTGGGTTGTCGGGACTCGTAAAAGAGTCATATATCAATTCATGGAACCAGAACTTGCCGTCGCTCAAAGATTTCCGCATAAGGTCAGAAAGCTTCTCCTTATGCGGCTTATCCTTGTTTCTTTCGCTCTCCTCGAGTTCAAGCTCGTCAAGAAAAAGTTGTAGACATGAGTTGTATCTATCAAATTCTGAACCTTTAGGTGTTGCCCAATGAACCGGATTCTTTATTAGAAGCCATCGTGGCGCTGAGCAAAACATCTGGTACGGCGCTGCGTATGCCCACTCCCAGTCTATTACTGCGATTATCTTGAGTTCTCTTGCGTTGTTGATAATCATGTTCCCGTAGCGAAAATCATCACATAATAGTCTGAAGCTGATCTGATTATGCTCATCGGCGATAAAGCGTGGAATAATTGCATTGAACTGATGGCGAAACTTGTATTTAGCTCGAGCATCATTAGCGTCGTCGATTGAACTGGGCTGTTCATCCAATTGTCCCATATCTTGCTTGGCAACGTATTCGAAGTACTCTCTTGCGGATAGAAATGTTTCTGAGCGATTGCCTTGGATTAAGGTTAGCATATAAATAAGCCAGATGCTAGAATATATACCTCCAACTTTAACTCCTCCATGTGCCTCTATTTCTTGCATCTTCAGCGTCAGCGGCCCTAACTCTGAGTGGATACTCTGATCGTCCCTGATAGATAGAGACCCAATATTGGGAAACTCCAACTTCGAGAGCTCAAGATAAAACCCCGCTATCTGACGATACACAGTGCGCAGGTCCCTCTCGCTGATATCGGGTCGTAGTATCCGTTCCTTGAGCCCTACTCGCCAAAGATGACCGAGGCACTCGCCCTGTATGTACTCCATCACGATGAAGGCCCCTAAACCTAAAGGATTGTCGTTTGATAGTCCCCAAGCATGAACCTTAGGCACCGGGATGTTTGTTTTCTGCCTGACCAAGCGCATCACTGCGACCTCTCGACGTAGCTTCTCGTCCCCGTCCATAATTTGTCCAGGCACGGGAAATCGTACTAGCCATTCCACGCCGTCTTTGAAGAGCACACGGCAGCTCCAATTGAAGGAGCCATAGTAGTCTCCAATTATTTCGCTTGGATGGTTGTTGCGGAAAGAAGAAACCCAGTTGGCAATGGACGGGCCTCGTACTTTGTTGAATTTGCTGAACCATTCATTGGAAATTGTCCTATGTGCAGCCTCCACTCGTTCGTCCCAATCCATGCTGAGAGAATCGATAAAAATATCTTGACGATAAGTGCCTCCGCTCGGTAGACACGGGAGGATGACGGAGGTTTCTGGTGGGTGGTCGTGGAAGTAGACAGTAGATCCTGGCGCGCGGCGAAAGATCTTTGCTAAGAAATCTAAGTCGTTTTGAATGCGCAGCGGAAAGAGGACTGGTCAACGCAGCGCAGAGACACACGACACAGGTGCAATTTGATTCACTGGGATCCATGTGAGGATTGAGACGGGAAGCAGAGTATATACGCGAGTCTGCTCAGCCACACCTTAGTCATGCTTCTTGCGGCTGAATCGTTCGGCACCCTCCGGCTTGGCATAAATAAAAAAAGCATTTGCTGTTTCTGCTTCTCTACTGTATCCCAGCCTTACGCAATCTCCTGCGTAACCCGCCAATACCCGCCAATCTCCTACTTAGGAGGATGCTCACACAGTAGAGGAAGCTCTTGGAGACAACAACACCCTTCCCGACCTGAAAAACAAGACGGATAGCTACTCGAGATACATCGTATTTCCCGGCATCACATCCATCAAATGCCAATCTCACCACGTCCCTTGAATCATTTTACCTGAGATGGCTTGGGCAGCAGTCGGATTTCTATGTTGCTGTTAGGGTCTATATTGCGAATTATGTAACGTAAAATCAGAAGAATGTGTTTACAGGTTTTTTTGCGCTTCTCACGAGAGGACTCGCCCGCTCTTCGCATGAGTTCTACGTTTGCTGGATCAATACGGGCGGCGTCGCGTTGCTGTGCAGTTTGCATAGGTCCTTGTGTACCGGAGTTGGACGTGCCCGTGATAGTGCTAGCACTAGTATTGGCGGTTTGGGAAGTGGCACCAGTGTTGCCAGTGTTAGCGGGGTTGGTACTGCCGCTAGACATGTTCAGATCGTAATGGCGAGTTGTAAAATTGGAAGGTGAAGAGTTTAGATAATGCAGGATTGGTGCTTTGAAAAAGGAGTTTACGAGGCGTTCTCTCGGGTATTCATATTCGTCGCTCCGCTTCCTTCACGCTTATTGCATCAGGCGCACGATCATCCACTCTCAGAAGGCAGAGATGCAGTAAGGCAACGGAACGAAGCCAGCTGCAGCCAGGATGATCTGGCTAGATTTTCTCAAAGGTGCATACTTGACCGGTGGTAAAGTCGGGGCGTTCGTTTTGCAGCTTTGGGCTCGCCGAACGAGCGCAGCCGCAGGAAAGTAAGGGTTGATCATGCAAATCGCCACGAATCTGCAGGAGTGCGATGAGCGTCTGGTGCAGCGCCGAGCGTCCAGGCCCTGCATGGCGACGGCGGCCTTTGAGCAGAGGTACGTCGTTGGAGGTAAGTAGGTACTTGTTTCTAGACAAGTGTACGACGATGCTCGGGGAATCGTGCATCAAAGGCCGGTGACCGTTCATCTACTTCGTCCCTATAACTGGAAGCGCCGTTAAAGGCCTCCTAGGACGAAGTTTGGTTGTACAACTCGTAGGATTCTATTGTGTACTTCCTTACGCTGTTGGAACGAGCATCTCTCAATGCTCAACTCCAAGCAATAGGCCGTAGATAGCTATATACAGCAATTCGTATAGCCTCACGTTGTCTGTAAATTCTAGCACGGAGACCTGAACGAGAGCCTCCTACTGGCTAAATCCTTATCGATAACGTTGAGCCTAAGTCAGCGGGTTAAGGGATAGTAATCCTGTCTTAAGACTCTTCTATTCTAGGTCGAATGCCTAGCACTAGAATTTACTAAATAAAGCAAAATAGTTACCACGGAAGTTCTATAGTTAGAGAAAACAACTAAATACTATCTACTCTAATCTAAGGTTTAAACCGAGTATAAATGTACCGGACGCCTTAATAAATACGACACTATTCTACTGTATAAACCGGGGGCTGGAGGAATTAAGTAAGGAGATTATGCTTGTATAAGACTTTGAATGAGGGCTATATGCATGACTCCGGCTAGGGTGCTTAGATATACTTCCGGAAATTACAATACAATACAACTCCGTCCTCTAATAAACCAGCCGGCTAGTCTTCCTGCAAAAGAGACTGAAACGTCTTCAGAGCGCAAACCGTTGAACGGTTCACAGATATCTTCTTAAGGTTCTGGCAGCTGGCGTAGGGGTACAAGGCAATCTGTGGAGGAGACATGAGTTGTATTGAGGTGATAACGTGTAGCTATCTAGTTTGGAGCGGAGCGAGTCCAGCTGGAAGGTGAACTCTGAGCAAGCAAGCGGAGTAATGAAGGAAGCAAAGGATGTGCTAATGAAGTAGCGTGATAATGGCTGCCAGGTTCGCAAACGCCCCGAAACCCGTCCGTCATGAGTGGCTCTGGCGAATGAAAAGGTAGCGGAGTTGGCTAACACTTCGAGCTCGAAGCCTCAGATTTGATGTGTTGACGTAGTAATCTGGAGTACCCATCCATCCACTTGTCATTCACGGACTTCTGGTGGCCAGCATAGTTGAACATCCCATGGCAGACGATCGCAGCATCTGACTCCAAGCACGCTGAAAGTGCTGCCTGAGTTGTGTCGGCGATGCCCAGTCTAGCTTCAGACATTTTTACCATCTCCTTGTACTCCCTGCGTCTTATCTCAGATTTTTTGTGCGTTTCAATCGCGAATGGCCGGTTCACAACGTTACCAGGAGGCTGTTGGTCTAGCCCTGCGAAAGTAGGATACTGCGCAGCTACCTCGAGTGGAGCAGCGATGATGCCGTCGAAGTCGATGACTCCAATGATGTCAAAGTCGTCATTCACAAGGAGATTGTGAGCGCCAAAGTCGCGATTTGCAAGCCGAAATGTGCCGCCAGCGTTACCGTAGGCTGACATGAGATGCTTAAACAGAACTGGGAGCGAAAGCGAGGCGCTCGACTGTACGTCTTCGTCTGCATCAGCAACGCAGACCTTAAGCGCGTGGTCGGCCAGCGCACTGTAGTAGTCGGTTGAGAGCCGCCACGGACCTTTCCCAGTCTCAAGTTCTGGACCGACGGAAAAATCATCCGTACTCTCATCGTAATACAGACCTCCGACCTGATCAAATGTGACTAGAGATAGTTGCACGTGAATGTCAGCCATCTGCTGCATGAACTTTCGGTCTTGAGCCGGAGTGCCAAATGAGGGGTAGGCGGCACATTCTTTTGCGTCGCGAAGTTCGGTCGCAACCGTTCCATGTATGTAGTCCATTAGGATATAGGGGGCACCGATATCATTCATCGCATCAACGCTGTAGCCATGGACTGCTGGTACTGGAATTGAGGTTTTTGTTCTTTATGGAATAGACTTGAATTAGCGTCATCTTGACATAATCTGAAAGGAGACATGACACCCTAGGAATTTCATGCTTGCAATTTCCACCTTTATGGTGTTAAGACCGTCGAGCCCTTCGCGATCACCAAAGGCGGCCTTCAGCTCTGGCAGCCTCAGTCTGGCGATCCATCGGATACCGTCTTCAAATGCAATCAGGCGAACCATATTGAAATGGCCAATCGAGAAGCTTTCTCCGAAATCACAGGGTATACCATTACGAATGGTGGATGCATGGGACGCGAGCACGTCCCATTTGACAGATGCGAAGAATTTGGTCGCTCGCTCGTGAAACTCGTCGCCCTCGTCGTAATCATCGGCTCCAATCCATGAGGCGCTACCCAACGAAGAAGCTGGTTCTTCCATTACGTTCGTCAGGTCCGTTTGCTGGTCCATGTGCAGATTGCTAGTCCCCCATCGTCTCCACCCAAACGTGAGGAACGTAGGCTTTGGGCGACCTAAGAGCACCTACAAGAGCGATAGAGACCGAGATTCTGCCAGAAAAGAAAAACCAAGAACCATATGCTCGAGGAACGATGTGGTGAATGAGCAACTCACAGAAAGCAGCGATAGCTATGCTGGCATCCCCACACACGTCCGTGCGGGAGCTAAACCCTATTCATGAGAGACCGAGCCTCAAGCTCGCATCCACCTCGTCATCTTCGTTATATTCAGATAAGATGTAAACTTTCCCTTATGGGCGCGTTGGTAGCTTCGATGTTTGGTGGTGGAGAATGCTCGGTGTCAGGTCTATGTATACTCATAGCAGGTGAGAAGACCTGGGCCGAAGCTGAGTCGGGCCTGAGCCGAACTCAGCCACAGCGGCGCATGATCACGTGAGCAGAGGGGTTCGGCAGCAGACGGGTGGCAGGTGCAGATTGGGGTGTTGAAACACTTTGTGCAGCGCGGCGGCCGTTGGTGGCCTGTTCCTGCGGCGGAAGTGCATCCGTATGACACGCGCGAGATGAGCGTGCCTGCCAAGCGCCTGTTGTTGTTGACGGTGCTCTCCAGCTCCTGACGGACATCACGGCGAGACAGTCGGGGTTGAAGTGTGCGATGGGCGAGCTGGGGATAGGCCGTGTTTTGGATGCGAGCCGGCGACGCGTCTCGCCTTGTTTACATCAGAGGCTGCTGGTACGGCTGCCGCGCAGAGTTTGCAAGCGCGTCGAGGGAGATTAAAGACGAGGATACCAGGCTTGCGGTGCCCGGCCCGCGGTGGTCAGATCCCTGGGAGCTGCACGGCTGCACCGCGACCGTTGAGACTTCTGGGCGCCAGGAGAGACCCGGCTACTTTTGTCCACCACGACCTGTCTCGTTGTCTCCACCAAGCCTTCACCCTCCGCCCTGCACGCCACAGCCCGAGTAGTGTGCTCTTAATCTTGCCTTGTCCCTGTCTGTTGCTCAAGCCCATCGACTTCCAAGGCGGCCATGAAATTGCTCCGCTGCGGACCAGTCCCGTTCCTTTTGCTGCCTCGCACCTCCGCATAGCCGCTGACGCTCCCTGCTCTGCTTTATACCAACCACCGCACCCTCGCTGCACCACCTCTCTTTTCTCTCTTCTCTACACGCTCCCGGGAATGAAGCCTTACTCCGCCGCCACGTCGTCCCATTACCGCAGCTCATCGGGACGTCATCTGCAACCTGCATGGTCTGCATTCCGACAGCTCCAAGCGCTCCAGGACCATGCCCGCGCGCCTTCAGGACTCCAACCATGGCGGAATTGGACCCGGAAGGCCTCAACATGTGGCACTGCCGCCAATTGACCCTCGAGCGGTCCACACATACGCAGACCAGCTCTCCAACAGATTCACCCCCCCAGCCTCGCCCCGAGACTCGGATTCCGTCTCATTGTCATCTTTCAAGAGCGCTACTACTAACCGCTCAAAGCATCCCCTTACCGTGCTCACTGAGAGCGCCCAATACCACTCCTCACACAAGAACATCCGCCATACGCCGTCCCCCGAGCCCTCCCGACCTAGCCTTACGTCAATACCACCTCCTCACGTCCCGCTCCGCCGAAGCTCCTCGCAGCATCTTCGTCAGCGGGCATTGCCAGCCCTATCATCGCCGTTGAATGAAGAGAGGATACGCAACGCCAGCCATCCGTCGCCTACCCTATCTACATTTTCTACACACAGCGGTGGCAGGTCACGTCAGGGCAGCGCGGCACCCATCCCGAGCGACGATCCCCGCAGGAACCCGCTATCGAGCAACCCCGTAACCTCATCGTGGCACATACCTGCTGCCGAGCACCCTCCTTTTCCGCCGAATAGATCTCGAGGTCTTACCACGTCATCCCAACCAGGCTCCCAGTTTCAACCTGGACGGATCCTAAGAACGTCGACGTCAATACCAGACTATGGACCTGTCAAAGCTCCGAATCGGAATGGGCCGTCTACTACATACAAGCCGGATCGAGGTCAACCTGGCCGCGACAGCGACAGCTACCACTCGGCTCTCCGCCGGGACCCTTTCATACGCAACGACGAAGCCCGCGCGAGTTTTCGATCAGGTTGGACGAATGGCTCCTCTGGATTTTTGGATGCTAGCGGCACGGAGCGGAGTAGTATAGCGACTAAGAGAAGTTCGACCAGTGAACACCGGAATAGCATTCACCTGAGGCCCGACGACGACGTGGATCCAGACGCGGAGGGAATGAGCGTGGAGGACTACATTGAGATGTACGCGGACGGCTTTTATGATGATCCTGAAGTGGGTGGTGGTGGTTTAGACAACTCGGATGAGGGTTATGTGTCCCAAGCCGCGCTTGGCCGCACCCCAGAGTCACCAGAGGAACCGGTTAAACAACGCCGCCACTCCGCCAGCATGGTAAGAGAAAGCGTATACATCGAGCCCTCAAAGCTCAAACTCGCCCCACCGCCCCCAATTCACGTTCGAAGCTCGACGGCAATATTTTCAGGCAGACCGCCAACCGCCCAGGGAAATGAATCCATCACGCCGGTTGCACGCGACCGCTATGGCTTCAAGAAGGCCACGCAAAACGTAACAGCTGATCAGTACGATGTCTGGAATCTGGAATATACGAATTATCTTGCTCGCCGACGAAAGAAATGGGAGGCTCTCATGAAGCAGCATAATTTACCCACCGACAAGCCAACCCGTTTCCCGCCCAGATCCGACAAGGTGAAGCGGTACATACGAAAGGGGATCCCTCCGGAATGGCGAGGTGCGGCGTGGTTTTGGTATGCGGGCGGGACCGAGAAACTGACTCAGAACGCCGGCCTATATTGGGATCTTGTAGAGCAGGTTGACCAAGGGAATTTAAATGAGACGGACAGAGACCTGATCGAGCGCGACTTGAACCGGACGTTTCCTGACAACATTCGCTTCAAGCCTGATTTTGATCCAATATCAAATGATTTGGGCCGAGACTCCGACCCGACACTGTGCTCCGAGACCGCAATACTCCGAGCCCTGCGCCGCGTCCTGCAAGCATTCGCAATTCACAACCCTGGTATAGGATACTGCCAATCGCTCAATTTCCTCGCCGGACTACTCCTGCTATTCCTGGACGAAGACGAGGAGAAGGCTTTCCACATGCTTAGCATCATCACCACTGTCCATCTTCCAGGCACCCACAGCAGAGTCCTCGAAGCAAACGTAGACATGGGCGTGCTAATGAGCTGCATCCGCGAATCGATGCCCGCCATATGGACTAAGATAGATGACGTGCACCTCCTCAACGCTGGGACCCACTTCTCCGCAAATAACGCGCGACTCCCCACAATCTCTCTCGCAACAACAGCATGGTTCATGTCGCTATTTGTGGGAAATCTCCCGATCGAGACCGTCCTCCGAGTCTGGGACTCGTTCTTCTATGAAGGCTCAAAAACCCTCTTCCGCATCTCTCTCGCCATCTTCAAAGTCGGCGAGCCCGACATTCGCTCCATCCACGACCACATGGAGATTTTCCAGGTCATCCAAACGATCCCCAGACGCCTAGTCGACGCAAACAAACTGATGGAGGCGTGCTTCCGCCGCCGCAACGGCTTCGGCCACATGTCCCAGGACACGATCGACTCGAGGCGCGCGGAGCGACGAAAGCAGCATGTAGCCGATATGGCGAAAATGAACACACTGAACAGCGTCACATCTGGCAAGTCTGGCAAATCTGGCGCTCTTGCACCGCCTGTTGATGCAGACGAAGAACGGCCGCCCGCGGGTATGAGACGCTCGGCCTCGAAGCGCTTCAAGCGGAGCATGTCGCGGAAACGCACCGCGAAGAACCAGAAAGCTTGAGTTTTTCCTTTTTTGCATTGCATTGCGCTGGGCTAGGCGGGGGGCGGCATGTGTGGCGTTTGTTAAATGTTATGAATGATTGGGATACGGGCGATGGGGAATCCGCATTGCATTGGTCTCGGGAGTCTTAAGGACGGGCTGTGATATACATATGGGTAACACTGAAGTGGGGGAAGGAGTACATATAGAAAGGGTCGGCGCTGATACTGGGCTGTCCACGTACACAAGAAAATACCAAACGATGTCATTTTCTTGCCTGTTAATCTTCAGCGCTTTTCACTTATGTGATACTCTACAGACTTCTTACTCTACAGGTTCTTTAAAGTCGCCTTAGCACGTCTAATACCCACGCAACAAACACGATGAAGCTTCCCATCTCTTCGTAGTTTCAAGGTAGCAAGTCGGAGCCATTTCAGAAGCCAGTAAGTAACTGCGAGACACGCCGTTCTATCAAAAGCGCAGAACCTACCTCTTAAATTTCTCCCCCCAAAAAAAAAAAAACGCTAGCTATGCAATGGGCTAATATGACATTTCCATCCGCTTTGATGCATACACCACCCTCCCTTCTCTTTTTTCCCTTCTTACCCTACCTAACCTAGCCCACAACCCTCCCCTACCACCGATCCGGCCCAAAATGCGTCCCTGCGGGCACATCCCTATACGAGCACGCCTGCCAATCGCAGCCCTGCTTATACACCTCCGTGCCCCACCACCTAAACCCGCCCATCCACCCGGGATACAGGACGCCGAAGAACACTACCACGACGCCGACCGCCAGCCCGGAGTCCAGCGCCGCCGACAGCGTGACGTTGTACTTGCGCCACCACGCCTTCTTCTTGTTCTTGATGAGGTAATTAAACACCCAGCATACGAGGCCCCAGACGGAGAAGTTGAGGCCGGTGGCGGGCGGGATCCAGCTCAGGCTGCCGAAGACGACGGGCAGGTTGACCTTGCGCCACACGGAGCGGCGGTCGCGGCGGCCGAGCAGCCAGACGCCGAGGGGCGCGACGGCGCCGAGCAGGAAGGCCCAGATGAGCGGTCGGTAGAGGGCGCCCGGGCCGAAGAAGCGCGCGGGGCCGACGACGCCCCACAGGATGGAGCCGTTGAAGTGGACGCGGGCGAGCGGGCAGGTGAAGCCGTTGATGGCGGAGGGGGTGCAGATGCCGGGGACGTTGGCGAGCATCCAGTTGAGCACGCCGATTTGGGTGATGCTGGAGATGAGGGTGGCGGTGATTTGGAGGGCGAAGAGGGTGCGGGGCGGGATTTTCATGTAGTGACCGAGTTTGAGGTCCGAGGAGAATTTGAGGCCTTGGGTCGAGGAGATGTAGCCGTAGGTGGTGAAGAGCATGTTGGCGACGGGCCGGCCGGGGAAGAGGACGCCGCAGATGAGTTGGCAGATGAGGTAGATGCTGCTTTGTTGATTGGTGATGGCCATGACGATGCCGATGGGGATGAAGAGGATTGCGCCGATGCCGAGGGCGAGAAGGAGTCCGTACCACGGGAGGTGGATGGGATAGCTTTCCTTGTCAGTTTCGGGGATTGATGTTATGATAAGGACAACTCACTACTCCACGATGAAGATACCAATGGCTAACATACTGACTCCTATCAGGACGTACCAGAGAATGGGAACATCGGGATACTTCTTCATCAGCCGATTGTGGATGTCCTCGGAGCTAAGTAGGTTCTCTAGCCCTGGCTCCGAAGAGCTACGAGGTCTTGAATGGCTTCCATTTGCACCATTACCAATTGTAGGCAACGGCTCGTACCTAGTATCACCATTGCTCGAAACTTCGTTCATCGATTTGCGCCACTGAGTCCAGATGTCCTTGCCATGCCATAGAGCTGTGTGTGAGATGAGAGCAGCCAGGCCTGCGAACTGAAGCGCATAACTGAGGGCGTATGTTATAGGCAAAAAGACTCGACTGTAGTTGTGGTATGCCTCGCTGTCGAATAAGAAATCTTTGGTCAATATCCTACTTACATCGTATGGCTTTCCAGTATTGTCGAAGACGGCTGAAGAGAGAATAGGCATGTAAGAAGAGAACATGACGTTCTTGTAATCTGTCAATTATTAGAGGAGGATCGAATGTCTGGTCGACAAGCATACACATGATTGGCGCAATAATCCACATCACAACGACGAGCCCTCCAAGGATGTTGCAGGCTGCCCAAAATGGAACAGCAAGTGGAGATCCAATATAGGCGATTTGAGACCAATCGAATGTTAATGGGAAAAGGCCAAGGCCAGATGCGACTCCAAACTAGTCAAATTAGTAAGGTACATGCATTGATGAAGACGCTAGGGATGCTTACGAGGTTGGCAACAACAACGTTCTTGGGAGCGAACCACGTTATCACGCTGAAGTAGCTGAGGGCCGGCATCAGGAGTCCTGGAAGGAAATAGAAAAGCACGGCTCCGCAAAACACCTTGAAGAAGAAACCAGACCGGCTGATTGTCCATCCATTGGCAGGTCTGTTCTCCTCCTTATGAAGAGTGAAAAACATGGCCGATGAGATTAATGTTGAGGGCCAGATCATTCCGCTTGGCCACACAAGATAACGACGGGTTAGTCCTGCGAGAGAATATCCTAACACTTGGGTTGAAATGGTGAGCAAAATCTGGTACGTGACACCAAGCGGTTGATGATAGAACTGAGATTGCTCCACAATGACCTGCAAAAGATACGGTTAGCAGTTTGGCTTATTGTGATGGTGGTTTTCAGAGACTTACATCTGTTGCGAATGCAAAGCCAAAAGAAACATTACTAGCAATATAAACACAACTATGCTCTTTCTCATTCCATCGTCCTTGCGCCAGCCAGAGCCGTAATCTCCTCCTCCATGCGACCCGCGTAGGCGAGGATAGTAAATAGACATCGGACACGGCCGAAGTGGCTCGTCTGTCAGAGCCAGGAGAGTGAGTTCCATTCTGGAAGGTAGAGTCACTCGACATGTAGTGTCGAGTCTCAAGAGAGCCGTTCACAAATGTCTCGGCTGGGTCGTCCGCTCTTTTGAGAATTGAGTCCCAGATAAGGCCGGCGGGGTGGGCAAGCAGAAGGGCAATAATGGGAGTGATGCTGACGCTAGGGTATCTTAAAGAGAAGAACAAATTGGTAGATGAGCCGAGAATAGCAAAGAAAATGGACAGGGTCCACATGCGAGGTGTGCTGATGGAGAGGGCGGTGTCGTCTGTAGCAGGTACAGATGCTCGCACGAGAGCATATGGGGAGTCATCCTTGGGGTAACCTGGCACTTTGTGGTCGTGGAGGTCTTCTTCACTAGGCCCGTCACTTTCACTATAGCTGTCGCCTTCGCTTGGCGCATCGTTGAAAACACTGCTACCAGAGGATGATTGGAGGCCGTCGAAGACTCGACCCCCAATGCCGGCTACCGGTGGCGGAGCAGCACCGGAGGTGAATCTTGGCTCCAGTCCAGATTCCTGGTGCCCTTCGAGGGCGTCGTGTATTGCTGCATCCCGTTCGTGGCTGGCGGTGGCCGGGGTCGACCGCTTTTGACTTCTGCGCTGGCGCGGAGTAAGATGGTTTGAGATGTCGACGTCATCGCGATTAGCGGAGCCAGAACTTCCGAGAGCAGAACCGCTGTGTCTGAGTTTGCTCTTGCCCTTCCGGCGGGCACGATTCTGTGCAGCTTTGGCAGCTGCATCTTCATCTATGTCTGAGTTGCCTGCGCTGGAACTGAAGGACATGACGGGAAGGCCGCCATACGAGCCGGTGCCTAACGCAGGCGACGAGCGAACCAGGAGGGGCGCGCGGGACATGTCGTCCTCCTCTCCAGCGTGTGGGAATGCAGGAGGAGTCGACTGACGCTCAGCGCTGCCGTCATGGGCGGCTGGGAGGCAAGGGCTGTGTTGTGCGTTTGCTTTTTGTGCGAAATCATGAAGCTCGACAGCCCCAGCAGGCGAGGACAACGTGGCGTGAGCGCGAGCGGCAGGCAGCTCTCTTAAAGCGCTCTCATCATTCACGGCATCAGGCTTCATTAGGAAGAAAGCGGGCCAACAAGGCCCCTAAACGTATTCAACGAGGCAGCGAGGTGTGACAGCGGTGGCCGCAGTGAGCGTGTGATCTGATAAGATCTTTTGGCCCCTTGTCCTCCGCGTTAGGCGCCCTGGTGCATGGCGGTGCATGGCGGTGCATGGCGCTACGGAGCAAAAGGTTGGAGTTAACCTCGTTTTACGGCAAGGCCTTGTCCCGCGTTAACACTTCGAAGCACACGATTTCATACATGGAGCAATAGCGAAGAGCTCCTCCTTTATAGCAATCTCCTCACGCTCTACAAAGGTGGCTACGTTGACTAGAACGACATGCGCAGTACGCAGCGCATGGTTTTGGGCGTAAGATTTGCGCTAGGAATATCGCCAAGCCGGCTGTCGCCATGCCTGCCCCCGTGGTCGGACCTCGCCTCCAGCAATGACGACCGCTCTCCAACGACACCAGCAGTGCTACCATCAGGCAGCCTTCCGTATGCCGTGATACTATAACATGGTGGGAGCATTGGAACAGAGTCTGAATTCACAGCAGCTGGAAATATCATCCAATCAAATTCCGAAGAGAACCTTCGGGGTCCTCCTGACAGCGCCATGTAGGTGGAAAGAGTTTTCATCAATCAATCTATCATTTTCTTGTCAATAGTCCGAACATCGGAACTGGGAGCAACCATCGGTCTCATGTCACGCTGTCGTGACGCTGCGAGGAGGCCTTCAAGCTTCTATCAGCCATGTCGAAAGCCCGGCTCTGATTTACAGTCTCTGGAAATTACATCATGTATGCAGCTTTTATGAAACTGTCGGGGGCTTCTTCGTGACGTAGCAACCCCCCCAAAACTCTGTTGACTTTGTTTCAATTTACACTGCCGATATTTAAGCCCTCATGACCAGCTTGCTGAGCCCTCCCCGAAGCTCCAGCCTTCAAGCCATTGATATTTGTGTCATATTTTGCGGACACGTTGAATCACTCTAGCCTTCCCTCGCATACTTTAAGCGATGGGCAAAACTTAGGTGTCGGCACTTCAATATACGACCTTGATCTTCCGGTGCTCCAACCAAGCTGTTCGAGCTCTCTCCAAAAATCAAGCCTCCAGATTAGCAACATCTCATCATCCTTCTGCACACGTTTTGGACCACTCAAGCCGCCCTCGCACACCTCAGACAGTTGGCAGCAGTTGAGCGGGATCGAGGCGAGTTGAAGTGATAGGGAGTGCGCAAAATCAAAACAACGCTAGCAGGACGCTAGCGCCAAACAGGACGGGTATAAATCCACCCACTGTCGGCCCATAATCTCACAGTCTACCACGCGTAGCAGTCTCATTCACCACAACTTCCGTAAGTAATTCACGCCGTGTGGCCTGTTCCTGGACGCACTCACCTCATCTTCCCTTAATTGCACCCATCGCGCGACCATGCTCACGGTCCTTCTTTTCACGATTACGGCCGCACTTGGTGGCCTGGCTGGCACGGCAACGGCACACAATCGTCACAAGGACTACGCTCTCTCGAACAACTCCTTCACGCGTTCGGCCCTTGTCGGTACGTGTGTGTCGGTTAAAGTACCCGAACTTCCCCAGTGAATGGCCAGATTTTCACGAGCCAGAAACCACTTTTCTTGACGGAAGCGTCGCGGCCTCTCACGCGGACCTCGTTGAACGGACCACTTTCTCGCCTTCTTCGCCTCTTCGCACCACTGTCTACGTCACTACTACTGTCACTGTCACTTTTAGTACCAATGTAAGTATTTGCTACAACCACCTACATATTCATCCTACTAAGACCCCTGTTCCTAGCCCTCTACCGCCGCTCTAAGGACTTCTGCTCCCACTTCCACCGAAATCGCCCCCTTGGCCAGCCCCCACAGCGTCACCCAAAATGTTACAACATGTGCCGCAAGCCTCCATCAGCGCGACGTATTGGCCCTAGAATTCCCGCAACTTGTCCCGGAAGCAACTGACGGCATGTCCTCCTGAGCACAGTATCTGGCTGCTATTGGTCAAACTTCCACCAAAAGCGCGACCTTGGCGTCCCGGACTATCACCTCTTCTGCTTCTTTTGTTGCTTCTTCCACTTCTTCTGCTCTTAGTCCCGAGGCGTTAGGTATAGTGATCTTGTGGCCCGTTCTTGTGGTTATTATGGCTATGTTTGGGGGAGGCATTGGGTACATGTTGAAGCGAAGGGGTGGGCGCCAGATGTTTCAGTAGGTTGCTGTAGCGGAAACGTGCCTCTTGATGATCACTTACGACCGAATGCGTATACCCTCACGGCCTATGAAGGATCGAAATGGGGGAACCTCTGTGTAGTATAGTTTCCTTGGTTACGGCCTCCAATTGGCCTCTTGACACCGTCTGAAGTCCTCCCGCGTGCTATGAGAAATCAGGGTGCGATGTAATGTTCGTGAGGTTGTAATTCACATGCCTAGTTTCCTATGCCATCCTAGCAACGTCTGGAGTCCTCCAGCGCATTATCAAAGTTTAGAGTGTTATGTCGAGTTCCTAGAATTTTAATCCACACACGCGGCTTGCTGCACCATTTTAGCAACGTCTGAAGTGCTCCAGCGTACTATTAAGAAACGAATGTAATATGAAGTTCCCAGCATTGCTATCTACACTCTATATATCACGACGTCTCAAGCCCAACCTCACATTTCCCCTGAATGACTCCCCAAAACTCTTCCACAAGCTCCTTCTGCCCCTCCCCGCCTCTCACAGACAAATAGCGCCTCCCATCCACCCTCGGCTTCCACCCTCCCGGATTCCCATCCGCTACTAACCCCCCAGCCTCCTTCAAAATCACCCACCCAGCACACACGTCCCACGCCCAGCACCCTGTCTCCCAGTACACGTCAAGCGCGCCGCTCGCCACAGCGCACATATTCAGCGCCGCAGACCCCAGCGAGCGCAAACTATGCACCATGGCGCCGCCAATCTCCTTGCTCCCCGCGAGCTTCGCAAACGTCGCGACCTTGACGTCGTAGTCGTTGCCGCTGCGGTCGCTGCCCCATTCCACAGCCACGAGGCAATTGCTCAGCGCGCCCAGCGGCGTGGGCGACGCGAGGGGCAGTGGCGTCGTGCGATTCAGGAACGCGCCGCGGCCGGTGATGGCGCTGTACAGCGTCTGCGTGAAGGGGTTGTAGACGACGCCGACGGCGGGGACGAGGTTGACGGCGAGGCCGAGGGAGATGCAGGCGTAGGGGAGGCGGTGGACGAAGTTGGTGGTGCCGTCGATGGGGTCGACGATGAAGGTGGGCGCGGCGGTGAGGAGGTCGCCGGGCGCGTAGGTCTCCTCGCCCATGAAGAGGATGTGCGGGTAGCGGGTGCGCAGGGAGGTGGAGACGAGGGTTTCGACGGCGCGGTCGGTTTCGGTGACGAGGTCGGCGGCTGGGCAGGGGAGTTACATGGCGAGTCTATTGGCTGGGGATTTGTGGGAGGGCGAGGAACTGACAGTTCTTCTTGGTGCCGGATGCAGAGGTTGTGGGATGCGCGGAGGTTATCATCTCGCCTGCTTCGCGGGCGAGGGAGATTAGGTAGTCGTGGATTTCTTGGAGGTCTAGGTCTGCCATGGTGATGATCTAGTAATTTTAATATATGTCTAACAATGCTATAAGTTGAGAAATATACAAAATGCAGTTATATGAGATGAATGAGGTGAGGTGGGATGAAAAACACTAGGATGAGCTTTATCGATAAGAAACTTAGTGCATGACTCGGGCAATGATCTAAAGGGCTTGCAACTACAGCTCCAATTATGCATGCATCAGTGGCAAGTCTGTGGAAAGTAGTAAGGCAAGTCTCTCTTCTCATCGAGGTTCATGCTTCATCGAAACTGCAGAGCAAGCTGGCTCCAGCAGCGTTGCTTGTCACCTCCTCTTTGAAAGACTCCTTCGCACGTTCGCTTCAGACCTCGGCAAAACCTTACTCGACATCATACTTGAAGCACGAGGCCCTTATCTAATTCCATCATGTTTCCAACAATCAATCGAAGACCAGTGCCATGACCAGCGCCTCGGAGCTTCGTTTCAGCAGGATCCCATGGGCGGCAGACCTCATACGGGATCCCGACTGGGTCGTCTGCGCGACGTCGTCACGGACTCCAAAGACCAGCACCGAGGACTCCTTCTTCGCCGTGACCCTCAACACGGACCGAACCATTACGAACCTTCTCTCCTTGCATCTGAAGCCGGACGAAAATGCAGATCCGCCCATTCAGGCGGTCCGCACTATTATGGACCTGGGAACTGGTGTGAATGGGCACCCGGATGTGTGCCACGGCGGATTCGTGGCGACTATGATGGATGAAGTCATGGGGGTATTGTTGACGATCAACCTGGAGAGAGCGTCGATTTGGAAGAGAGGAGAGCCAACTATAGGCTTGTTCACGGCTTGTGAGAAATTTCGTGCGGTTGCAAACGGCGCTACACCTACTGATTACCCCAAGATATCAAAGTCAACTATAAAAGGCCAGTGCCAACGCCGAGCGTTGTTTTGGCCACCGCAAGGTTTGAGAAGAAAGAGGGAAAGAAAGCATGGGTTGTTGGGACTATAGAAGATGGTATGGGTGTTGTATACGCGACTGGGGAGGCTCTGTTCGTTCAGCCAAAGGGCAAGTTATAAGCGATAGTAAGTTTAGGCTAGGGGACGGGAACGGGCTATCCTCTGACCTTTGACTAGCGGCTTCGTCGAACTGCCTCGCCTATCAATAGACATTAGAAATACGCGCACTTTGCTAGATCTGTTCTGGAAAGCCCCCTAACGGGGGTCAGCCGTTTGGCAGAAGACAGTAAGACCGAAGCTTCATTACCTAGAATTCACTTGATTGGGTCAAATAACTTATTCGGGTCACATTCCAATCTTTCAAAGACTAAAAGATGACGCCCGACTCAGTTGCGTTAAGTTTCTCCTCATGTCAGTCCCGGTGGATGTCCTCAATTCTGCAAGCCGGCCCGAGTCACTATCAACCCATTTTCACTGACAGTTTGTGGGCTGTGTTTATCAGTGAAGAAAGCCTCTATGCTCGTGGGGCGTTTCACAGCTTCCTCATTGACGTCGAGGACAAAAAGATATGCCGCAATAACCCCTGCAGCCTAGTATCATTTCACTCCGAGTCACTTTTACGTCAAGCAAGGAAGAAGAGCTGCAGAGATAAGAGGCATTCACTATCTATAATTGCTTTTGCTACGGAGTATTTCTTGATCACGACGCTGCCGCTTCATGCCACTCGCTGTGCCGCATGGCCACATCTACGCAACCCGCACTTGCTTTCATATTCCGCGTACCGCAGTTGTCGTGAATGGTCAGGAAGTACGCTCAGGTAGCCAACTAACGGTGCCTGCCGGCGACCTAGTAGCAGATGTTGCCGCCACATAGTGTTGGTTCGGCGATGAGCGTCAAAATGGGGAAGAGCCTGTCCATACCCCCTGCCTGGAACCAAGTTTTGCCAAAAATTTGCGAACGCCATTTCATCGGAGGACCAGACTTGGATCGAGATTGGCGAGTGCGCTGGCCTATCGTCGAAAATGCTTCGCCATATTGTTGCAGTTGACATTTGTTTAAGAATCCCCAATGTAATCCATGACTTACACACCACCCAGAAGTTTGTATACGAACTATTACTATCAAAATCCATGCTTCAAACAGTATATCTCCTCAAATTTTGGTAGCTCTTGCAGCTTTCTTCGTATATCTTGTTATTCGATACCTAAATCAGACGGACGTACCCAAGATTCGAGGCCTTCCAGAAATCCCTGGTATTCCACTATTTGGGAACCTGATTCAATTGGGCACTTGTCACCACGTTGCAGCCCAGAAACTTGCTGACAAGTATGGACCCGTCTTCCAAGCACGATTAGGCAGCAAGGTAAGAAGCAACCACAGTCCCGGGTTACTTGACTGATGTCGGTCAGCGGGTGGTATATGTAAACAGCTTCGAGGCTGTTAAATCAATCTGGATTACACAGCAATCGGCCTTGATATCCTGTCTAACTTTGCACATTTTCTACAAAGTTATCAACAATGATGGCAAGAGCTTTTCTTCCTCCGAATCGTTTCCAGTCGGCGCATCACCATGGGATGAGTCCTGTACGCAGCGTAAGAAGGCAATCGCTAGTGCCAGTAAGCGAATTTCTGATTATGTCTCTATCTCCATACTTTTGTCTAGTGCTGCATTACTCAACTCTCGCTCTGGCAGCCTCTGGAGATGGACATCCATTACGGGGAAGGTGAAGCTGGTTTCACTAATACCAAAGTAACTTTCAATCTCATTCTAATACTCGATACTACTTCTAGTGAACCACGCGTCCATTCCTACATGCCTTTCGTGGACCTCGAGGTTATGGAGAGCCTCAAAGAGCTTCATGACAGCAGTATCGGGGACCTTGATATAAAGCCTTACATTCAACCAATGGCCCTCAACATGTCTCCCACTACCTGCTACGGATACAGAATCAGCAGAGGTGTCAACGATGCACTGCTCCGAGAGATCACGGATGTGGAAAAGAAGCTTACGATGTTTCGGGGGACGTCGAGCAATTGGCAGGACTTCATTCCGCTTCTCCATCTGGGGTCAAAGAAGAATATTGAAGCCAACGCATGCAAGCTGCGGAGACAAAAGTATATTGGCTTCTTACACGATATACTGAAGGAGAAGGTGGCAGTCGATACTGACAAGCCTTGTGTTGCCGGTAGCGTCATGAAAGATTCAGACTGTAATGAGAGTAGGCCATCCTGTACTCAATCCACCCGGCACATTTACTGACTTCTCGCACCTGAAATTAAGTCTATTGGCATGCCTATGGTCTCCGGCGGCCTCGATACCCTCCCCGGAAATATAATCATGGCAATCGGCTACCTCTCCTCCGACCACGGCGCAGAGATCCAAAAGCGCGCCTATGAGGAAATCATCAAGGTTTACGCCGACGGCGACGCCTGGAAGAAGTGTCTCGAGGGCGAGAAAGTCGCCTACATTACAGCGCTGACCAAAGAAACCCTCCGTTTCTGGTCCACCATCCCCATCAGCCTCCCGCGCGTCAACATCGCTCTTATCCAATATCAAGGCGCCATGATACCCCCCGGCACCGCTTTCCTACACGTAAGCCACGGCCCCCAAACCGTTGCTCTCTTGTTTACTTAACCTTTCAAATCATAGAACACTTACGCCGCAAACTACGACCCCTCCCACTTCTCAGAGCCCGAGAAGTTCAACCCAGACCGCTACCTCAGCGCCTCTAAAAGCCGCCGCACTACGCGTACGGCGCCGGCTCTCGCATGTGCGCGGGCGTGCAGCTCGCGAACCGCGAGCTCTACGTCTTTTTGGTGAGGATTATCGTGGCGTTTGAGGTAGTCCCTGCGCAAAATGCCAGGGATCGCCCGGTGCTCGATGCTCTCAAGTGTAATGCGGATCCGAGCTCGTTGACGATGATGCCGAAGCCGTTTAAGGTCGGGTTCAGGGCGAGGGATAAGACGGCGCTGGAGAAGTTGGATCATAGAGAGCGAGATGAGGACGAATCATTTGGTGTGAATTAGATTGCTGGAAAGTTGATATTTGGTCTTGAGTTTTGGGGTAGACTGGACTGTGGGTGATGGAGGAAGGGGGGAAGGTGCGAGTTACGATGCTGGGAACTTTATATTGCGTCCTAAATTCTCTTGTTGGAGGACTTCAGAGTGTGAATCGCAATACTGGGAATTTGACATCACATTTCGGTTTTTCAAGTTATGCTGGAGCACTTCAGATGTTGCTAGGATGATGTAGGAGGTTAGATCCTATACCATTTTCTCCGAGGCTATACAGAAGCCCCTTCGAGCCACAAATGAATGAAGTCACGTGCCGCCAAGCCACGGTTATATGTCGGACCGGGTAAGGCCAAGTGGACGTATCCACCTCGCGCCTCCGCACCTCCGACTTCCTCAGCCTTATATTCCCGTTACCTTGGATAACAGCCATTTCCACATGCTACGTTCGAGCCCTGACAGGTCATCCTTTTCGAGCTAATGTGCAAGGCAGCGCTTACTACGGCGAACCGCTTCATGTAGGAATCGGCACCCGAGTGGTGAAGAACCGAGATCAGAGCCCTGTATTCTGGCCACCTCGACCAGAATCATGATTACCGTCGGCCTTCGGTACTTAGCTTTCACCGACAAAATCTCGAATTAGTCAGTTCGTATAAGGCGGAGCCAGCAGCAGGCCGCGCGCCTTCCGCGAGGTGTTTGTACATCTAGGCGGACGATTGTTCACTGACCTTGAGCATGCATTTGATTGCTCAGTCGCAATGTTACCCCAATTAGCGTTAAGAAACCAACATGGGGTTGCCAAATACGAGCAAAGACGATGTATATCCTGTTGTAGAGACTTTTCGCGACGATATGCCATGGTTTTTGGATGGCTGTCACGCATCTACGTCTGGATGACGAAGATGGAAATCATTTCTACCTCCGCCTGTAATCTTATCTCAGGGTCTGCTCGTGCAGAGCAGTTGCCGATTGCGCACGGAAAGACCCTTTCCGAATCAGAGCAAAAGTTTGGTCTCCAATCAGTCGTGAGTGGCCAGCATGTCTGCAGTTATACTGAGTCCTTTGGAAGTTGCCGTACCAGCGTTTTACTACGGTACGCACGAGCTCTAAGAACAGACGGTGACGGTATTGAATGTCCCGTTGTAGGTAGGTACGGCGGATCTAGTGATCAGCCGGCAGTACCGGTGGGCTTCGGACGGTGAGCTTACGGCCGATCCGACCGTCCGCGTTGCCCATGCCAAGATTATAGGTCCGGAATACCAGTCGCCTTCATGAGCATTCTGCTAAGATGATGTCGTCCACCTCTGAGTGAGAATCGCCCACATCCGAGAATTGGAGGAGGGTTTGATGGGGCGGGCCGCTTTTTCTAAGCGTGACCAAATCTGCCTGCAAAATCCTGCGCTAAATCTCGGGGGTAGGTGATTCTCGGTGGTAGGTGGTTCTCGGATGGTGGTAGACGACGTTACGAGTCTCATCGGTAGTGGTCGGAGGAACACTGGAGCGGCACGGATCTACGAAAAGCCATCTTGACAGGGTCTATGGCTAATTCACTGATGTACGCTGAATCTGATTAGTTGGAAGCCACGTACCATTACCGTTCTCCACATGGTCGTCTCCCTTATATGGGAACGACTACTCCCTTCACGCCTTTTAAAGTCAACCTGCCGTGTCTTCTGCCTCCATTGCTTTTCTCGATCTTCCTTTTCTAGTAACACGATCCCAATCTACGCACGCTTTGACTTTCACTCTGATTACGTTCCACACAACGTACCGCCATGGAGCGACGGCGGAGCATTTCAGTGCTCAACACTGCCTTACCAGCAGGTGCGGGGGATGCAATTTTCCGCACTATATCCGAGACCTTCTCCCACAAATCGCATCATAGCCACCATGAAGACAACACGGAAAAATGGGATGATGCGGAAGACAGTGGAGAAGACGCATCGGTTAAGACTCAGGTGGAAGAATGGAGACTCACAGCGACCGTAAAGGATATCCAGATCAATGACCCGGCTCAGAGTCGGAGTTTGGGGGTGACCTGGAAGGATCTAACAGTCCAAGTGGTGCCTTCAGATGCGATGATGCATGAGAACGTTCTGAGCCAGTTCAACATACCGCAGCAAGTCAGAGAGGGACGACACAAGCCGGCTTTGAAGACGATATTGAATTCCAGTTCCGGCTGCGTGAAGCCAGGCGAGATGCTTCTTGTTCTGGGTCGGCCTGGTAGTGGCTGCACCACCTTACTAAAGATGCTGGCGAACAAAAGGAAAGGGTACATTAAGTTCAACGGCCTCTCAGGTTATATGTATGCTAATACGTGTGTCAGGTATGCCAAGGTCAGCGGCGACGTTTATTTTGGTTCTCTCGACGCCAAACAGGCCGAACAATATCGCGGGTATATCGTCGTGAATACAGAAGAAGAACTTTTCTATCCTACACTCACAGTAGGGCAAACCATGGACTTCGCTACGCGTCTCAATATTCCTAACGAGCTACCGAGAGACGCGGAAAGTCGGGAAGCCTTCCGACAGAAGTTCAAATCGTTTTTGCTGGATTCGATGGGAATATCACATACGGAAGACACCAAGGTTGGCGACGCTTTCGTCCGAGGTGTCTCAGGTGGAGAACGCAAGCGAGTCTCAATCATAGAAACGTTATGCACGCGAGGCAACGTCATGTGCTGGGACAACTCGACCCGCGGATTGGATGCATCCACAGCCTTGGAATATATCCGGGCATTACGTTGCATGACAGACGCCATGGGCATTGCCACCATTGTCACCTTGTACCAAGCTGGCAATGGTATCTACGATCTGTTTGACAAAGTTCTTGTACTCGACGACGGTGAGCAAGTCTTTTACGGTCCGCGCGAAGAGGCGCGCCCCTTCATGGAGTCGCAAGGATTTGTCTGTGGTGACGGGGCTAACGTCGCCGATTTCCTCACCGGCGTCACAGTACCCAGCGAAAGAGCGATCAAGCCCGGCTTCGAATCGCGCTTTCCCCGCAACAACATCGAGCTCGAACAAGCATACCACCAGTCGCCCATCAAGGCCAAAATGGACCGCCAATTGGATTACCACACAACGCAAGAAGCCAAGTTGAATACGCAGGCATTTTGCGAAGCGGTTACAATCGATAAATCGCGCCAGCTTCCCAAGTCTTCACCCATGACCGTTTCATTCCAAGACCAGGTCAAGGCCTGTGTCGCACGCCAGTATCAGATCCTCTGGGGAGACAAAGCAACCTTCATCATCAAACAGGGGTCAACGTTAGTCCAGTCATTGATTGCAGGATCGCTGTTCTACAATGCTCCTGCTAATTCTGCCGGCCTGTTCGTCAAGGGGGGGGCTCTCTTTTTAGCTCTTCTGTACAACGCATTAGTGGCCATGTCAGAGGTCACAGACTCTTTTGCTGGAAGACCCATCCTTTCCAAGCACAAAGCGTTTGCTTTCTTTAATCCGGCTGCCTTTTGCATTGGGCAGATAGCAGCAGATGTTCCTATCCTGCTTTTCCAGGTCTCCACTTTCATCGTTGTACTTTACTGGATGACTGCTTTGAAGGCCACGGCAGCGGCGTTCTTTACATGTTGGTTCGTGGTTTACCTGACCACGTTTGTCATGACGGCCTTCTTTCGAATGGTGGGTGCGGCTTTTCCGAACTTCGACGCTGCATCCAAAGTATCAGGCTTCTCCATCACTGCTTTTATCGTCTACATTGGGTATCAGATTGCCAAGCCCGCAATGCATCCTTGGTTCGTTTGGATATACTGGATCGATCCGCTTTCGTACGGCTTCGAAGCTTTGATGTCGAACGAATTCAAAGGCCAGACAATTCCCTGCGTCTACAGCAACTTGATCCCGAACTATCTACCTCAGTATCAGGACTCTGCGCACCAGGCTTGCGCTGGAATTGGTGGCGCGCATCCAGGTGCCACTGAAGTTAGCGGCGAAGATTATCTCGCCAGTCTGTCGTACTCGCCATCTCACATCTGGCGCAATGTCGGCATCCTGTTTGCCTGGTGGGTGCTTTTCGTGGGTCTGACTATCTTCTTCACACAGCGCTGGGACGATACTGCAGGCTCCTCTGGCGCTCTGCTTATCCCTCGTGAAAATCGCAAGAAGGTTGCACTTCCTACCATACCTACGGATGAGGAAACACAAGTGCAAGAGAAAGCCCCTCGAAGGAATGCAACTGATAGCACCGATGACGCTACCGCATCTCAAGACCAACTTGGGACGAATCTTATGCGTAACACATCCGTATTCACCTGGAGGAATCTTTCCTACGTCGTCAACACACCAACCGGCCATCGAACTCTGCTCGATAAGGTACATGGCTATGTCAAGCCAGGCATGCTTGGTGCGCTCATGGGCTCCTCTGGTGCAGGCAAGACTACGCTTCTGGATGTTCTGGCCCAACGAAAAACTGAAGGCACAATCCATGGCGAGATCTTCGTCGACGGTCGCCCGCTTCCTGTATCCTTTCAACGATCCGCAGGGTATTGCGAGCAGCTTGATGTGCACGAGCCTTACGCCACCGTCCGGGAAGCCCTTGAGTTCTCGGCTTTGCTCCGTCAAAGTCGTGAAACATCTCGTGTGGATAAGCTAGCTTATGTCGATACTATCATCAGCCTTCTAGAACTGCAGGACCTCGAACATACGCTCATCGGAAAACTGGGAAGCGGCTTGTCAGTTGAGCAACGCAAGCGTGTCACCATTGGGGTGGAATTGGTTGCGAAGCCTTCCATCTTGATTTTCCTGGATGAGCCCACCTCTGGCCTTGACGGTCAAGCAGCATTCAATACGGTCCGCTTCCTCAGGAAGCTCGCCGATGCTGGCCAAGCGGTTCTTGTCACCATCCACCAGCCCTCTGCCCAACTGTTCGCGCAGTTCGACACGCTTCTCCTGCTTGCAAAAGGCGGTAAGACGGTCTACTTTGGCGACATCGGTGACAACGCGAATACTATCAAAGAGTACTTTAGCCGTTACGACGCGCCATGCCCGCCTGCTGCCAACCCTGCGGAACATATGATTGATGTAGTCACCGGAGCCCATTCGGAAACAGATTGGCACAAAGTCTGGCTTGAGTCGCCTGAAGCAGCTCGTATGCACCAGGACCTCGATAGCATCATCACCGATGCCGCGAACAAGGAGCCAGGTACCAAAAACGATGGCCACGAATTTGCGACCGATCTCTGGACGCAGACCAAAATCGTTACTCAACGGGCAAACATCAGCCTTTTCCGCAATATCGACTACGTCAACAACAAGCTCGCTTTACACGTTGGCATCGCCCTCTTCATCGGATTCTCCTTCTGGCAGATCGGCAATTCCGTAGCGGAGCAGCAATTGATCCTCTTCGCGCTCTTCAATTACATCTTCGTCGCACCCGGTGTCATTGCACAACTCCAGCCTCTCTTCATCGAGCGCCGCGATATTTACGAAACGCGGGAGAAGAAGTCCAAGATGTACTCTTGGATCTCTTTCGTGACCGGCCTCATCGTCTCTGAACTGCCGTACCTTGTCATTTGCGCCGTTCTCTACTTCCTTTGCTTTTATTACACCGCTGGACTCCCGGTCGCCTCTGAAAAAGCTGGTGCGACTTTCTTCGTCATGCTCATCTACCAATTCATTTACACCGGGATCGGTCAGTTCGTCGCTGCGTATGCGCCAAACGCCGTTTTCGCGTCCCTCGTTAACCCACTCCTTATTGGTACCCTCGTATCTTTCTGTGGTGTACTTGTTCCATACGCTCAGATCCAACCCTTCTGGCGTTATTGGATGTACTACCTGAATCCTTTCAACTTTCTGATGGGCTCACTTCTTGTTTTCACCGACTTCAGCTGGGACATTAAATGCAAGGAGTCTGAGTTTGCTGTCTTTGATCCCCCCTCCGGTCAGACGTGCGCACAGTACCTTGACGCTTGGTTGAATGGTCCTGGCAGCCGGAACAACCTCGTCAATGCGGATGCTACTACCCAATGCAAGGTTTGCCAGTATAGGAGTGGCAGCGATTACCTTTACACTGTCAACCTACTTGATTACTACTATGGCTGGAGAGACGCGGCTATTTGCGTCATCTTCGCTATTTCGAGCTACGCGCTGGTTTATTTGCTGATGAAGCTGAGGACTAAAGCGAGCAAGAAGGCGGAGTAAACGTATCGAACATCAGTCGGGGCCATCTATACATCACTCTGCGGCTCTTCGCCTCACTAATATCCTTTTCTTTTCTGTTTGATTTTTATGCTGCCCATCCTTCCCTAGACAAGTTATTTCCTTTACGACGTAGGAAGCGCGTTCCACAAAATACCCATAGACTTGGAGTTGGCCTTGGATTTGCATAGCGTTATTTTCATATATCGAAGACATACTGTTTCCCTCTTTTTCTGGATAGATTTTTCTTTTGTCGCACGACGTCGGAAGCGCGTTCCAAAAAATTACATATCCTAGATTTCTCTATATCGAATTAGACTGAGTTATTCTCGATAGAATGTCCTGATGGATCAAGAAATCTACCGAATTTTGTTGGCACGTTGCCCATACCGTTGGCGTTGGCGAATGTGAACCTGTTTGAAGGATGTGGAATTTCACGTGAGCAGTGGAGATCGGGCAGTGTGCACATTGGGGTGGTATAACAGATAATGCCCTGTCCCTTCTTTCCTTTGCATGCCGAAAGATCTCAGAGCATTCTACATCAGAACTTTCGGTCAAAAATCTACGATACAAGAAAGCCCCTAATGGTTGGCCCATTCCGTGCCTTTCTAAGCCGTAACCGTAGATGTATTCGCTTATCATCCATCTATATGAGGTCACGGTTTTGTCTAGAGAGGCGGTGGAATTAGTACTTAAGCTGTGATAACTAATACACAAAGAGGCACCATATTGGCGACCTTCTATCTCTTTGAAGACCATGCGGACATCCGCACTCGCTTGTGCTTTGCCAAAACGGTAGACCTATCCAGTTTTCTGCAATGTTGAAGGATGTCTTCCTAATCTGAACACAAGACCCGGGCGCCGAGGACAGTCCTAGTGATACGTTGGTTTGGTGAGACTCCGAGTGGACGTTAATTTAAAGCTTAAACCTGAGGGCCATACAAGAGCCGTCCCAAGGGTCATCCACACAGCAGTGGGACGGTGCAGTGCGACGCCAGGTCCGAGGCCGACGACACGCGGACCGAGACAGGGATTGCATGACGATTTTGCTGCATCAGGTGCCGCCAGCGGGCCGTTGTATGCACCCCAGAATTGATCCCCGTCGTACATGGTGCGGGGTGGATGCAAACTCGATCTCGGAAATCCTAAACTCCGCCGCCTCTATCGTGAGTTCTCCACGGCCGCGGTGCTATATTGTAGGCCCTTGGTTTCTGTCTCGCAGTGCCTAGACCAAAACATTAGAATGATGCCTACCGCCCAGCTTGGGCACACGCATGTATAGTAGTTGAATGCACACTACCGAGGCCACCTGGCCAGCAACAATTCACCGCTTTGCCTGCTGACCGTCGAGTGTTCGAAATGACATGCTTTGCCAAATGCGGAAGCCGTCATCAGGACGACCTCTCGTCACTGACCTCCGCCTCCCCGTTTCCAAATTATACCCACCCACAAACCGCTTATAACCTCACCTCCTTCAATCTCCAGCATCTCATTTCCCAAGACTCTATTCTCACTTCTATCTTTCTGGCCTTGCTAGTGCCGCCTCCTCAACATGCGGCCTGTATTCTTGTCCATATATGCCTCGCTGGCTGCACTAGTCAGTGGTGCAGCTGTTCCACTAGCACTGCGAGACTACCTCTATGCCGAGGCCCTTCCTACTACCAATGTCGCAGACTCTGCCGCCGCCGTCCCTAGTGAAACGGCGACAGTAATGAATATCGCCGTTCCAGACCCAGGCTACTGGCTGAAGGACATGCCTCGTCAAGGCCGTTCGCCTTTCAACCCAGACCCCGGATATCAAGTCTTCCGCAATGTAAAGGACTTTGGCGCCAAAGGTAAGCCTTGGAACTCATGCCCTGACTACAAAGTTTGATTAATGCCTCCATCGAGTAAAAACTACTCTCACGCTTACTTCAAGCTCTTTCGAAAAGATCTCAACTGACCATGCCTAGGTGACGGCGTTACGGATGACACCGTAGCCATCAACACGGCCATGGCTTCTGGGGGTCGATGCGCACCGGGCGCTTGCCAGTCCTCGACCATAACTCCAGCGATCCTGTACTTCCCTGCTGGTACTTATCTGGTTTCCGGCTCGATCGTTATGTACTACAACACTCAGCTCATCGGCAATCCAAACTCGCTTCCCGTCCTCAAGGCTACGTCAAACTTCCAAGGGTTTGGAGTGATAGACGGTGATGAATATGTGGGAGCGAATGAGGGATGGTTATCGGTGGGTGTCTTCTGGCGATCAGCTAGGCACTTGAAGATCGACTTGACAGCTATTCCTCCTGCGACTGGTGCGACTGGTATCCACTGGCCGACTGGGCAAGCTACTAGTCTTCAAGATATCCAGATCATCATGACTGCTTCGAGTGCATCCACTCATCAAGGACTCTTTATCGAAGATGGTAAGCGTCTCTAAACTACTCGAGAGGTTCAGCTGAAGGTCTTTGGGAACATAGATGAGCTAACAGTATTGCCTAGGATCTGGTGGCTACATCGGTGATCTTACCATCACTGGCGGTTTGTATGGAATGAACATAGGGAATCAGCAATTTACCATGCGGAACATTGCCATCTCGAACGCTATCGTCGGTATCTCGCAAATTTGGAATTGGGGCTGGCTTTATTCAGGTCTAACCATCTCAAACTGCGGCACTGCATTCTCTATGAGCAACGGAGGGACCTCATCTCAGAGTGTAGGGTCTGTTACCATTATTGATAGCACGATCACGAACTGCCCGGCCTTCATCGACACAGCTTGGACTCCCAACGCGTCTCCGGCTACTGGCGGGAGTCTAATTCTGGAGAATATTGTACTCAGCAACGTACCAACCGCCATCAGGGGACCAAATATGGCCACAGTCCTCTCCGGCGGGACTACGACTATTGCTGCTTGGGGACAGGGCCACAGGTACACATCTCAAGGCCCAACAGAATGGCAAGGAACCTTTACTCAAGTCACTCGACCCGGCTCGCTCCTCGACGGCAACGGCCGGTACCACATCAAGTCCAAGCCTCACTACTGGGAGTGGACAGTGTCCCAGGTAATGAGCATTCGTGACGCGGGCGCCAAAGGCGACGGAGTATCCGACGACACTCAGGCGATTCAGGCCGCTCTTAACGCCGCTGCTTCGGCGGGCAAGATTCTTTACTTCAACTATGGGGTCTACAAGGTTAGCAACACGATCAAAGTCCCAGCTGGGTCCCGCATCGTCGGTGAGACCTATCCCGTGATCCTGGCGAGCGGAGGCCCATGGGGTAGCGCCACCAATCCCGTACCTGTTGTAAAGATTGGCAACCCCGGTGAATCCGGTAGGATCGAGTGGCAAGACATGATCGTCAGCACTCAAGGGCCAGCTCCCGGTGCGGTCCTGATCGAATGGAACCTCGCGGCTTCACGTGATTCGGGAATGTGGGATGTCCATACTCGTATCGGCGGTTTCCAGGGCTCCAACCAACAGGTTGCCCAGTGCCCGATCCAAGTTCCAGTTTCTGGCAACTGTATGGCCGCGTATATGTCCATGCACATCACGACATCCGGAACCGGTGCATACCTCGAGAACTGCTGGTTTTGGACTGCCGACCACGACATCGACGATAGCAAGAGCACGCGGGTTTCAGTCTATACTGGCCGTGGATTACTCGTTGAGGCATCTGGAGTGTGGCTCTGGGGGACCGCCGTTGAGCATCATTCACTGTACCAGGTTAGTAGACCTCGAAGCTCAACCGGATTCAACTAACTTCACCAGTATCAATTCGCCAACGCCCACGAGATCTTCGCCGGCTTCATCCAAACCGAGTCTCCATACTACCAGCCAGCACCTGACGTCCACAACTCGCCGTACCCAACAACTCAGGCTATCAACGACCCGACATACGCCAACTGCCTGCCCGGCAATTGCGACGCCCTCGGTCTCCGTGTGCTCAACTCCAAGAACATCTATGTCTATGGAGCGGGGCTGTACTCGTTCTTCAACAACTACAGCACGCAGTGCAGCAACAAGCCCACTGACGGCGGCACTAAGGACTGCCAGAGCGAGTTGTTTAGCGTCGAGGGCTCCACGGACCATTTCTGGATGTACGGTCTCAATACCATCGGCACGATAAATATGGTCGTGCAAGACGGAATGAGCTTGGCGAAGTGGAGCGACAATGCGAACGATTACTCAGATACCATTGCCCTGTTCACGTATCGCACTTGAGAGCCTGAAGCTGCCTTGAACGGAGTTCGAAATCGGAACGGTGCACTAGACATCTTGAACAGGGAAGAATGCGGCCCATGTGGTGGATTGCGAGATTGCGGCTGTTTGGTTTCTTTATGCTGTCTATAGCAGATTGCAGGATCGGCAGGCCTTGGACTTCTATTCTCATTCTTGTGCATATTTTCGACAGGAGTAGCGGTGGCTTTATGACGGTTATGCGGGCATAGTGGCTAGAGTGAGTATATCTCATAGTGAATATGGTGGACATACATTATTGGGGATTATTAAAGGGAATGAGACACCTAGATTGGGGGGTTTGGTTAGTGTCCGGAAGACCGGACGTATGAATGGAATGATTGATTGATGATGGAGCTTCGGCGTGTAGGTGTGATGCGATGCTCTGGAGTAGGTGTTTTTGACGGCTTTGAAGTGTTTTCTGAATCACTTGATCAATTTCACTGTCACTGCTGTCTGTTATCAGGATGGCACAAGTCGGGGAGTTTGTTGAAACTTGGGGCTGCTTAGCTAGTGTTGATGTATCTTAGTACCTGAGTGATGCCGAGGACTAGTATCACGCGATTCAATCTGTAAGCAGGTTGTAGTCACCTGTGCAGACACCTGCGGTAAAGGAAAATACACCGGGAATGACCGATTTTCTCGGCTTTCAGGCGCATTCAGGTTCAGGTTCCCTGAGCGTACTCAAGAAGCTTTTTTGGACCTTCTTGGATAGCACTGGGATCCACCGTTCGAAGCTCTCCTGCCGAGAAGCCAATTTATTCTGATTGAGGTACATCGCCCAGATTTCTTCTTTCAGGTCCCTGACTTGGTGCCGAGTATAGTGACTGCCCTTTATGGCTTCCAGGATTTTTGGTTTGGCTAAGGGGACTTGGATTGGTCCGTGGACCCGGCGTAGATGGTCAGAGTCCGCATCGGGTTCTGCGGCGGGTATAACTAGGGGTAAGATGAAGAGTGGGATTAGTCGTGCGCTACGCATATTCGGATGTTCTGATGTTGTAAGTCTCAAGTTTTGAAGACTTTTGCAGGCTTTGAATTACTCCAGGATCCGGGCGGGGTTCCTCATTCGTTTGAGAATAGGACGAGGTAGTCCTTGAAGCGGAATTGGTTCCTGAATAGTGAGATGGCCCTCGTAGTAAGGCCAATCTTTACCCGATATGTCAATTATGAGCTCTTTACAATGCGACTTGAGACTGGAAACTGGGGACAGACGCCGTTCGCCATGGTACCCTTTAGTCTAACATGATGGTGTGGACGTAGGAAAAGCGACAACACTTCACTTCGTCCATTGGACTAAGAGTGGGGGTATACACCTGAAAGGCTAGTAGGCTTCATCATTGTTGTTAAAAATTATAAGCAGGCTACGCTGGACGCTCACATGCGATGCTCTACTTTGAAGTGAAGATAGCGCCGGTGCTGCATCGTGGCTCACTAGTACGGCATATTCTAATTGTGTTCCCCGTGAGATTCGACTAACTCAATGACGCGATAGGCTAGCGACCAGTGGCACAACGGCGCGACGCTTGACATCATCCCTGCCGTTGTTGGGGTTGGAAAGGCCCGAGTAGGCGGAGAGCGTTCTTGGCGGCATACCGGGATCCGGCGCTAGTTTGTGGCATGCGGGAGGGTCTTGATGGAGCAGTATGGGCGGGTTCTTGACTTTGGTACCAGAAAAGGTACCTACCAGCTTGCCGGAACGCGATGATCTGAACTTCGATGCCCGGAACTGTCAATGCCAGCTGAACCAATGATGGAGCATGCAGGTGAAAAAGAAAGTAATGGATCATCCAGCCTCTGGAACGACGAACTTGTCTACTCAGGTCTGCCAAGCTACCCAACGGCATCTCGAATCGAAGGCTAATCCAATGAGTGCGAGCTGGTATGAAGCAGAGCTCTGTAGCCTTCGCAAGTCCCTATTTCGGAGACATTTCCATGCTGCTATAGTTGACTAACTCAGGTACCATCAGGTCCAGCGAAGCCCACACATCCGACTAGGCGGCTGAAATGCGCAAGAAATGACAAGATTGTTGGGGGAAAAGCCCTCCCCGCTGTGCACATGTAGGCCAGTCGGAAGTCCCGCCGTCTAGGCTCCATTGGCCCGCCTGTCAGCTACGAAGAATAGCGAGAGCGCGTCGGAGTGGCAAGCCTATCGGTGGCGTTTGGGCTCTTCCAAGAAGGCTAGGTATTGAGACGATGATGGTGGCTGCATCCTGCGGGATGGGCTCTTGGGGCACCGTGTTCTCCCGAATGCATGGCACATGGGATAGTGCTAGACGTCCGTGAGGTTCCAGCTGCACAGCACAGAGAGCAGAGCGTCGATGAGGCTTTGAACGGAGTCCTGTGTGGATGGATTTCACAAACGAGGCTGTATAAAATGACGAAGGGCGCGATGGAAAAGACTGAGGTCATTCGCTGCGGAGGTGTGCGTAGATCTCTAAGTCGTCAGCTTTGTCCCGTCGTCTCCTCATCGAGATCCAGGGTTCACGCGGGACACCTTTCCCGACCCAGCTTAGTCTAGGCAAACTAAATCGAGATCGGCCCGGGAGGTCCTGCGTCCTTCAAACAACAACACCAGACACGTCTCAATATCACACCCTTTCATCGCCTATCAGTCCTCTCTGTGTACAAGGACTAGTTCCCTAGGTCTGTTAAGGATGGAATCCGTCCGTCTTTTTACCTCATCAGAGGTCTGTCATTGGAATTCAAACCCACCTGCCCACGGTGCTTTTTGTGATACCTCGTATTGCTGCATGCGCGGCCTGGAGACGAGCCAGCCTCCAATGGCCAGCGTTTCTGCCCCTATCGATGGCTTTTTTTGGCAGAAATCTCGGCCACGTTGGTTGTTGAGACTTCTGGCCTGCAGACAGCCACAAAAATATACGCACCTCAATCTCTTTCCGCCTCCCCTACATATACAGCTCCTAGACGCGTCCTGCGGTTAGTCTGCGGGTGGCTTCCCGTAGTTCCATGGGATTGAGCTTATTGGTTGCAAACAGCTTCTCCAGATCAAAGGCCATTGTTACACAGTGACCACTTGGTACGCTAACCACAAGATGCGTCTCGTGGCTGTAATCGTGGTCAAGCACTCGATCGCCGACGAAAGGGCAGCCTGTTCCAGACCGGCACGGAAAACCTAAAGCGTTCTTGAGCAGCCTTTGGATTCTCACTAGCTAAAGGGATCTCGTGCCCAAGCTCATCTGCGTACCACGGCCGAGTCGCAGCTCGCGTTGACGTTAACAATACTACATAGCTTACTCTTCTCCCATACGCCTTAGCACTAATATTTAAAGCTAGTTTATAATCCAGCATACACCTATCTCTGCGCTCGGAGGCTATATTTGACACGGCAGCGTTGGCATTTAGCGTGAATTATCGTCCTAAAAACCCTGCCTCCTTCTGGCGATCAAAATCTTAGCCTTTCAGCCTTGCGGGAGTTCTCCTTGTGCCAAATACCGCCGTCTAGCATAAGTTACCGGGGGGCGTATATATCCACCCTCTCCTCCGGTGCTGAAAACTATATCAACGGCAACAGGCGTCTATTAGCCACTTGGATTGTGCTCAGCCTGTTGAGAAAGCACCTGACACCATGCCCGACATCAGTAAATTCAACGAAGTCCCTTTGGCAGGCAACGTCGTCTCTGTGGTGCTATCTATGACCACGATTGCGGTGCTTGCTACTTGTCTCAGTATGTCAAGAAAGCGATGAGAACGAGATAAGGTTTGCTGATCTGTGTAAAGCTCGAAGACTTCAAACCATTCACTCTTGGAGAGCGCTCCCGCTCACAAGTTGGCGTACGTATTCACTATAACTTCTATTTCGCAGCCATCCCATTCATCACTGGTGCATTTCTGACATTTGATTAGTACTCATCGCTATTTATGTCGACTCGGGCTTGTTCGTTTTTGTCACTGCAGTCATTTCACATGGCGTAGACCTCAACAGCTCTGGTGATCTCTGCGGGGGAGCAATCTTGCTGTGTAAGTATAGATCAGCTATGATGGCATTTTCAATAACTAATTCCAAGATCAAGGCTTAATATGTTATCTGACCACCAAGATCATGATATACCTGTTCCTCGTGGAAAAGGCCGTAAGCTCACTCTGTGGCATTCTTGGCTTGCATCTTGAATCAGCTGACTTTGCCTTGCAGTACATTATTAGAGGAAGCCGTCAATCGCGTCTTAAAAACAAACTTTATGTGGTCAATTTTTTCGGCTTGATAGTTCCTTATGTTGTCGTTATTGTCATGAACTTTGTTTAGTAAGATGCAACTATCTGACTCTCGCGGAGCTTTGCTAATGTTGATCGACAGCCGATTCTCCTACATCAACAAGGACGGCGTGTGCATTATCGGGATGAAGCGGATTTCGATGATACCTCTAATAACCCTCGACGTAATTCTCAATGTCCGTATTTATTCCTGAAGTCTACGGATTTATCTTGCCTCTCACTCACATTACTATCAGGTCTATCTAACCATGCTCTTCCTACTACCACTTCGCAGTAAGTTCAGAGCCTGACCCTTCAAAACAGTCCAAGTTGCTTATCCAGGTTGCAGAACTCTACTCCTACCAACACAACGTAAACCCTGCCCTCCGCAAAATGGCCATGCGGACATTCATCGGCAGCTGCGCCACCCTCATCTCCAGCGTCGTAAACCTGACTGTTCTCATGGTGTTAGAGGGTGAGCCGGGCTGGGTATGTCTCATGTGTTGTAACGCGGATATCCTCTTCAGCGTAATTGTGCTACACTGGGTTACAGCCGTCGACAGCGTCCGCTCTCCCGCCAACTCCACGCCTAGACCGACCGGTTCCAAGTCACGCGATCGCAAGTCTGGGAATCCTGCCAATACCTGGACCAGCAAACTGAGTGGGAAAGAAGCCGGCATGGTTACAACAAGCTGTGTGGGCAACATAAGACATAAGACGAGTGAACTCGAACTGGATAAGATTCGGGTGCAGACGGAGCAGACTCAAGAGGTGGAGGTCGGTGCGAAAAGTGCGGTCACGACCGACAGTGCGCATGCCCACCAAGACTTCCTAGGCCGTAGTAATTCAACTGAGCGGATGGTATAATTGGGCAGCTTTCATAAAGTAAAGAAGATATCTCGGCGTTGGGATTGGATTGCATACCTTTCGGTTTCTGGCTTAACACCAATTGAAGTCGCGGAAAACAAAGAGTAGATACTTTAGTACGATACACGATTATGATACTTTCACGGAAACTACGTCTACACTTCCATTGCACAGATTCTGGTAGTCTCGAAGGACCCGATGCCATCATCCTCATTGCAGAACAGGCTTACCTAGGAAGTATGTCGCGAGAAGCACGATATCCAGAAATATATGTTTCTCCGCAGATATCGGACAGCTCAATTCCGGTAGAGCTACGAATGGGTTGTAGGTTGATAACAACCATCACTCGATTGTCCCGTGGTGGCACGATTGAGGTATGCTTGGAGAACACGAAGGTCGACCGACCAAGGCGCGATTGCTTGGCCAGTTAATTGTATCTCATGACACTAACTGCGAGGCTGTGGACTCTGGCTGGGCACGCTTTGGGTATAAGAATCCCTTCTTTCACTATACTGTTCTTTCAACTCTACTACTAGACCCATATTTTTCAATGTTAAACTCTATCCTCCATCCCCCAGGCTCTAATAATCAGTAATCAACATGTCATCTTTTGACGCATAGGTCGATGCATACACGACTAGCGAGCCGCCTGTCATTCCTAGCATCGTCATGGTCGCAGTCGCTAGAGACAGTAACCCTATATCACTTACCCAACCCAGCGTCTTCAAGCTCATGTCCTCCAGGTACACCCATCCACGCAGACGCTTCTGGCCGCACCTCACTCGACCCCCCGACTCATCCCACATCACCTCCTCCAACACCTTCTGTATGGCCTCCTGCACTAAACTCTTCACCACCATAAGTGCGCTACATTTCGTCTTGCGTGGGGTTCTCTCCCTTGACGACCCATCCCTCATCAACCATCATCTCCCCCAACTCATTTCGCAGCCCATCATCCGTAGCAACTCTACTCTAGACTAGGGTTCCGCCCCCTTTATCTACGAGAAGAGGGAGAAAGACATCACCTTCCCAATGATGATATGAAAGGGGAGAGTGGTGGGCTGTGCTCTACCGTGGATGACTTCATGCGAGTCTTTTACGAATTGATCAGCGCTGAGTCAACGTTGTTGAGTTGAGATATGGTAGAGTGGATGTATACGCCGCGGGTTGAAGGGGGGAGCCCGCAATTTGCTGAAGGACGTGAAGATCTATCTTGGGGCGACGAGTTGGGCATTGGGGGGGAATCAATCATGGGGTCGGTGGCGTGTTGCTTCTGGAAGACAAGAAGGGTTTGGGGAAGACGAAGGGCCGCTTTGTTGGGGTGGGGCGTACCATTAGCCTTGGTTTGCTAGTAGGGAGCAAGGCGTTGCTGCGTTTTATGCGAGCCAGATGCTACCGCCTGGAGCACCTAAGAGTGGAGAGCTGGAAAGTGGGTTTATCGAGGAAGGATGGAGACTTGTGGCTGAGAGGGAGAATGTCTTTTGAACGATAGATGACGGCGTTTGGGGTGGCCCGATGACTTTGCAAGAAACTGGTCAGAATGGTACCGAAAAGGTCGCCGGATGAAGGATATGATGTCGGTATTGAAGGTCAGCGTTGGAGAAGGCGATATTGCGGATATCGATAATGAAGATGAGTTGTTAAAGAATGATCAGATTGCGTGGTGGATTATAGCCAGCAACCAGGATGATGGCACATCCTAATACCACTCCCTTTTGGTTCTGCAAACCAACTTACGGTCGGAATTAGCCTTTATTCTTTTTATAAAAATACCATTTCGCTTTACATCTTCGAATCCCCGAGTGTCGGTATAATTGTAGCTATTCGTTTGTCTTTACTGATTCGGTGCTTGTTGTCAAAGACTGAGGTGAACACGAATGATTGAGGTAAGCTTCCGTTCACGAACTCAATCTTTACTCAACATGCCACGTGAGTACTTTATCACAAGATTTGTAGATGCCGAGTTCCGCGCTAAGTCACATTAAGACAAAAATGTTAGACAGCTTTCGCATTCCCGGGACAGATCCGGCTACTTTATAAAGGAAGACGAAAACGTTCTACTCACTCACCATTCTGTTATTATCTTTTTCGCCCGTCTCCGTATAGGCTCAACCTCGTAGTCGTGACTCTCATGAAAAGCTTCTCTACAACCGCAATGCCATCGCTCCCTCAACCAAACAAGTCGAGGCAGAGGGAAAACCCAATCCTTCGCCCTCCAGCAGTTGGGCACCGACGCAACACTCCAAGTCTAGCAACCTAGGGAGTTCTAGATTCAATGGATCCTAGGGAATATATAAGGTTAGCGGTGACTAGGATTCTATTCCACAGCATGGGGATATGCAGAGATGGCTGGGATCGGATATCGATGAATAAAGTAGTACGAAATCCCCGCCTCGTATTCTCTGATCCTGCACCTGCAATGCACCTGCAAGAGTGATATTTCTGTCATGCCGTCTCTAGCCAAGCTGCATGGTGGACCTAGCTCGAGAACACCTACCGAAGAAGCATGAAGACCGGTGCTGGAGCCCATGGCCAGGTCAGTAGGACGGAATAGTCCATCCTTCGCCTTCATCCACCACGTCCGAAGTCGCACCGGACCAACGGCATGCCGTCTTCACTAATGAAGCGTGAAGCCGTTCCCGAGGACCATTCCCTCCCCTCATCTGCCGTCAGTGGCTTTCCCAGTCCCCAAGCGAAAAGCGTGGCGTGCCCAAATTGCGGGGGTTGCAGCCTCTGAAGCTTGGAACCTCTTGGCTCTCGTCCTCCTTCTCACTCGACTCCGGGAGCGTAACCGCCCACGGGCGTGATCTGCAGGAACATCGCCCCGGAATGGCAGGACAAAAGCGGCGAGAGCGGAGCTGCGCGATCCTGCTGGCTGGTCATGGGTGAAAAAGCTGGGGGAGGCGGTGGGCCAAGGGGCGGGCCACTGACGTGCATCATCAATTTCAGAGCTTGTTGGGCACCGGGTATATGGTAGCTGGCACGCTCTTGTTTGCTGATACGCAGCTTGACTTGTACTTGTTGCTTTTGTCCATTCTAGTAAGACTTTTGCGCAGTGGTGGTGGACTTACCTTACGGTTGCTCTTCGATCCAACCTCACATGCGACCGAGCTTCGCGAACGACTTCTTCGAATTGCAGAGATTTGAAGATCCGACAAAGTGAATTGATTCATCAGATTGGAAGGCATTGACCTCTCGGTTGTCTTGGGCTGTTCTGGAGAGCACGACAAGTGCAATTGGCCCATGTATCGGTGACACGAACTAGCCCTTTCTCTTAGGTATTTAAACCCTTTCACTCTACGTTCGTAGGACCTGTGCGCCGAGAGACGGGGTGCCCGCCTTGTTCTATTTCCTACATCTGCCCCGGTTTTCTTACTTGCTCTTGCCGCCCACCTATTTTCTACATCTAGCATCTGGTTGACTCGTGCACCTAGCAACCCAACCCCACAACCTGGAACATGCATCCTTCTACGCCTCTCCGAGGCCTCGCATTCGTGCTTGGTGGATTGGGTGTGGCGTTGGCAGCGAACTTCACGACCGAGTCTGGTGACACGTGGAACAATGACCAATGGACCCTGACGACGGAGACTCTGGATATGGGCCACTACCAATCACGCATGTCCTTAGCAAATGGCTATCTAGGCATAAATGTTGCCACCGTCGGACCCTTTTTCGAAGTCGATGTGCCCGTGGCCGGCGACAGCATCAGTGGCTGGCCTTTGTTCAACAGCCGCCAGACCTTTGCTACTATCGCCGGCTTCTACGATACCCAGCCCACCACCAATGGCACCAACTACCTGTGGCTAAATCAATATGGCGCGGAGAGCGTAATCAGTGGAGTCCCTCATTGGGGCGGATTGATACTAGAAAGCAACAACCAAACATTGAACTCTACGGTGAACCCAGACTCCATTCGGAACTACGTCTCTACACTGGACATCAAAAAGGGACTGATGAAGTGGAGCTATACTTGGACGCCGACCGATGGACTCAACATCAACGTCACATATTCCATGTTTGTGCACAAGCTCTATGTCAATCAGGCCGCGGTACAGGTCGAGCTTTCGGCAAGTAGTGACACCGATGTCAAGGTTATCGACATACTTGATGGAACTTCTGCAGTGAGAGCAGACTTCGTATACAAGAACTACGAGCCAGATACCAAGACAATCTGGACGGCGGTGCGACCAAATGGAATCGACAATATCACGGCATACATATACTCAACCCTGAAGACCAACGATTGCGTAGGCTCGGTCACCCCTAGTCCATTTCTCGACTATAGCTCCGGCAATGCCTCCACCATAGCGCAATCCATTGCATTTAAGCTACGTGCACACGAAACAGCTGTAATCGAAAAGCATATTGGTGGTGCTTCTCACGACGCTTTCGACGATCCACAGGAAGTGGCACGGTGCGCATCGCTCTCAGGGGCCAAGACTGGATTCGGACCTTTACTCGACACTCACATCAAGGAATGGAACAGCATCCTACCCGAGGACTCGGTTGACGACTACATTCTTCCAGGTGATGATACACCACCCAACAATGACACGTGGTTATTGCAGATTACATCAGTCACCAGCCCGTTCTATATACTTCAAAATACTGTAGGACCAAACGCCATTGAAATTGCCGGCGGCAACAAAAAGCTTGATATCAACAGCATCTCTGTGTGCGGCCTTGGATCTGACTGCTACGCCGGTCTGATCTTCTGGGACGCTGAGATATGGATGGCTCCCGGTTTGGATATGTCTCATCCACACCACATTAAGCAGATTACCAACTACCGCAAGGAGAAATTTCCTCAAGCGCAGGAAAACGTCAAAATGGCGTATTCGTCCTCTCAAAACCAAACCGGAAAATTCTCGAACGGCGGCGCGGTGTACCCGTGGACCAGTGGCCGCTGGGGGAACTGCACCGGAACCGGCCCATGCTTCGATTACGAGTACCATATTAACGGCGATATCGGGAAGCAAATGTACAACTACTACTCGACTACTGGAGATCGGGAGTACTTCGAGGGAGATCTGCTCCCCATCTACGATGCTATCGCGTACTTTTACTCAGAGCTGATGGACTTGAACGAAACTACCGGCAAATATGAACTTCTGAATGCTACGGATCCGGATGAATATGCGAACAATGCCGACCGCATTGGCTTTACGACTGCACTGATACAGAAACACTTGAACGAATCGAACATTCTGAACGAGTGGTTTGGGCTCCCTACGAACGAAAGCTGGACGGAGCTGGCCGGGAACATAGATCTCCCCACCAACAACGAAGTAGGCATCATATTGGAGTATGGAACCATGAACGGGTCGATAAATGTCAAACAAGCAGATGTCATCCTGATAGACGACATCTTGGACTATCCTAACAACTACTCCCTTTCCGATCTCGACTATTACGCCGCAAAGCAATCCACCACTGGCCCAGGAATGACCTATGGCGTCTTTAGTATTGTTGCAAACGAGGTTTCTCCATCGGGATGCTCATCCTATACTTACAATCTCGTCGGCGTAGAGCCCTATGTTAGAGCTCCCTGGTACCAATTCTCCGAGCAGCTTGGAGACAACTTCCAAGACAACGGCGGCACCCACCCAGCCTTCCCGTTCCTCACCGGAATGGGCGGCGCCAACCGCGTTGCTATCTTTGGCTATCTAGGCGTCCGCATCTTCCCAGACCGCCTCGACATCGACCCATCACTGCCCTCTCAAATCCCGTATATCAGTTACCGCACCTTCTACTGGCAAGGCTACGCCTTCTCCGCCACCTCAAACCAAACCCACACCAACCTCACGCGCCTGGCGAACTCCCGCGTCCTCCCCAAAGCCAACTCCACCTACGCCTCCAACCCCATCCCCATCTCCCTCGGCACTCTCGGCGACAGTGTCAACTACACCATCGCCGCCAACGAAACCCACACCTTCTCAAACCGCCTCCTCGGCCAAAACGCCACCGTTGCCGGCAACATCCTCCAGTGCATCCCCGCCCGGTCCGACCAAGCCTACATCCCGGGCCAGCTCCCCATCGCCGCCATCGACGGCGCGGCGAGCACGAAATGGCAGCCCGCCCTCGGCAACGCCACGGCCGTGCTGACCGTCGACCTCGCCGCCACTCCCCACGGCGCGGCGGGCACGGCCATCACCGAGCTGCGCTTCGACTGGGGCGCGCGGCCGCCGCAGATGTTCGCCGTCGTCTTCTCCGACTCCCCGAGCGCCGCCACCCTCGGTCTCGAGCTCATCCTGCCGTTCAATGCTACGCGGGGCTACACGGCGCTTGGGGACTCGCCGAGCGCGTCGCTGACGAACGTCACGGCGGAGGGGAATGTGAGGATTAGCGCGCCGTACGATGCGGGCAGTGTGGCCGCCCTGGTGAAGATTGGCGCGAATACGACGAATGTAACGCTAGACGCGCCCGTGGCGACGCGGCGGTGGGCGCATTTGCTGCTGTGGGGGGTAGCGGGGACCACGAATTATACGGGGGGTGGGGCGACGGTTGCGGAGTGGGTTATGCTTGAGTAGGGGATTGGAGAGGGGGAAGTGAGGGACGGGGGTGAAAGGGGGTTTCTTATTCTTTATATATATTTCTATGAGGGCTGGAGTGAGGGTTGTGGGGATGCAAAAGGGGAGGTAGTCTGTAGTGCAATGGATTTCAGATTTTATTGACGAATGCGTTGTGGTTGTATTCATTTTTTAAAGCATGTGACGTTCTCATTGGAAGATCGAACTTGAGACCTGTCGACCCCCCTGTGGCGTAGATAGATGATGAGGTCAGAAACATGTGTTCCTAATTTCCTATCTATGCCAAAAATTTAGACAGGAATTTGAAAGTTTCAACGTGGACAGAAAACGGAAAACTTGTCTGCAGGTGTTTGAAAATGGGTCTCCAAAAATTTAAATCGGTGTGCAAATGCGTCGGCACAAGTTTGAAAGTAGGAAAACGTGTTTGTGAAATTTTGGAAATGGGTCGGCAAAAATTTGAATTTTTCAATTCACCGTAAGCTGCAGAACGGGGAGCACGTGACTAGCGACGACGCAACCCCTGAGCCATCGTACGCCCAGTATTGCTCAGAAGTTCGACTTCTTTGTTAGCATCTCCATTTCATCTGACAACTTAGCTCTGAGCAAGTCTATCTCAGAGCGTGCCCTGAAGTTGAATACCCGTAGCTAACACATCGACATGACTGAATACCGGGTGAGGCTACTGCACAGGATGTTATTGAAAAGCCATAGTATGTAACATCATTGTGCAGGCAAATCGAGCTTGAACGCCATAGATGAGTGCCAAATGCAGTATGTGTGTATGTACAAGGACATCTATCAGTCCTTCTCGAGGGTGATCTGGGTCGAGACCTCCCACTTCTGCCCACCACTGCCGTAGCCTCCACCCAGTCGAGTCCGCACCAGACTCCCAATTCGATCCCTCAACCTGCCCATGTCTTCCAATCTCCTCGCCCGGAGCTTCAGATTCGCCTGGCAGAGCCCATAATGGACCTGCCAGAACTTCGCCTCCTCCACAGCCGTCACCGCGGGGTCCGTCTCGATGTCGTAGAGGACGTCTGAGACGCCAGGTCCCGAGTACGACATCATGAGCATCTTGCCCAGCGTCCAGCCGAGCCGCCATCCCAGCGCGACCATGGAGATGGCCACGGTGAAAGAGAGGGCGCGGTCGAGCCAGACGTACATCTGGATGCTGAGGAGGGGAAGGATGAAAAGAAGAGCGGAGCAGGAGAGGGTCAGGAAGTGGGAGGGGTTGCTGAGGAGGGAGGGGAGGGAGGAGACCGCGCCGAGCCTCATGACTTTGCCTACTCGAGCGTGATTCTTGAGCAGAATTGCAGACACGAGAGTGGCGATGATGGCGCACAGCGCGGCTAGGTCGATGCTTCCCGGCGACACGCGTTCGTGCTCATGCGCGTGATGCGCCTCGTGGCCGCCCTTGTCCTCGAGGGCGTGGGTAAGACTGTGTGAAATCAAATCCAGGCCCATAAATAGGAGTCCTACCGACATGCCGAGGCCAGCCACGACCTCGGAGCGCTCGAAGCCAAAGGGATGCCGTATGCTAGATCGTTTCCAGACCTCGAAGTTTCCGCCTACATCCACTGCAACACAGAGAAAGGCCCCTAAGGCATCATAGCACAGTAATCTTGATAAGACTGTTAGGGCTAGGGACTCATGTGCACTCCACTGGACGAAGCCCGCCACGAAAAGATGGCAGAAGCACCATATGAATCTCAACTTTTGTTCTCTCGACATGCTTGATCTGTATTCCTTGAAGGTGGGAATCGGGAGGGATGCGGGTAGTTGGAGTGGGGCCCGTGGCGGAGGCTCGAGGAATATCTGATGTGACACGCTACTGTGCTTGTATTTGTGACCTCGACGCCGTCCAAGTTCCTGTAGTTTCAGTCAGTGGCTGTAATCTGGCTCCCCTAAAAAAGTCCACATACAACTTGTTTGTTGGCAGCGGCATTTTTACCCGCAACGTACGACATAGGCTGAAAGTTGAATGGATTCCGCGCATTGTCCGACCCGCTCATCGATGGCGTTTTCTCCTCACTATTCCCACTCACAGCACTCATCGGGCTGTACGGGAATGTCGAGCTGGCTGGGCTGTACAAGGAATTCGGGGTGGGTCTTTGGGACGTCGAGGTATTCGGGCCCCCCAGAGTGCCGAAGCGGTCTGGGGGGAATGTAGCAGATAGCGGCGAGAGTGCATCTGGGTTGTAGCCCAGCTTCGCTGGAGAGAATTGCTGCTCGATTCCAAGGCCTATGGGGCTGTGGTCGTCTTCAGGAGGCGGGGTGGGCGTTCGGGGAGGACGTGGAAGCGGCATGCCAGATGCCATTGTGAAAAGGAGTGTGTGTAATGAGTGACTGAAACTATACGCGCTTCATAGCGGTAAAGCAAACAAACAATGTGGGAAGATTGGAGTGGGTGTTGACGGTGAAGGAGATAAAGTCGGCGCTATTCCCGTTCCGGCAGCTTAACGGAAAGATTACCGCACATTCACTGCTCGCATATCCGGGTCGCAGGTAGAGAAAAGAGCGTCTCCTCGAGAGGACCTCGAGATCTATACGACGCCGCCTCAGCAAGATGTTCTGGAGAGCCGCCGCGTGAGGAAGAAGCAAATATAAACAGCGTCCCCCACAAGCGGGCACCTTGGCGTACCCTGACCACCTGCATCTCCCCCGAACCCTAACGAAGTACTCTGAGGCCATCGCCATCTAGTCGTACATACGTCCTCCACACACGCCAACTTAGACCAGCTACCCGCTGCCCTCGACCACGTCCTCGACCCGCATGCGCCCTCTGCTTAGATGATTGACTCTCTGACAGCGAATCCTGCGACCGCCCCCGTCCTCGAGCATCCCCTCCTCCTCACCTCCGCCCTGACCAACCCTGTGTAAACAACACCTCAATCGCCCACGAACGCCTCGGACCGGCCGTTGCAACTGCGCTGACTGCCTACTTCCCCGGCGGTGGCCGCCCGCCTTCCATCTTCAAGAGGCCAGGAGAGACCGGCAAGATGGCTTCTGGAGCGGGTGCAGGAGGCTTGTTCAGCCGGAGCAGCTCGGGCAATGTCCCGACTATGCGTGGTATGCCGTAATCCCAGCGGAACCAAGAGAAACAGCCATCTAACAAGTTATGAAGGCCTGGTCTCATTCATTGCCGATTTGCGGAATGCGCGAGCGCGAGAGCTGGAGGAGAAGAGGATTAATAAGGAATTGGCAAACATACGGTGCGTCTATGCCTTGGGCAGTATCACAACGGCTGGCTGACATATAGGGCTCTAGGCAAAAGTTCAGAGGTACTTCCATCAATCTATGCAGGACTAACCCCCGACTGACTTCGTTATATAGATGGCAATTTGAACGGTTACTCCAAAAAGAAATACGTCTGCAAGGTAGACATCCTCCACTAGCACCTAAGCCGCCAGTACTGACCTTGTAGCTTTTGTACATATACATCCTTGGGTGGAATGTTGATTTCGGACACCTCGAAGCGGTCAACCTCATTTCAGCGACAAAATATTCGGAAAAGCAGATTGGATATCTCGCAGTCACTTTGTTCCTACACGAGGAGCACGAGCTCTTACACCTGGTTGTCAATAGCATAAGGAAGGATTTGCTGGATCATAATGAGTTGAACAATTGCTTGGCATTGCATGCGATTGCCAACGTTGGTGGCAAGGAAATGGGAGAGGCCCTGAGTCAGGATGTTCATCGTCTACTCATCTCGCCGTAAGGAAATATGCTCTGCATTTAGAATACAAGCTAATACGTTGCAGGGCTTCCAAGGCGTTTGTGAAGAAGAAGGCGGCCTTGACCCTCTTGAGGCTGTACCGGAAGTTCCCAGGGATTGTGCAACAGGAATGGGCGGAACGAATAATATCTCTCATGGACGATTCGGACATGGGAGTTGCGCTCTCAGTAACTTCTCTGGTCATGGCTCTTGTCCAAGAGAACCCGGAACAGTACAAAGGAAGCTACGTCAAGGCTGCTCGACGATTAAAGAAGATCGTTGTCGATAATGACTGTGCGGAAGGCTATTTCTATTACAAAGTGCCTTGCCCGTGGATCCAAGTCAAGCTGTTGAAACTTCTCCAATATTATCCTCCGCCCGGTTCGTCGATCGCTTTTCCCATCAGCAGATAATAGGACTAACGTTAGCAGAGGACACGCATATTCGAAATCTAATCAGGGAATCACTACAGCGTATAATGGACTCGGCTATGGAAATGCCGAAGAACGTGCAACAGAACAACGCTCAGAATGCTGTGCTGTTCGAAGCCATCAATCTGGTTATCCACCTCGACACCGAACAGGATCTAATGGTACAGATCTCAACGCGACTTGGAAAGTTTATTGCGTCCCGCGAAACTAACGTTCGATACCTCGGGCTCGAGGCCATGACACATCTTGCAGCTCGATCAGAAACTCTAGACCCCATCAAGAAACACCAAAGCATCATCATCGGATCTCTGAGGGACAGGGATATCAGTGTCCGAAGGCAAGGTCTCGATCTGCTTTACAGCATGTGCGACCCTACGAATTCTCAGGCTATCGTCTCGGAGCTACTGAAATACCTTCAAACCGCCGATTACGCGATACGAGAAGAGATGGTGCTGAAGATTGCTATTCTAACGGAGAAGTACGCCACAGACATACAGTGGTATGTGGACATATCTTTGAGGTTGATTGCAATGGCCGGCGACCATGTCAGCGATGAGGTGTGGCAGAGAGTCATCCAAATCGTGACAAACAACGAAGAGCTACAAGTCTACGCAGCTCAAAATATTCTGCAATACATTAAGTCCGATTGCCACGAAACTTTGGTAAAAATTGGCGGATATTTACTTGGAGAATTCGGCCATTTGATTGCAGACACCAAGGGGTGCAGTCCTATTGAGCAATTCATGGCGCTACATGGCAAAATGCGAAGCTGCTCTGGGAGCACAAGGGCGATTTTGTTGTCGTCGTTCATCAAGTTTGTCAATTTGTTCCCGGAAATTAAACCTCAACTACTACAAGCTTTCCGGGCTTTCAGTCACTCCTTGGACTCGGAGCTACAGCAAAGAGCCTGCGAATACCTAGCTTTAGCTTCTCTGCCAACAGATGACTTGTTACGAACGGTCTGCGACGAAATGCCTCCCTTCCCAGAACGCGCCTCGGCCCTGCTATCCCGTTTACACCAGAAGCATTCAACGACCAGCGACAAGCGGACCTGGGTAGTTGGAGGACGAGATGCCAATGCGGATCCAAAGGAATTTAACCTCGTCCAGAATACTGGATTGAAGAGAAGCTTCACAAACGCGGCACCTCTCCGAAAGGACAGCAAATCGGCCGCACCAAATGGATCAAATGGGACCAATGGGACGACACTGTCTAGAACTACAAGCGATCTAGCAGGTCTCGATATGAACATCGACACCAACAAAGTCCTCAAAGCCCCTAATCTCGCCAGCGCTGCCCATCTCAGCCCAGACTGGGAGATTGGCTACAACCGTCTACTCCTTCGGCCCGAAGGTGTGCTTTACGAAGATGCGCAGATTCAAATTGGCCTGCGGACCGAATATCGCGGTGAACTTGGTTGCGTAATTCTCTACTTCACGAACAAGTCCTCCTTCCCTATGGGCTCATTCACGACAACGCTGGACAATCCATCTGTTGAAACTCTTAAGACGGATATCAAGGGCCTCCCGGACACGGTCATCCCACCCGAGGGCCAGACGCAGCAAATGATCATGTTCGAATCTAAGAATGTCTTCACCGAAGCTCCTACCATCCGAATATCTTATCTCGCCGGCGCGCTGCAAGCCTTGACTCTCAAGCTCCCTGTCGTATTGCACAAGTACATGGACGCGGCTGAGCTATCTGGCGACGACTTCTTCAAGCGCTGGAAACAGATTGGTGGTGCACCACGCGAGGCACAAGGTGTCTTCGGGCTAGCTGTCAAAGGGCGTACGACTAGCATGGAGTGGACGCGGAAAGTGGTTGCGGGTTTCAAGTGGGGAATTCTAGATGGCGTAGACCCGAACAGCAGAAACATCGTCGGTGCTACGGTGCTGCATACGAAAGAGGGCAAATTTGGATGCTTGCTTCGCTTGGAGCCAAATTTCGAGACTATGGTGCGTATTCAATCCCAAACACGGGTATGCCCAAACACTCGCTAACTGTTTTGTAGATGTACCGCATCACCGTCCGCGCCACGGACGAATCGGTCCCGCCCATACTCATGAAGATCATGGAGGAGCGGCTCGCGCAAGGCATGGAGGGCTAGATATGCGGGAGGCAACATGTTGAGACATGCGAAATGGCGGGCATTTTATTAGCTGTATGTAATAGGGCTCAGTGCAAGGGGATGGCACTCTTCTTGTTCTTGGTCGTGGACCCTTTTTCTCGTTGCGAAGTTTGTTGCATTTTCTGGACTTGGGCAGGGCAACATTGCAGAGAAATGTTTATTTGATCGACGAAGAGCGAGAGAGCACATATCGAGAGCGGCGATGAGTGGATGCGGATACCAAATGTGAATACGCTTGAGGTTATCCAGTTCGGGTCTTAATCGGAAAAATGCCTGCTTTTATGTGCGAACCTGCCTCTGAGGCACTATGTATCATGTCTCATGTCTCATGCCCATGCTATTATACAAAGGTACACGCTCCCTCTACATCCCCGCCCCTCAAACAACCGCTTCCCCTTTCGGCGGCCTCGTCCCGAAAATCTCACTTCCAACCCTCACCTCATCACTCCCACCCCTAATCGCCCCCTCAAAATCCGCACTCATCCCCATACTCAGCTCCAACTCCCCCTTGTCCACCCCTAGCTCCGTAGCAAGTTTATCCCGCACCTCCACCAGCGTCGCAAAATCCTCATTCTCGGTCTCCACCGTTGTCGCCTGCGACCGCGCTATCGCGCCTATCGTCATCAGCCCCGTGAGGCGGAGGTGCGGACACCGCGTCCGGATATGCTGGCACAGCGCCAGCGCGTCGGGGGGGTCGACGCCGGATTTGGACTCTTCGCCCGAGGTGTTTACCTGCACCATTACCCTGAGGGGGCCTGGTGCTTCGCCATCCTCCTCCTTTGCGTCTCCTTCGTCGCCTTTTTTGCTTTCTAGCAGCTCTCGCCGCCCCTTCTCCAGCCCATCCGCCTTTTTCACCGAGTCGACGCTGCTCACGCACCACAGGTTCGGGATCGCGGCGAGCTGCTTGCACTTGTTGCTCTGCAGCGCGCCGATGAAGTGCCAGCGGATGCTGCGCGGGAGGCGGGCGGCCTTGGCGTGGAGTTCCTGGGTGTAGTTTTCGCCGAAGTGGAGGTGGGCGGTGGGCGGTTGGTGGAGGGCGAGGATGTCGGTGGCGGGTTTGAGTTTGGAGACGGCGATGAGGCGGATCTAGGGGCGGGAATGTGAGTGGGAGATTGGGGTTTGGATTGACAGAGAAGTGGGGGCTGGGGACATGGGTGGAGGGATTGTAGTGGGACATACGGGTCTATTGGCAGTGTTTGCGCGCTGGATCCGCGAGGTGATGGTGGTGATGTTCTCGACCAGCTGGCGTGTGCGCTGGGGGTCTAGCTTCATGTCTGGTTCGGTGGGTGCGGCCATTGCATCTCTAGGAAGGGTACTGGGCGAATTGCTGAAAGCGACGATGCGGACGTGGTGTTGAGGTGCATCGGAGTCGGACTGGTCCATGCGGTGGCACGGGTGGCTGTAGGGCTGCTTGCTGATCGGACCGGGTTCAAGGGTCCAAGCCGTGTGGGCCTGGGAGGATCTTCAAACATCATGAGAGCCTTGGGTTTCATGTCGTTATTAGCAAAAGCGAGTCAATGGCTCTAGAAATATCCCAATATGCGTTCGTTTAGTGGCTTTGATGTCTACGTACACACACGAGGCAGATTTCAGGATCACTTATCTAGTGTCAGCATGGTGCCAGGAACTCCGGAGCATACTCCAGATTAGTCAAAGATTGGTAGGCAAGCCGCTTGGAAATGCCGTCAAGCTCATCAAGCTTTCTGCCGCGCGTGTTATAAGCTAATAAGACTGGAATAGTGCTCGTTTTGAAGTCTGCCTGAATGGATTCCGAGATCGTGTCATTGAGGTCGTATTATATACCAGAGCCACTCGATCATAGCAGAGCCACTCCATACAGTACTAAAAGCCATGAGTCTATTATTAGTGCTCGTAGCCACATCTTTCCCCTAGTGCGGCAATCGTGATGCAGATACTCTGACGCCAACGCCCATGAGATCGTTACCCGTTGATCTATACCAACTCGTAATCCGACCCGAGCCCATTGCCCTGCCTCTACCGCCTATACAACACCATGTGAACCGATATGAACAGTCGATGGCGGCTCCAGGCCTCAGCCACACAACGTCAATCCTGCAATAACACACCAGTTCCAATTCCACCTCGTCGCACTAACCAGGTCGTCCACATTTAGCATACCCACGCCTTGATCCTTGAGCGAGGTCCAGACTTTGTCCCTAAGCGAGATCGGCCATGATGGCGTGTCCCAATACCTCGACACAAGCCCTTTGTCCGCAGCTGCCTTGATTTGCGTCTTGAGTTTGTCCTCCTGGTCGCCAGAGAGCTTGAGAGGGCCAGCAGAGCCGATGGCCGGCTCCATTGCCGTGCTAGCGTAATATGAGTTCTCAGTCGTGTACTTTTCATTTGCCACATCGAGAAGTGGAGCATCAAAGAAAACGTAGCGTTCAGTCGAGTTTGCAATGACATCGTCAAAAGGCGTGTTGCCACTGCCGACGACAGTCAGAGGGCCCCTATGCACATCCTTGCCATCGAAGTATGTGAGCCAGCCAGACTTGAACATGGGTTCGAGTTGCGAGAGCACCACGGGCCAGAGGTCGTGACCATCGGTTTTGAAGTCGAGCATAAGGACTAAAGAAGCGTTTCCGTCCTTTTCGAATGCACCGGTCTCGAGGGAGGGAGCAGAGGTGTTGGATACCTCCCTATGTATGAAAATGTTGGCTAGCGGATCAAGGTAGAGCGACTTAAGCGTTCGTGGCTCTTTAAGTGCCTTCTTTGCGTGGCCGACAAGAAGTTCGTCATCCTTTTGGAGCCATATGTCGGCTTCGAAGCTAACACAGCCAGCAGCCAGGGCATCGTAGAGTGGCACAGCTCTCCAGTAGTCATTATGTGAGTGACAGTTGACCGGAGTGATGTCACGACTAAAGTCTTCTGGCCATGAGAATGTGTACGGACCGCGTGAGTCGGGTTCCTGCCAGGCCTCGGTGATGCGGTGTAGGCGGCTTTGCGTTGCGGGTGGAGAAAGACGTTTGATTAATGCAGAAACAAGTGCGACGTATGTGCTGGCAGTTGTTAGTATCAACAGGTACCTCATTTTGAGGGCGTGTTCTCTTTCTGTTACGCTGAGTATAATCGGAAAATGTCTGGGACATGCAAAACGGTGTCCGATGTGCTTCTTGTGTGTAGAATAATCGAGCCAACAGACACCTTGATCAAAGGTGTGGTTATATCCAGCGCGACCATTGATGGAACTGGATTGGAGTGGTCTGGAGTGGACTGGAGTGGACTGGAGTGGACTTGAGTGGACTGGATTTGGCCTCAAATCCACTCCATCCACAGGATTCCCTGTGGAGCTCCATATATCACGTGACGTCCGTATCGGGTATAACGCCTCCTAATAAGCAGATTCTACCCCGAAAAACATATGAAGCTCCAGAGTTCCATCACTGAACGCGACTGGAAGAGAACACGCCCTTCGGTAGTACAGTGTCTCGTCATAGATACCGTGCGCTTCCCTGCCACTGCTTGTGGTGCCTCATGGTTTCTACCAGTACATTGAAGCACTGGACACATTGGCAGGAAAGCATACGGATATCTATGACGAGACATTGTATAGGGGGAGAAAGATAAGAAATTATTCATACATTCCTGCTATTGCGCCCAAGAGGGCGAGGATTCCGCCCACGATGAGGACGCGCTTCCACATCACCCTCCTCCGTGCTCGTTTGTTATGGTCGACTGGACTAGGCGACCGTGACCTCTTCCATCCATTTCCCTTCAATAAAGACGTGAGAGTGTTTCGCCTCTTATGTCTGTATGAGGGAGGAGCTGAGCCGGTGGTGCTGTCACTGGCGTTGCTTTCGACATCGGAGAAGTCGAGATTGTTGTGAGTGTGCGGAGATGTTAAGGAAGCCATGGCTATATGATGCAGATAGAGATCAGCTTCAGGTTGCTTTAAGGGAGCTCAAGATATCGAGGGAGAGACTCAAAGGCCGAAGAATGACTCGGCCTGTGTATAATGCGAACGTACCAACAGAATTTCCAGTGTAGGTCGAGTAGTGGAGGAGGTAGAAGGCGGGATCGAGACAACTTTTTAGACGGGACTATGAAGAATGAGAATAGGAATAGCCCTTAAGTATCGGACACTGTTGGAGCAGGTGCCGCAATACCTGCGCCTCCAATTCATCGTTTCATCGCGGCGTGCGGCACATAGCGACATGGCGGAGATCCAGGCAGACGAGCATGAAAACTCCGCCTCCCCACACTGAGTGCCTGTGATTTGCCGCAAAGGCATGCTGGAAATGGAAAGAAGTGTTACAGCTTAGTAAAGAAAGAGGCGCTCCCCTGTACCTCGAGATCGACCAGGAGTGAGTGATGATTGGGGCAGTGTGGACGATGTCACAAACTGACTGTGCCGCCCTGCCGGAGTAAAGAGTACACATTGAGAACGACGGAGCTCTATGCTCTCTCGGCAAGTCTTAGTTGGATCTTCAACACGATCTTAGAGGCCGTTGCGTGGCTCCTGCTCGAAAATACGCTGAGTGGCTGGTTTTTGGAATCCTCCAACGGGGTCCTGGGGCTCATTGCAGAGTGCTCCCACCCAACACACTGTTCAAGGCAGATTTCGTAACTTAGTGAGCATTGGATTCTGTTCATCCCACGCGTAATTGAAGAGTGGGTGCATTCGGTGGAGAAACTCGCCTTAAACTGAACTGAAAGAGACTAAATTCGGCTCGTACTCTTCAAGCCTTACGTGGCTAGTCTTGCGGAGTATTTACACCTCTAAGGTGTTTTGGGGTAGCTGCTTGCGTAAAAGGTAGCACGCGCTATAAGGCAGATTTGATGCCCAAGTGCTCTGCATCGCATGCTTCACTGAACTTGATCGAACAAAGAGCACTGCGGGTCGAGAAACAATTCGAAAATCAACGGAAATTGGAACAACAGTCCTCTCAAAGATGTACCTTGGCGGCAAAGTTTAAACTCTTGCGGGCTCAACGGCGTTTAAAAATAATACATCTAGGGAGAGTATGAATCCAGTCTCACGACGGGAACATCTAGCTAGCGGCTACCATCTGCAGGTGCAGACTGTGGTGTCTGAAGAGGATGAAGCACCGGTGCGAAGATGGTGGGTGTTTGATGTTCTGTGCCGTAAGGAGGAAGAAGTGAAAATAGCAGCGGCGCTTGGTCCAATCGAGACAAGCCTCACAATCTGCATGCGGCGAGAACATGACATGACCATCCCCGAACTCTGCTGGGGGCCTGTCAAACTCAGCCCTGCCGGGCGCTTCGACCTCGCTGTGCCATCGTGGAACAGCACTACGTAGGCACTCCGCGGGGCCAGCTCGTATGGCACTTTATATCCCTGACAATTGCTGTTTGTGTCGCGATGCTGCCAGGAAGCTGGGAGGCCACCGTGGCCGCATCGCTATTCCCCTCACAAGTATCACCACTAACAAGACGTAAGGCATCAGTGTCATAATATCGTTTTCATTCGCAATTCTTTGAACCCCAGCTTTGTCAATACGCACAGCTCGTTGTCTTGCGCGCCTTTGTCACTCTGCTATGCGTGGTTCAATCAACATGCTTGGCACTTACCATCCTAAAATTGTGGAGCGTTCCTTTCAAGCAGAGCTTGTTCTGCTGCCAAGGAGCCTTGTTTCGTCTCCAAGAGGCTGAAATAGTTCAGAAGTTTTTCTGACTCGACCTTCAAAAAACGCCTCGTGCTTCCCCACGTGGCTGCTCAGATCACGGCCTGTCGGGAAGGGAATCTTACAATAAGCGATTCGGCTTCTTCTCGAACATACAAATTGAACTTCGGCGTTATTATCAAGCACTATTACGGAGGAGTAACAACCCCGACGTACGTTCCGTGCATGCTATTGCATTCGCATCTAGCGAAATCTGCCTCGCGGCTAAAAGGATTCGGACTGAAAGTATGGCCGCGTCACTCTTGAGATCATACCATAGGACTCAGCATCTAATAGCAAATGTTTTGTCGTAGTCCACTGATGAAGCAAATTAGTGCATCCGTTTCTTGTCGCCTAATGTCACGGAGTATGGTCCAAACATATTGGGACTAGACCGACACTGGCTGCCAGACAGGTGAATATGGCTACCTAGAAGCTCAAGAGACGATAGATCAATAAGCATTGGAACTATGCACATGAGAGCGTATGGGTTGCTGCGACTCGTCTTATTGCTGGTTCACTGGGAAATCCGACACTGTGCAAGACACAATAGGACGATCAAGTGTTTAACCGTTCAAAGTAAATAATCATCACGTTAGCACACCTCCCAAGTAAAAGCTGCCTTGTCTGCCTTTGCGGTCTCAAACAATCAACAATGCGGCTGTGCTGGGTGGGACGGAAACGCCATGGAGGCATGAAATGCTGGTCGAGCTGCCTAATCAACAGTGCCATGCTTCACTTGAACGTTCCGATGCGTACATCTGTATACTAAGGGTACGTCGGGGTTTTATGGGCGTACCTTCATCTACAGCGTTAGTTCAAGTCACCTGTTTAGTGCCCACAGTTCCCGTTTCTGGGACTTGTAGTTGACACTTTTTACCGAAGACCACGCTCTTCCAGACACTCTTCTGCTTATAAACGGACAATATGTCACACTATCGTCGCACATCGGCCTAACGTTGTTTTAACGCTACCATCCTTCTAAGTTCTACGAACAGCAAACTGTCGAGGCACGAGTCTCTTCTACAAAGCGAACCCCTTTCCGATTCATCAGATCAAGACTTGCTTGATTGTCTCTCCACCATGCATACCTGCAATGGCAATCTTAGACTTTGTAGCCTACGCATGCCAGTAACATACAGGTATCAACAGTCTCGTCGTAGAACCTGATGATCTCGTTGACCGGTAGATGGCCTTCTCTGTATCACTGGATCATCTTTGGGAGGTACTAGAGACAACAAGAGTCAGTTTTACATCCCTGATTAATCACAGACCAATGCTGACATACCTCAGAAGGCGACGCATTCCCCTCGATACGTGCTCTCAACAAAATCCCCTTCTACCCCACGTCAGTACCAGCCCTCAGCTCTAGTCCAGGTTTCGAACATACCAACAGCAGGGGACTCATCACGACATTCATCCCCGACCTCGGAGGCGCAATCCCCGGAGTCGTTATTTAAACTCTCATTGCGAGCGCGTCTAACCCGGCCATGATGAGCCACATATTCCCAGTAGCATCGATGCGGACGGAAGTCCCCTTCCTACCAGTTGCCTCTACAATCGCCTTCGTAAACAGCAACATGCGTCGCACCCAGCTTTTTGCCAACGCCAGTCTAGGAGCATAGCGATAAACCGCGATGATAGTCCCACATCTTTTCATCGTTGCTGCCTACCTGCTCGTTAGTAATCACCCAATTCCCCTCAGCTCTCGTCATCTCAAAATTTAACCATAATACTCAGAAACCACACCGCACCAATCCCACCCCACACACCTATCCGTGGGCTTCGCACCCAGGACCTTAGTAACCGCCCTACACCCGTCTGCATCCCACACTCAAACAGCGCAAACAGCTTTAACGCGTTCTTCACAAAGCCTGCTCTCCATGACTGCCCAACTCGCAACACTGCTCTGTCCAAAGAAGCCGCCTGCCGCCTCGCTCACCTCCCTCTCCCTATAATCCTCATGTTTAAATCGTCCAGCGTACTCTCATAATTCAGCCCCTCAAATCGTTCTTAGTAGCCCCGCGTGTGGTTCACACACTCGCCACATTCCCCGTAACTGGCGAAGCACAGCAGGACTGGGCCACCGGGGACGACGTGGATGACGGGGTTGCCAAACACTTCGATGACGGCTGCGCCTTCATAGCTGTTGACGCGTAGGCAGGCGATGAAGCGGG